TTAGTTCAATGAATCCGATTTTTTCTTATTTGTTGAATTTTGTGGTAGACTTGTTGATAAATCTTACTTTAGCTCAGTTCTAGTTCATTCTCCTTAGAAGTTTCTAGATCTAGCTTTTTCACTCCTTGAATTAGTAAAATTCTAAAGCAATTTAGTTTCTGTTTTGATTTGTTTTAGTACTTTCTTGTGATTTTTCTTTAGTTTCTGATTTTCAAATTAGTTTCTATTGTAGTTCTTTACATGCTCTTTTAATGTCCAGCTCATGCTTCATTAATTTTGCATCATTTAGACCTAGATCAATAACTTCAAATTCAATGTTTACATTTTTTTTCACTTTCGGTTTCAACTTGCACTTTAAGTTTTTGCATTTTTTGCTTCACATTTGAAGTTCAAACTTGTTCCCACTTTAGTTCTTCACTTGTCTTTGCAATTTTTAGTTTGATTTCATGTACTTTTTGCCATTTAGATTTCATTCTAGTTCATGAAGTTATGATTTGTCTATGGTAGCTTTGTATTTTCTATTTTGCAAGTTTAATTGCAATTTGCATTTAGTAAGTATTTATACTTTTTAATATAAAAAATAACTTATTATTAAGTGTAAAAATTTGTTTTACTTTATTCAGTAAGTTCTTGAACATACTAGTGATCGTGGTTGAAAAAATCCTTCGTCAAATGGCAATGCTCCAAGTCTAAACGATCATCAATTATATGCATTTTAAATTTTTTATTAATATATTGAAACAATTTGAATGTTATTGTATTAAACTTTATGTTACACGCATACTGGAATAAATTATGTATTTAGATATTTAAATATTTATAATATTTAGTTTATGAATTTAAAATTATTTATCTATTTTTTATTTAATTATAGTAATAAAAATTGAAAAAAAGAAAAAAAAAGGTAAAATTTTTTTTGGAGATTATTCGAAGCATTTTTTGTCAAAAACGCCTTGAATAATTCTCTTCCATTTTTTTTATTATTAAAGATTTTTTTTGCAAAAAATACATTGAATAATCTCCTCATTAAAAAGTGTAGGTGATTATTGAAGGCGTTTTCTACCAGAAACGCCTTCAATAATTTTTCTAAAAAATTAGAGATGATTATTGAATGTATTTTGATAAAAAAATATCTTTAATAAATCTCCTTGTCAATAAATTTGTCAAAAATAGAGTAACATTGTCGGTTAGAGTATACAGTTATTAACCATAAGATTGTAAGTTTGATATCTCCTTTCAGCATTTTTTGAGTTTTTTAAGGAATTATTCAAAACATTTTCTACTAAAAAATGCCTTGAATAATTCATTAAAAAAATTAAATTGAGTTATTCAAAGTGTTTCTAACTAAAAACGCCTTAAATAATCCCTCAAAATGCTAAAGGAAGAGATTGAACCTATAATCTTATAGTTAACAACCGTATACTCTAACCGACAACACTACTCTATTTTTGATAGATTTATCAACAATGAGATTTGTTGAAAGTGTTTTTGACTAAAAACATCTTTAATAATCCTCTATAATTTTTTAGGAAAATTATTAAATACGTTTCTGGCAAAAAACGCCTTCAATAATCACCTTCATTTTTTATGAAGGGATTAATCAATGCTTTTTTTTATAAAAAAAAACCTTCAATAATCACTCTAATTTTTTAAAGATGATTATTCAAGGTATTTTAATCGATAAATATCACTAATTTTTGTCTTTAGTAATATTTATAAGTACAAAAAGATACTATTTAAATATTTAATGGTGTTTTGATAAAAAAAAAACATTAAATTTTATAAAAATACAAAAGCTAGTGACATTTTAAAGTACAATATTATTACAAAACTAAGTAGATAAATATTTTCTTGTAGTAGTAAGTAGATATTTGAATTGGTCACATTTTATTCTTCTTGAAATTAAGATCAAGTTTTCTTTTTCTAACGTAATTTGGACTTTGTTGTGTGAAAGAATAGGCTTCCCTCTTCACCCAAGTCTTCAACAATTGAAAGCGACGTTAGGTAGGGAAGGTCCACTTGGTTGAGATTCCCACGCTTTCGCATTCAATTTCAATTGAATTTACGTGTTATTCAAATTTGTTTTGAAATTCATGATATCTTTATGGTTTTTGGATTAATTCTTAATGAATTCAAGCATGTTTTGAGCCAGTTTTTTTTTTGTTAGATTCTTAAACTTGCACTTTAAGTTTTTGCATTTTTTGCTTCACATTTGAAGTTCAAACTTGTTCCCACTTTAGTTCTTCACTTGTCTTTACAATTTTAAGTTTGATTTCATGTACTTTTTGCCATTTAGATTTCATTCTAGCTCATGAAGTTATGATTTGTCTATGGTAGCTTTGTATTTTCAATTTTGCAAGTTTAATTGCATATTGCATTTAGTAAGTATTTATATTTTTTAATATAAAAAATAACTTATTATTAAGTGTAAAAATTTGTTTTACTTTATTCAACAAGTTCTTGAACATACTAGTGATAGTGGTTGAAAAAATCTTTCATCAAATGGCAATGCTCCAAGTCTAAACGGTCATCAATTGTATGCATTTTAAATTTTTGATTAATATATTGAAAAAATTTGAATGTTATTGTATTAAACTTTGTGTTACATGCATACTGAAATAAATTACGTATTTAGATATTTAAATATTTATAATATTTAGTTTATGAATTTAAAAATATTTATCTTTTTTAATTTAATTATAATAATAAAAATTGAAAAAAAGAAAAAAAAAGTAAAATTTCTAATTTAGAGGCGTTTGTAGTGAAAAATATCGCTAAATTTAACGACGTTGTTGTCCAAAAACACCACTAAATTTTTTCATTTAGCAGCGTTTTTTCTTAAAATACCATTATTTTTTTCGATGTAGGTATAACTGACGCTTTTAGCGACGTTTTTGACAAACGTCACGAATCATTTAATGATATCTATAAACATCGCTAAACATGAAAAAAAAAACATCACTAAAAATCTATTCTCTTGTAGTGTATTCAACAGATCGTTGGTAGAACCTAAAATTGGAAAAAACCTAAATCCAATATAGATAACTAACTTTTTTTAAAAATTGAGTGAAAAAAAAATTATAATTACAATCAAAGGTTAGATGAATGAGTTTTTTTTTTTTTTTTAAGAGAATGAAAATGCAAAGTAATAAATAGATAATAATAAGTAGGGAAAACAATTAGTTACTTACATGAAAGTTTAAATATTGCAAATTTATCTCCTCTCAAGCTGTAAAAACTCTTTTGAAGATTATTATCTCTTGAATAAGAAAATAAAATAATTTTTTTGAAATAAATGAAAGAAGAATACAAGTATTGAAGAGGCAACCAATAATGAAAGATGAAGCATTCTTGGCTCTAAATCTTACGAGATGAAAGACATAGAAATGGGATAATTGAACTTGAATGACCTGATAATTTAAAATAAATATTTAGCAACTTAATGGTCTTACATGGCAAATGAAGATTGCATATGTGGCAATCCACATGTCACAATTTTAGACAAGGATAAAAATACATGTATGTTAGATATATATATATATATATATATATTATTTATATTAAATACATTTCAATTGGTCTTTTAAATTGATTTTATTATTTTGGTGTTTTATAAATTAATTTTATGCATTGTAATTTAAAAAATATTCAAATCATATTTATATTTATTCATTTATTATATCCAACAATTATTACTTGTAAATTCTTAAAGTCAATAAATTTATCACAAATTTTAAATCACAATCAAATGAACTTAACAAAAGTCAAATTAACTTTATGATTTTCTCAACAAAATTTAAGTTTTCAACCAAACACCAAATGATTTTTTTTTCTTTTTTTTTTTTAGTACAAGGAGCTCGAAGTCTAGAATTTTTAAGGAAAGGGAAAGAGATATTTAGCTTACTACAACTCCTTTTCTCCATATATTTTTTACTTTTATTTTTACTATAGATTTTTATCACATGTTATTATGATTCTTTTTTCACCAAAAAATTCATATTGGAATTACTTTACAAAATGATAGAAAAACATCAAACTTTTTTATCTCAAAATTTTATTTCCGTTCCTTTAAAAGTATATTTGATTTTCTTGTTTTGATAAAATATTTAATAATTGATTTATTCATTTTTTTATTTCAATTTTAAATTGTTAAAAAATGAAAAAATTTTGTATAACTTGTAATTCAACTGTGTTATTGTTAAAAATATAATGTAGTCATAGTAATACTTTTGTTTTATAATTTTATTAGCTTATTATATTTTTATTAGTATAATGTTTTTATTAATATATTGTCTACCTATATATATATATATATTAATAAGTATAATAAAATATATTATATTATTAATTTGTTCTTTCAAAATTATATATTAAGATCCATCATTGTATGTACATACTCTCCTTTCCTTTCACTTTTATTCAAATTTGAGATTAAAATCGTAATCTAAAATGATGAGATAGAAATTTGAGGGTTCAGTTAATTTATTGGTCTTTGACAGGCCTTCCCACTTAGCATTTGATGGCGTATGGCCCTTCTATTAGCTGGTTCTAATTAACGCACAGCTTGTTCAATAAATTTCTCCAATTTGTAACTAAACATTTCATTCCATAGCATTGGATTATACTCTCAGAGTAAAATTCAAATTCCTCTTTTTCTAATTAAAAGGGGAAAAGAAAATCTTTGGGCATAGTTTGGCTGTTTCGGTAATGGGTAGAGCCAGCTTGCAATGTTGCACTTACCCTCTGAAACAAATTGAGCCTTTGTCCTTTCGCCTTTGACATGGTCACATATATATATATATATATATGGAAATGAAAAGCTTCCCTTTGCTTTACATGATTATCCAAGTACGACTCATACATCATATGAGCTACCCTACTTTCCTTGGTATAAAAAGCAAATAATAGGTTGAAAGACTTTGAAATGTAATGAACTTTACGGGATGAAAGATGATTAGATTGTCTGACCTGAACCCGATAAATGTTTGAATGCACCAAAAGAAATTCCAAGAGTAAATTCGATCAAGATACCGTATCTAATTTACATAAAGCTTCAGCTACTTACATAATCAAACCGACATAGCATACATCCATATCAAAGCAAACTTTGTTTAGTTCATATAAATTAGTTCCAACTTTAGAAGAAATTGTCAGAGGAGGCAATTTGACAGAGTATTGAACTAATAATAGGTAACATCCACTTAGACCTGGTAGAGACCAACGGAGTATTTACATCTTAAAAACTAATTTTATTTTTTTGCAAGTCATGTTCACATGGATATCCCTTGATCATATGCCTCAATGATCCCAAATGTGTTCTCCCCACTGTAAGTCATGTAAAGGAATCCATCTTCATCCTTGTTTTCCTCATAGATGGCAGACATCATAGCAGCTGTACCAACGTTGACAAGACACCATTTAACATAACAGGTAACACAGAAAATGCAACAAGAGTGAGAGATCTACAAGGTTCATTCTCACCAGTTGGGGGTAGAATGTTCTTCACAAAAATGAATATAGCTTTCTCAGGACTTAGCTTAATCCTCTTTCGGACAACATAGACAAATTGGCCAACAGTTAGATCAGCAGGAACCAGATATCTGCATTAATCCCAAGAGAGAACCTTAAGTTTCAAGTGAAGAAAAAGCGAAATACGGGGAAGAAATGGAGAATCAGTGTACAAAAATTGGAATCAGGTTCCAACAGGACGACATTGAAGAAATGATCATATTAAAGTCACAATCTTGTCATAGAATATCCTTTGTTCTGCAAAATAAACAGTCACATAATATAGAACAAAATATGTCATCACAAATGCTAACAGAAAATAGATACGATCATTAAAAATTAGTTAACAAACATCATTAACATATTCATTTTCTCTGGCTGCCATAACTAACAGCATGCTTTAAAACTTCCCGCTCTTGCCAGGGCAATATCAAAAGTGCAGGTACATAAACTCATGAAAATTAGACTAGGCAAACTTAAAAACTAGTATAAGAAAAGATTCGATAGATCACATTCAAAGCATACAAGTTCATAATTTCATACACCTACTGAGATTGTTTCTATGATAGCTTTCCATCCTCAAAAACCCCATCAAGAAATGGTTGACAACTCTTTCTTTAGCTAGGAAATCTTGATCCACATTAGTTAGAATCCACTCGAATCAATACATCAACAGTTTTAGAGAATTTAATAACCGAAATCACAACCACAACACAACAAAAAGAAGACAAATTTGGACAGTCAGTAACAAAATCTACTAGAAGAAATAACTTACATTTCAAAGCATCAATTAACTAATGTCAAATAGCAACAATACATTAAAAATTTTAACAGCTTGAAAAGTAACACGTATCAATGAAACCCAAATAGGTAATACACATATAAGCAAATTAAAATCAATAAAATCAAAAGTTCTCTAAAAAAAAACAAGTAGAGAAACAATAACTGACTTTTTCTTATCAATATCAGGCACATCACTCTTCTCCGCCCTTTCAACTATCACCTACACCAAACAATCAAACACCAATGTAACGTGTTAATCATAGGAGAAAACAAATAAAAGTTGCATTAAAGGACACAACAACCAAACATTACATACTGGGATTCTGTCAGGATACTTTTCCCTAATGCGAGCAGCTTCAGCCTGCCTCCTTTCTGGCAAAAGAAAAAAAAAAAAAAAAACAACAACAACAAACACTTTAACATAACATCATAATTCTCCCGTGTTCTAAACCCTAATTACTATTTTTTTCCTCTAAATTGGAAGTTCAAAATTGTTTCTATTCCTTGAAAAGCAACAGCATTATAAAAATTAAAAATTGTAACAAAAGAAGAAATACCCAAATAAAAGAAAGAAAATTTCAAGGGTTGAAGTAGATTAATTGGTGAAAATATTAAAATTAGGGTTTCACAAGATCAACAGAAAATTTGAGCAAAAAAATTAAAAATTGCAACAAAAGAGGAAATACCCCAAATAAAAGAAAGAAATTTTCAAGAGCTGAAGTAGATCAATCGGGGAAAATATTAAAATTAGGATTTCACATGACCAACAGAAAAAACGCGCATAAAAGATCAATGGGAAATTATAAAGGAGCTCCAACTTAAAAGAGGAAGACGAACCGAGCGGGTGTTCCAACTTAAAGGAGCTCTTGGCCATAGCGACAAAGTCTGCAACCCAGAGGAAAAGGAAAGAATTCAACCAATCAATCAAATATAGTTTAAATTAATCAATTAAAATTAAACGATTGAAAAAAAAAATAAAGAAGAGATCAAGAAAGAAGAAAGGGAATGTAACAAACCGATGGAGAGAGAACGAATTTGGGTCTGGGGAAAAAAAAGTGGAAGTAGCAAATTTTTCAGAGTTTTTCTTTTGCCAGTTTTTCAGAGGGTTGTTAGATTGTAAAAGAAGTTGTTTTGTTGACACGTTTGGTGTCCACTATGCATAATGCCAAAAACCTGAATGATTGAATTATAGATTTTCTCGATTTGTATCTTACAAAATATTTAAATTTATATATTTATATATTATTTAATATAAAAATTATATATTAATATAAAATTATGAAATTTATTTTTTTATTTTGTTAAATTTATACATAATTATTATTAAAATTTTAAAAATATATCATTTTTGTATTTTATTTTTATATTATATTTATATCATATTATAATATCATTTTTAAACTATCAAATTTAATTTTCTCATTTCTCTTTTATTTTAACAGAAAATTTTAATTTTTAATCAAAATAACTTGTAAGTAAATTAAACTTTCCTCAAATAAATTTGACCCAAACTTTGTGAAAAAACAAACAAGAGAGGGAGAAGTATTTTGAATAAATTAACTTAACTGCCATTGTTTTCTTATTAATAAATTAAAAGTTTATTTAAGTCTAAAATTTTTAAGTTTTTATAATTTAAATAAGTATAAAGATCCAACAAATATTCAAATAATAAATATAAATTAAAGTTAATGTCATGAATAACTTTTAAATTATAATAAAATATTTGATATAATATTTAAATTTTAAAAATTTATAATGTAATATCAAAATTATAAATTTATTAATTAATATGAAACTTATTTATAATATAATTAGTTTCAAATAATGATACATGATAGATAAATAACTCTTAAAATATTATATTAGTTAATAAATTTATAATTATAATATCATATTTAAGATTTTTAAAATTTAAATAACTAAGGGTATAAACAAACTGAGCATTCAACAAATTATTTGTGAATATGTTTAGTTCTGTTCGTTTATAGTTGTTTATTAAATTTAATAAACAATCTTAAATAATATTTTTATGTTCGTTTATTAAATGAACTAAATATGAATAGAGATCTGTTTAGTTTATTTATATTCATGAATAAATTTATTTAAAATTTATTTAAAATTCGTTCGTTTATCATTTGTTTATTATTTATTTGTTATTTATTTATAATAATACTAATAAAATTATATTTTTATCATTTATTCCAATCCTATTTTAAGGTTCATTTATTTCATTTAAATTTTGTTTGTTTAAATTTGTTTGATTATAGTTTATTTATTGTTCATTAATATTTAATATGTTTATATATATTTGTAAACATGATAGTTTAATGTCTACAACTGAATTTGTTTAACTTAATTGAACCAAATACAAATCAAACGTAAATAACTTATTATTTAAATGAACACGAACGATAAAATAATTTTTTTAACAAATATGAATCAAATATGAATATATTCAAAAATAAACGAACAAGCTATAAATATACGTTTTTTCGTTTATATTTGACTCGTTTACAATCTTATAAATAATACATTAAATATTTTACTATAATTTAAAAATCATTCATGAAAAAAAAAAAAAAACTTAAACAAAAAGTAAATCAAGTAAATGATTTTAATAATGAAAAACTTAAAACGTCTACTAAAGATTAAAAAATTAATATTATATATTTTGGATAATTTAATTATTTTTTAATAATCAAACAAAATTAATTTATAAGAAAAATATTTTTTAAATTTCTTTCAATAACCGAATGAAATTGTTCCATTGCCAACTAATTAATGGAATTAATTTCAATAATAATTTACATTAAAATCATCGTAGACAGTAGGTACCACACTTGGTCCCAGGATACAAGTGAAAGACCACTCAAAATACACCACGTGTATGGGTCCAGGATCCGAGTAGCCCGGCGTACTGTGAGAGTCAGGTAACGTCTGTCTATGGAACTTATGAAGAAGGAGCACTTTGGGAACCACCATTGGTTCTGAGCCCCCGCCCAAGTGGTGTTTTCCGTCAAGGTTAAGTCGCTTTTCCAAATGTGAGTTTGGTAACGTCTCTAGATAACTCATGAAGAAGGAGCAGTCCGGAAACCACCATTGGGTCGTGAGCTCCCGCCCAAATGGTGCTTTCCGTCAAGGTTTAGTCACTTTTCCCAATGTGACTCATCATCATTTTTGGCCCATTTTTGGACCCAACTACTTCTTGTAAGTTTACATTTTTTCTTGTATAATTCTCAAACCCTTTGGACCACTCTTTCTGTTGTCTAGGTTCTTTTGCTGGTAGTTTATATAAAGCCAAAATCTTTGGCATTGAGAGCCCAAGACATACCAGAGGCAATCATGGCTCGAAGCTTGAAGGAGCTTTCTAGCTACAAAAAGAGGTGTCTGGCTATGGCAAAGGAGCAGAAATCAAGATTTTACATACTGTGGAAATGTGCCACTATGCTGCTATGCTGGCATAAGTATGGGGATTCTTAGCTTTTTTTTTTTTTTTGTGTTTTTCCCATTTTCTAGTTTTCCTGATAAATAATGCTTAGATTGCCCTTTATATCTCAAGTTATGTATCAACCATGAATCTAAAATTTAATATTATTTGCTTAGTTTTCCTGTAATGTTGATGTTATATTTAAAGCTTATGCTTATGATCATAACTATTTATTTGTATATTTCATAAATAAAACTAACTGTTAAAGTGTCGTATAAAAAATTTGTTAAAAACAATGTATTTGTCGAAAATTGATTAGACCGTACAGAACCAACGAAGTGGCCTTATGGGAAGGTAGTGCTACAGGATATCGAAAGAACCCAAAGGGTTGTTATTACGGTTTTGACTTTAATCCATAAATGCTCGATTGAACAGAACCAACATGCCCTTTCCTTTTTTTAATGATGTTACCATGCTACATTCAAAGCTCCAAACTTGTGTCCGTGAGCTTTTCATGATTCTTGTAGTACGGTTTCTCCCTATTAATAACCCAACTTCTTTTGTCGTTGAGCAGTTGAGTAACTTGAATGCAACTTGCTTCAATTCAAGGCTTACCTCTATTTTTGCTGTTGAGGAGGACGAGGGAAGGGAACCTGCTTGATAAAAGCATTTTCTCTCCCCCTCCTTTCCCTTGGTCACCTTTCCAACATTGAACATGTCTGTCGGTCTCTCCAACACGAAATTTGCCTGCCTTTTTTCAACTTTATATATGGCATTAGTACCATTTTGGAGATTGAAAGTGTCTTCTTCTCTTTTACCATGAATTCTTGTTTTGTTTTGTTTTTTCTTGGTTCTTCCTTTCTAGCAGATGCTTTGGATAAATGGTGGCAGCAGTAAAGAATCAGTTTTATCGAGATATTGGTCCGGTTCAATAAGAAAGCACAGTTCTCAAAAGAGCAATATTGAGACTGCTTTTTGATTGAGCCGTGCCAATATCACGTGCCACTGTTCTTAATTTGGTACAAGAAGATTTGAACTCAACTCTCTTTTTAACTTATTTTTTTTCAACGAATCCATGAGGTAATTTCATGTCTACCTTAATAATTCCATGTTCATTTTTTCATCATCTGATCTTAAGGACAGAAATGAACTCAGATCTCTGACAAACTTTACAAAGAAGCAGCACCAGTCTCTCAACTATTTATATGTTTGAAATTTTTGGGCACCCAAAAAGGTCTAGATTCTTGGTTTCCAACAGAGTTTATAGATGCATTTCAATAGATAAAACATGTAGTAGACATCCCAAAGTAGAGTTGTCAAAAGATATTGCTTGATCATGCACCTCACCAACAAATTTGAGGCAAAGAATAGCCACCCATATTAGTTGTTGTAGCAAAAATGACCCAATATCGATAGTATTCATCTTAAAAAACAGATGACAGAAAATGAAAAACAACTAATCTCTAAAAAATTTATGTTGCTTTCTTCATTTTAAGATTTTTTTTTTTTGGGAGGGGGGGTGAATTTATTGAAATAATTTGGTGGACTGACTAGGCTAGGCTTCGGATTCATGGTATTGCCATTCCAACAGTGATTGGAAAATGGAGAAGAGAGCAGGAGGTTCAAAAGAGCTTCAGCATTCCTGATATCATTTTGCATAATTCCTCTTTTTAACTCATAGCTTTTGCAAGACAAAAGGATACATGATTGGTTTCCACAAGAGCCATTCTCTCGTAAAACCTTGTTTCATTCTCAACTTTTTGTTAAAGCATTTTAAGTTAATCAAATCTTTAAAGGGTAACATCAATTCGAATTCAATCATTCCACATAAAAATAAAATGCTACTTATTAAGCAACAGGTTGAGTACCAAACATGGTAGATATGTTAGCCAGACCAGAAACATGATTTGGAATGTTGGAGTTAGATCAAAAGAAGAGAATGTTTCTCAGTATTGCAGAAATGGATAATTGAGGATTGAAAAAGGTACCAAAAATATTTTGTATTTATTATGAACTTTATGGAACTGTAACTTACAAATTGGCCCTCGAGCCTCAAAGAATAAGAGGGTGGTGGTGACAGTCAGCTTCCTTTTCGGGCTGGCTATTGCGACTGTTCCCTTCTACTAAAATTGTAAAGGCCCCCATTTCAATGCTCTCTCTCTCTCACACTCCTATATATGATATAACATTTTCTGTACTCATTAAACTACAGAAAAAGATTTTGGACGTATGCTAATGTCTGGTCGTCACCCTAGCTTATCATCCTCCTGAGTTAGGAAGAAAATGAAGCTGCCTATTAGAAAGTAGCACTCCACAAGGCATTCTCACCTTCCCCACACCGCCGATGAACCTCTTTGATCCTATCGGCAGACCTGCAAATTCCACTGCAAGTCCAATCGAAGGAAGCAACACAAATGTTGCCAGCTTGGGCCTTCCACTCACAATCTGCATTCAGAATACATTTGTTAGACCAAACAGATTTCATAGTTTTGTTCTCAGGCAAAAAAGGAAAATGCAGTAAGCTTCCCTTGCTCTTATAGGTCACATGAGATTTCAATGAATGATCGTATAATTTTTTTTGAAGCCTCATCTCAAGAGTGAATACTACCATAAAGCAATTTCACTTCTACCAAAATGGCTGAGCAAATCATATCTATATCATGCCTAATATTTTTTGGAAACAAAATGGCAATTTAGATTACCTTCCATGATTTTTTTAAAGAAAAAAAAATGGTACAAGGATAGCATTGTATATATGAAATCATTTGGTCACTTCAGCTTTTTGGTGTTTAGTATATTTCACCAGGTTTTAGAATTGATACGACAATGACTCAATGCCAGCTTGTCTGTGACATGTGAACCAGTATTCTCATCAGCAGTAATTATAGTTTTGAGTTAGATTTTACATCATCCTCTTCTATGCAAAAATCAAAACAACCTCTTTTTTTCAATCTAATATTACCACAATTCAAAATATTTGGGAGCATTTAAGAACTTTACCAGGTGGTGTGCCACAACATAGTCTCCGATCATCAATATGCTCCACATCAAGTCCAATAAACCAAGATCCCAGTGAAACATCCTCGTTAGCATACTTGTGTAGCACATGCCTGACATAATCATTCATGCAAGTAATCATCTTTAGTACAACAATGACAACGAGGGGCAGGCTTTGGATTAAAAAAAAAAGCTTCATCTTGAATTTTACAAACATGGCTCTTGGATCTTACTGATTTATAGATATATACGAGGCCAATTCTTTTGAAATGGCATACAACTGTCCTGTAGCATGCCGGAAATATTTGTTTCCTGACTCGCCAAATTTCCAGTGTTCAGGCTCATGGTATCTCACTCCCCTGTTCCATAATAAAACAATTCAGAAAACCAGTATACTTTTTCAAAAATCTTTTGCATAAGAAAAAGGAAATATGTAGATAATATGGCTCACTTTTGAGAGAGGACGGGACCAGATTTCATGCATCCAATGTATACGCGTGGTTTCTTACGGTGTCTAACTAGAGTTTCTCCAAGTGTTGCTGCAGCAATTTTACAGAACAGGACTTAAATGACAGAATTAATAAAATTGTTTTAATAAACACTTAATTACTTTTAACTGCAACAAGTATCATAATTCTCACAGGAACCACATAAGATAAACATTGATCTTCAAGAACAAAGGATACACAAGATTCTAAATTCTTGGATCTTTCTGTAAAGGATGATTCAATCGTAAGAAAAACCAATCCTTTGGTTGTCGATTGTAAACTTTACTTTTGCTAAACAAATTGCTGAACTTACCTATATTTACATGGACATCATCATCAACTTTGACATAGAAATCTGCATCCCATAAAGCAACAGCAGTAGCAAAATATATCTTAGTTTTTGCAGACAATTCAAGGTACCCTTCAACATGGTCCTGCTCGCATGTAAAACAGCATATTACTCAGTTCACTTATTTATCCTTTTCTCAGAGTAAATAATAATGAAATGTTCTTAAAGAAGCAAGCACATTAATAGAAGAATAGTCTCTACAAAAGGGATTAAAAGTGGCTAAAACAGCCTACCAGCCTCAAGAAGTCTCCATGCTTCTTATCTTCTGCTTCAATTGCTCGGTCCAAAATACCACCCGTTGTGACACTGGATAACAAAAAATGATTACATAAAAGTATACAGTAAATTCTTAAATTTGTAAAGGATTATTATTGCTGTCAGTTTCCACCCTTAGTCACTGCCTGGCAATATATATAAGATTTAAGGAACGAACTTAAAAAATTTCGAATCAAGAATCTATAAAAATAAATTTAATTGCTTATACCACAATTTAGAGCGTCTACCAAGAAGACCACAAGAAAAAGAATAAAGGGCACATCAGGACATCCTGTGGAAGCAAAATCTGTTTACTATAGATGTTCCATACAATTTGAGGAGAAATACATGCCAAAGTTCAGCAACCAAAATTAAAAGTTTCTATTGCTAGTAGATGCAGAACCATCTTTATGGCATTATTACAGCTTTACCTATATTTAGAGTTGTTATAGACTTTGCTATTCATTAGAACTATGGTTTAATGGTTGTAATGACATATGCTTTATTCTTTTATCTTTCATTCAATTTTGAATGTGTGAATATTTGAATCAGATTCTCTCTCCAATAGATCAGTTCTGTCTATAGTTTCTCACTCTTCTCAATTTATCTCCCTAATCTTTCTGTTCACTCCTTTTCATCCCCTATTATTCCTCGTTCTCTTCTCTATTTCTTTCCCATGCCCAAACTAGTAGCCCATGAAGATTCAAAGGCAATAATGAATGAAACTGAGATAATATAACCTAATAACAGCGGAAAATGTAATTCTTCCCAGCAGGGGGCTGCAAATTCAAAATGACATACTTGAGAGGAGGATCAGCACGTCAAAGTAAGAAAAACATGCTGAAGGATATGATACTTGAAACTTATAAAAAAAAATACAATAGAAGGAGAATTAAACCCTCACCTATGACCAATAACAAAACGAACGATAATGCCCTTTTCATCCTCTAATTTCTTCCTCTTTTCACCTATTTTCCATCAGTTTTAGGAAGGAAAAACAAAAACAGATTTAATTCAGCAATCCTATTGGCATGAGAACATTGGGAAAGGGGCTGGTTTGTGTTAAAGGGAATAGGGTAAGGAAAGAAAGGGTCAGAAAGAATCAATCCAACAACCTTGTGGCATCCATGTAGCACGAACTGAGTCTCTTCTTTTCCTGCTGCTGAAAGCAGTATTAATTCCTATAACCATCACATACTTTCTCTTCCTAGATGATTCAGCTCTACTCACACCTGTGGATAATGGAGAACCACTGAGTAAGGATTCTTGTGCTGCCCTTGCAGCAGCTAATTCCATCTCTAAGTTGGAAATAGTCTTATCCAATGCCCTACATTCAAAACAACACGATAAGTTCGTTGATCAGCCACTTTAAAACCAAATCAAACATAAGTAGACAAAAGCAGCACTTACTGTATAGCATGATGAGTCTTAAAAACCTCCCCAATGATGTCCTTAGAAACATGCTTTTCTTCTTTCTGATACAAATAAAGGAACCCAATCAGCTTAAAAACTGCAAAACTTCGGCTGATTAACAAATAAGTTTTATATGATATAATCAAGATACTCACAGCATTAAGATTACAACCCTCTGAAATTAGTTTTAATTCTTCAGCTTCTACTGCAGTTGTCCGCATGATACCTTCAGTTTCAGGAATAGTCCCCATCCTGTTACGAATTTTACACATTAATTAGCCATTATATCTTACCTCAATAACATCTAAAATATACAACATTTCATAAACAAATGAAACCAAAAATTTTAAATGTAATCCAAAATATAAACCAGTCAAACAAAATTAAGAAAAAAAAAAAATTAAAAGCCGCACAATTAGATAGAAGCATTAAAAGCAAAACACTTGAGGTAGAAGCATTAAAAGCAAAACACTTGAGATATTTATATGTCTCTAAAATGTCAAAGAGTTTCGGTTACAACTACCAGATGTTAAACCAATATTACAGCATGTGTCAGAGTTCTTCCTGCAATGAAATATTGAAAATGGCTTGAATGCTAATTAAGGATGCAGATTTCACTGGGCCATGGATAACAAGACTGCAATGATTTTTATTCAAATTTATAAATAAAAATAGCAACCCAAAAAAGCTGACCTTTGTATCAATATAAAAATTGAGTCTGTCAATTGAAACCTCCTTTACCAAAAACAAGAAAATTTTGAAACTTCAAAAACTTAATATCACATCATACTATTGCTGTTTGTTTCTCATATATATATATATATATATATATATATATATATATATAATTAGATCCATTTTGCCTTGATAGGCAAAATAAATAAGGGAGACCCACATATTATCTCTTATAAAAAAAACTGTAGGAAACTCAAAAATGAACAGAACTTGAATAACACTGCTAACAGTACAATTCTTAATAATTTAAAACAACCAATCTTTAGAAAATAAATAAAATCTATTGCCAAAACAAGCTAACATAATTTCACCATTGAAACAAAGCAAAATTTAGCTAAATATAGATCATAAAACAAGATTAAAAACAAGCAAAATCCTTGTTTGAAGAAATGAAAAGCTAAAAGTTATAAACTTTGAGAATTCAATAAAACTGAAAACAAGGACAAGAAGAATAAAAAGATGGATACCTATTGGTGAAGAGCATTCCAGCACAGAAGCAGCCCAAGCAAAGAAGAAAAGTCCATTTCTTTGATACAAAACTTCCAGTAGACTGCTCTCCTTTGCTTTTAAAAGACATATTTTTGAAACTGTCAATCTAAATTACCTTGTATTCCTCCACCACTAGCAATCACAAGAGAGAAAACCCATACGTAAAAAGGGAAGCTTGAGCCAAATCAGAGTGACCCGGTTGTAGAAAAAGACTCCCCAAGAGCTCCAAATTTGAGTAGAAGACAGAAGAGAAAGAAGCAGAGTGCTCTGTTTTTGCTCTTTTTTTTTTTGGCTTGTTATTTTGTTCCTTTCTTTCTTTGTGTGTATTTTTGTTGGTTTGCTTGTTCTCTTCTCTCCACAGATTCTCTCTCCAAGTCTCAACTTTGCAGGCAAGGGACGTTGAACCCAAGCGAGAGACGACGACCCACCACTAACCGCGTTTCTCTTCTTCTTATACCAAATTTACCAAACTATCCTTTTATTTTGATTTTATTTATTTTATTTGTTAGTATTTATATTATTATTTTTAAATTTTATCTACGAGGATGTTTAATTAACAGAATTTAAGATTTTTGTAGAAAGGGTGATTTTTGAAAAAAATTTTATTCCTAAAAAAGGATAATTTTTCCTGTCATGAACATATTAAATTTTTGTGGCTATTCAACTGACGAAATTATTTTTAATTTTACAAATTTCATTCTTTATATATGATTAAAATTTTATTTGAATTCGAATTATAATCAGAAGCTCATTGGAAATTAAAAAATATATGTTAAAGAAAAAATAAAATGTTTTTTTTTCTCCCTTTCAAAGGGTGAGAAAATAAAAAATATAATTTTTTGGCCAATAATTTTGTAAGCTTTTTTCCCATTAAATTTGTAAAGCTTCTTTTGTTAATTATTGTTAATTAAATAAATTGACTTGGCTCCGGAGGCAAAGTCATCCCATGTCATGTGACATTTATGCCCTTATTCCATTTTTTTTCATACTATTAGAAAAAAGAAAGAAACTTCTATACTAGCTTACCAGTAATGCGCTTTTACGTGGAGTCCATAATTTATAATTAGGTCCTTCATAGGTAATTAGTGGTAATGAGTTTCTTTGAAAGAAATTGACACCAAAAAAAAAAAATTACCATCTACTTATAAAAATTTTGAAAATTTTTTTTACATAATTATGGGAATTTATGCAAGATTAATAGTAACCCATATAAAATTACCATGGACTTATAAATGTTTCAAGATCAACAAGATATGTAAATTTTTTTGGTAAAAAGAAAAAATATAGAACAGCTTATCTGTCATATTATTTTCTAGGTTTTTTAATTATAGAATATTTTCCAACTAAATATTTTATAGAATATTTCTCAACAGTTATATTTTGATCAAATTTACTCTAAAATTAAAAATATAGTGATAATTTTGCATCAAAATTAAAAATAATGAAAAATTTGTACCCATTATAATATTAATGTCAACTTAAATCACTCACATAAATGATAAATTTATATCTCATCTCAAAATTATTTCATCTTAGGGTACACAAATCTTTTAATCAAAATGGTTATCCAAAATAATTCATTGTTGATTCTCTCAATTCAAAATATAAAAAAATTAAAAAATACTAATAATATATTTTTATTTACATAGTGAAGTTATATTTACATATCCCTAAAATAACAAATGATGATGATGATGATGATGATGAAAATATATGTGATCCTTACTAAAAATAAAACTAAACTTTTGTGTTATAGTCTTATCAAATGCCAATATTTAAGCATAACAATTGCAACTTCCAAAAGCCATTTTTTAACTAGTTTTTTATTCTTTTACATCAAAATGCCGAAGATATTTTGTGAAAGACTCCTTGAAAATGACAGCTCAATTACAACTTGCCATTTATCCAAACACATTGCTGAAATTATTTTTTTGCCATGTTAGGGTAGTAATACATGCATTTAATTTATAGGTATAGGTGTCAATAATACACATTTCCTCTCACATGATGAAAGGTTAGGGAAATGGTATACTTCTATTCGATGATAATTTTTTTTTCTAAAACAAATTACATGATTCCAACATTGCACTTAAAGCTATAATCTCTTATGATCTCAAAACAATCCATGTCTTTGTTTTTAATTTATAATTATGAATGAAATTGAGTGCAAGATGAATTTGATATTTAATTAAATTGATTTATATAATTATTATATGATATTCAATAAATTTAAATTTTAATGTTTGTAATTTTTTTTCTTATTAAGATAAAAATGAATAAAATTATATAAGATTGGAAAGCAATAAAGGGCTAATGAATTTTCATATGTAAAAAAAAGTATTAATATTTCTTCTTTTATTTAATAAATTTAAGCTCATGTTAGTGAGTTTGATATAGTATTTCACATGTATGAAAAATTTTGGTAATAAATTTTTTAGGATATTCTTTAAAATTAGTTAAACTATTACTTATAATAGTATTTTTTATTAAATATAATAATTTTTAATGATTAAGTGAAAATAATACTAGACATAATGATTTTGCAGAATGCTGTAAAATATTATTTGGCAAAATTCATAAAAAAAAATTACAAATTTAATTTCTATCACTTTAATCAAGTGTATACAGACATTGATTAACATTTTATTAAACAAAATAGAACAAGGTTTAGATTCCCCTAACATGAGATTAGCCGATAAGCAAGCTCATTAATGAAGAGCCAAAAAGGCAGAATGGGTAAAATTGGAAAAGACTGCCAAGTATATCTGAGAAAAGGTCACAGTTCACAACGTGGCAAAACACAATTGGATAAAGCACTTCACTGTATCTTGCCCCTCCCCCTTAATCATGTGACACATGCATTTTAGGTACCGTGGATGCTGCAAAGGAGAGCAACGCGGGCAGAGGGTCACACCTCACGAAGACTGTTGACACGTGTTATGATGTGGTTAAAATGATCGTAACTTAATGTTTCCTTTCACCATCCCCTATCAGGCTATCACCCACAAATAAGGGACATATGCCCTTTGGTAGGGCGGTGCCCGTTAAAGACGGGGACATCGCCTTTTGTTTGGAGGAAAAGAGGATTCCTGAAGAATAATTTCGTCAGAAAAGCTTCTATTGATTTTTGTTGGAGGTCTGGGAATTGAGATTGAGTTTAAACCAAGGTGAAATTTTATTTCAACTTTTCATAATTTTTTGTTGGTAAAAAAGTTACAATGGTAAATTTAAATTCTAATCATAAAAATAATACTTAATATTATTTTAATTGAAAGTTACGTTATTAATTGATGCAATTGGATTAAATTGATTACATTTTAAAAAATAATTGCTATTGATATATATGTGTTTTAATCCATGTTAATGTAATAATTTTAAAAATCTAAGCTTTCTATTGGGCTATGTAAACTGACTACTTTCCCATAGCCAACAAAATGTACTGTATGTTTCAAGAATATTATTATGAGAACTATTATTACAAACACTAAGTGAATTAACCACTTGTATTAATCAAGATTATTGCTATAATTTAATATAGCAATTATTAATTAAGTTAACCGCTTTTTCTTTTTGGATGAATATTATAGCATTTCAAACAAGCCAGCATCACTTTTCCAACATTCTTTGGTTGATTTCCAGCAAGACAAAAGCAAATATGTAGAAAATGCAATAAGCCTGTTAATGAATCGAAAGTTCTCTGCACGAGTATATATATATATAATAAGACCTTGAGCTAACTTACCTGGTGCCTATTTGGCTGTGGTTAAATTCTAATGAACTTGAAGCACTTTTGATTGCTTGTGTGATATGGCAATAAACTGACCAAATTTACGGAAACGATGGATTTAATGATTTGTATATTTGTGTCATAAAAATATTAAAATTTTATATTTATATATTATTTTATATAAAAATTATATATCATAATTTATATCGATATGAAATATAAAATATATATTTTTTATGTTGTTGAATTTAGATATAATTATTATTAAAATTTGAATCGTATTTATATCATATTCGTATCGTATTATCGTATTATATTTTAAATTATTAAATTTGAGATGTCGATAAAAAATTTTGACATAATTGTTACATATAGTCCAATGGCAACAACTTGGGGCCTAAAATTGCTACAAAATCTGACAGAATTTTAGTTTCAGTTGCACGCGGTTAATGGTTACCTTCTTCCTCTAGTCCCAATATTTTCCAGCCCCAAATTCTTTAAGAGATAACTGTTTATCTTTCAAAAAATTAATTAAGGATCATCACTAAACATTTTAGATTACATTGACGAGACTAAAAGATAATACATTTATTTTTTATTATATTAATGTTTATTTTAAAATATTTTTTAAAATGATACATGCCATATTTTTAATTTAGCTGATAAAGTTTAAAATTACAGTATTTTAAACCCAAAAATTTCTGCTAACTTGTTATCTACTTGGGATATCTTATTGGTAATTGGTTACTTTAATGGGCTAACCTCGGAGCCCAAATATATAGGCCTACAATTGCTCAGGATTCATGAACTTGCGTAAATGACAAAATCTGAGCACTAGCATGAGCCATGCCTCATAGCCCACAAGTTGCAATGAGCAACAGGATCACCGCAAATTTTAGGGCCACTGTTCGTTTTGGAAAAATATTTTCATATTCACTTTTACTTTATTTATAATTAGAAACATAATCGCGTTAGGCGATGGGATTTATAATTTTTTTTTTCACAAGGTATTTTAATTTTTATTATAATATTAATTATTTTTGTTGAATATTTGATGAATATACTTCCCTCAAAAAAATTTTTCTAAATTGAATTTAAGGAGCCCACCTGGGTTAGTCAAAAATTCGCCTCCAATTATCATCAACTACTAAAAACAGGTCCCTTTCGTCTTCTTTTCTACAAACAAACGCGTCAACTTGCTTCAGTTTACTCGGTATCTTATCTTCCCGTCATTTTTCCACATTAAGAATCCCACACGCTTTTGTGGCATAGCTACTTTCCTACTTTTCAAAACAAGGAAATGGCTTTTGGTTCTGTTTGTAAGTTTAATTTCTCCTCTGATCGGTGGCATGAGGAGGGGCAACTGAAGTAAGTAACTCCATATATACAAACTTACCTAAAGTCGTGAATGGCGAAGAGGAAAAAAGAAGAAGAAGAAGAAGAAGAAGGAGACCGCAAGTAATTAGGTAAAGCCATAAGCTTGAAAGTAAATTATAGTCTTCTCTTTGATGAGTAGTAGCGCTTGAATTCTCTTTGGATTTCTCTTTATCTATATTTATGCTTTACTTATGAGTTGACCCATAAGTTATTAATTTAAACACCATAAATACATATTCTGTTTCAAATTTAATTTCATGAACTCTTTATTATGATCATAAATAAATTTATTTGCATGGTAAGACTTAAGAATTATGCCCTCAGTTTTTTTTTTCTTTTAATTTTTTAAAAAGTAAAACTAAATGATCCCTTAAAAAAAAGTTTAATGATAGAAAACAAAATGATTTTTATGTAAAATAATAAAAAATAAAATTTTTACTTTCATAACCAAAAAAATTTTGAAGTCTAAAAATCCATAAGATAATTAATAATGTTTAGATTTGCAAATAAAATTTGTTACTTCTTTCTCCTTATTTTTTCCATCTTTTACCACAATAATTAAAAAGTATGTATATAATTATGTAATTTATTTATATTAATTATTAATACTAATTTCTAAATTTGATGTCACAAATGATATCAACATAAATGATGAAATTATTTAAAATTAAAAAATTTATAATTACAAATATAGAGTTAAGGATGAATATGATTTACCTTGTTTATAAATCTCAAATTTTCTTCACATGCTAAAAAAAAAAAATAACTATCCATTTATGGAAAATAATACCCAATTTTACTTTTTACACAATTTTTTCTCAAAATAATAAATAAATAAAATGGTTTTTCTTTTTATCTTTGAATATGACTTCTGTGGGCTAATGGGCTAATAATAATATTTCTATGTGGGCTAATGTTTCAGTGAAAAATGGGCTGAACCCATGTTATTAGGCCCAGATGCGGAGCATTGTGGATTAGGTCCAGTGCTCCAGTTACAGTTTATAAACACTAGAAAAATGTTCCGCTGCAAAACGAGATTTATAATCATTATTAAAAGATGTAATTTTGTGTGTTTAGTTAAAGATTATTATTGATGTTATTGTGATAATATTGATATTTTTATTAAAAATTGAATAAATGTGTATTTTTTTAAATTTTCTCACTAAATTGAAGAAGAAGAAAAAAAAAAAAAACCCATGAATTCCTTTAATCTATAAATATAGAGGTATAAATTAATATATATATATATATATATTTGATTTGTTAAAATTAAAACGTAAACAAAATTAAGCAAATCATTTACAAGAAAAACAATAATACCACATTATTAAAGCAGGTAATCCTGATTTGAACTACAAATATAAACTCTAATTAACATAAAAATGTTTCGACTTCAAAGAAGGATTATTTTTTTCCACATGCTTAGCTATGAGTCATTTACTCTTGAGTTGCATGCATAACCCCAAACATGTAATTTTGTTTTTATTGTATGTTTTAATTCGTGGGACTGTTGTCAACAAAAAAAAAAAATCCATGCGAATGTTTCCATTTTATTGGTAAGCATACTTTTAGAAACGTTTTCAAATTATTATTTGTGTACTACCATGGCAACAATGTTGATCCTCTCAGATTTTCTTGTCTTAATAGTTTTCTGCAGCTGCAGCGGTGACTTTTTCAAATTACTTTAGCAGACAATTTTTTTTTTCAAGCTTCAAATTGTCAGGAATGGCTGATGAGTTTGCTATTTCCGCTGCTTCGAACGTTGCGGGAAACCTGATATCGGAATACCTGCTGAAGCCTGCAACACGTAAACTTCGTTACATGTTTTGTTTTAATAACATTGTAAAAGATCTTAAGAAGAAAAGACAGGAACTTACATCAGCTCAAGATCGGCTGCAATATGACGTCGAGGAGACCAGAAAGCAAATTCAAGAAATCCAAGAGGACGTGTTGGATTGGCTAAATGCTGCCGATGAAGTCCAGAAAGATGTGCAGAGTCTGGAAAATGAAATACGGGAAACTCAAAGGTGTTTCAGTTGGTGTCCGAATTGGAGTTACCGATACAAGTTAAGTAAGAAAGTAGCAAAGAAGACGCTAGTGGTTACTGAACTTGTACAAACTAGCAAATTTGAACGATTGGGCCGCCGTGCTACTCTTCCAAGCATAGAGTTCTTTTCTTCTAAGGATTTTATGCCTTCTAAATCTTCAAATTCAGTTTTGAAACAGATTAGAAAGGCGCTGGATGATGATGATGTGAACATGATTGGTGTGTGTGGGATGGGAGGAGTGGGCAAGACAACTTTGGTGAAAATAGTGGGAATCAAAGCTAAAGAATTGAACCTATTTGATCAAGTTGTATTTGTCACTGTGTCCCAGAACCCAAACCTGGACAAAATTCAAGATGGAATTGCGGACACTTTGGGTTTAGAATTTGATAAGAGGAGCGAACAAGGAAAGGCAAGGCAGTTGTGGTTGAGGTTGATAATGGAAAAGAGGGTTCTCATTATTCTTGACGATGTTTGGAAAGAGCTCAACTTGATGGCTGTAGGAATTCCTTTTGGTGAATATCACAAGGGTTGCAAAATTCTTGTCACAACACGTCGTCAACAAGTATGTTCTTCTATGAGATGTCAAACAAAGGTTCAACTTGACGTGTTAGCTGAAGATGAATCATGGGATTTGTTCAAGCGGAATGCATTTCTGGATGATACGTGTGGCACTTTGAATGACGTCGCCAGGGAGGTTGCTAGAGAATGCAAGGGTTTGCCTCTTGCAATTGTTACCATGGCAAGGGCTCTAAGAGAAAAAAGTCTAGATGAGTGGATAGTCACAAATCAACGACTCAAAAACTGCCGCCACTTGGACAATCAAGAAGTTTGTGAAGATATCTACTCATGTCTCAAGCTTAGCTATGATTATTTAAAGGGTGAAAAACTCAAGTCATGTTTCTTGTCATGCTCCCTTTTTCCCGAGGACTATGAAATTAGCATCGAGGAGTTGACTAGATATGAACTTGGGCGGGGATTGTTCTATGAGGTCAACTTGATTGAAGATGCAAGGAGGGAAATTCGTGTACTGGTAAAAAGCTTACAAAACTCTGGTTTATTATTGGACAGTGGCAAAGAACAATTTGTGAAAATGCATGATGTGGTTCGGGATTTTGCTCATTGGATAACCTCATCAGGAGATAACACATTCCTGATAAAATCTGGCATTGGGATAGAGGAGTGGCCAAGGAGTGAAAATTTTGGATGTTACACGACAATCTCTTTGATGGACAACAAGATACATAACCTTCCCAACAAATTGGAGTGCCCGAAGCTCGAAACTTTGTTATTCAGTGGAGATGGCTCAACAAGAGTTTCAACAACATTTTTTGAAGGGATGAGCAACCTCAAAGTACTGACTATCGAACGCGTCTTTTGGTTAGAAGGACTTCAATTCTTGACAAACCTCCGAACTCTACGTTTAGAGAAGTGCAAACTCAGCAACGTTTCATCATTGGGAGAACTGAAAAAACTGGAGATTCTTGATTTTCATGGTTCTGGAATCATTAGTCTCCCAAATGAATTAGGAGACTTGCCAACTCTACGATTGCTGGATCTGTCAGATTGCCAAAGGCTGCGAAGGATTCCCTCTAACTTGCTACCAAAGTACGCGGTGTTACAGATATGCCAATTTTTAGTATTTTTCAAGTTCTTGGTTATATATTTTACTTATTTGCCTACTATTCCTTGTTCAATATACTTTGATTTTTCTTTTTTAACATTTAAAGTTGCCATAATTTGAATCCTGATCACTAAAATTAAGAATCTAGCACTCCACCAGTAGTTCAAGTAGCTATTCGCATTATAGGGAAAAAAGTGAGAATTTTAAATTCTTAAGAACTGAGTTCAGCTTTGTGGTAAAATGAAAAAAAATGCCCTCAACTTTGGGAACTAAAAATCCCCACCAAGAAGGTGGTAATTTCAAATTTGTTTAATTATTTATTGCCTAATGTGTTAATTATTTTTTATCTAACAGGTTATCTCTACTAGAAGAGTTATACTTCAGCGGATTTAGCGTTCAACAATGGGCAAGTGAAGGAACAAGCTTAGAAGCAAGCAACGCTAGCTTATCAGAGCTGAATTCATTGTCCCGTTTGACTGCACTTTCACTAAACGTTTGTTCTAAGTATTTTCCAAGGGGGTTTGTGTTCTCCAAATTAGAAAGATATGGGATATTCATAAATAGATGGTACTACGGCAGCTATCCAACCTCAAGAACCTTGCACATCAAAGGATGCCCATTGGAGGCATTTAAGGAGTTGTTCTCTAACGTGGAAGATCTTACTTTAGATGGGATCATGGGTTACAAGAATCTTAATGTTCCAATCTCATATCAAGGCAGGGGACTCAACAAGTTGACTTCTCTTGAACTTCAAGATTGCAAGGACATTGAATGCCTGATCGATACAACACAAGACCAAGTGCTGGGGAATGTTGCTTTCTCTAACTTGGTGAAATTAACCATAATGGAAATGGTTTGTTTGAAAGAACTATGCAATGGTCAGCCTCCAAAGAGTTTTCTACAGAAATTAGAAGAGATGACAGTGAGGAAATGCAAGCACATGATCTCTATAGTCCCAGCGCTTCAAAATCTGAAAGAAGTAAGGGTTAAAGAATGTGATAAGTTGCAGGTGGTTTTTCAAATAGATGGGCATATGTTTATAAAGGAAGGTCGAAATTCGATGCAACTTCTCTCAAACTTGACATATTTGGACTTAGAGTTCTTACCTGAATTGAGAAGCATATGGAAAGGGTCAATCCGTCATGTAAGTTTCCAAAGTCTAAAGATGGTGAGAATCCAGGACTGCAATAAGTTGACGTTTCTCTTATCACATTCCCTGGCTGAAAGCTTGGTTCATTTAGAAAAGCTTGAGATAAGTCACTGTTCGAGACTGGAGCAGATTATTATCAATGACATAGCACTACCAGATCAAGGTGAACCATTATTGTAGAGCACCTGTCCCAGTCTTTTCTGCTTCCCAAAATTAACGACTCTTGGAATAACTGATTGCTCCAGATTGCAATATATATTTCCAATGTCAACGGCTCAAGGTCGTCCAAGTGATGGGACTGAGATCGTGCTCCCTCGGTTGCAGTCTTTAGTGCTTGAAAATTTAATGAACTTGACAAGTTTTTATGCAGAAAACTGCTTTGTAACACTGCCATGTTTGGAAAAGTTGGAAGTGCGCAAATGTCCCCTTCTGACATATTTTACGGTTCGGCTGGAAGTCACTATGCAATCTCAACTAAAGGTACTTGTCTCTATCTCTCTCTCTTTCTCGTTTTACAGTTGAATGCACAAGCATTGCAAATTTGCAACCCTTTCTGAGGTGGGTGCTCTATGTCTATGTGTTTACATTACAGAGATTATGCCTTTCTAAGGTGGGAAAAAGCAATCAATTGTGCAACATAGTTGGCTCCCATAGGAGACAAAAGTCACGAAATTTGGAATACTTGGTCGTTGGGGATTGTGAAGAAATATTCCATCTTCAAGGTGGATACTTCCTCTCATATTTGGAGGCATTGCGGTTGGAGGCTGTTTCTAATTTGCAGGTTATATGGAAAGGTCCCACTAATGTTGCAAACCTACAAAATCTTGTTTGCTTGGTATTGATTGACTGTCCAAAGCTAAGATATGTCTTCCCACCTGTACTTGCCCAAAATTTGAAGCAATTGAGTTACCTAGACATACAGGAATGTGGGGAATTGGAACAAATCATTGCCAAGGATCAAATTTCATCATCATCATTATCATCACATTCTCAGGGTCATCAACCTCTATGCTTCCCCAATCTGACCGAAGTTTGCATCAAAAAATGCAAAAAGTTAAAAAGTCTCTTTCCCGTTAGTGTTGCTTGTCATCTTCCGAAACTAGATTGTATCATGGTTGAGGAAGTCCTTGAATTAAAACAAGTATTCGGACATGAAGATGAAGCAGACATAAAAGATGAGAAGATAATGCTCCTTCAACTAAGGGAATTACTCCTTACAAAGCTACCAAATCTCATGAGTTTCAGCCCCATGTGTCACCATTTTAAATTCCCACTTTTGGGGTTCTTGACAGTAACAGATTGCCCCAAGATGATTACAACTTTCACTGTGGATTCTGAACTAACAGTGCATGCAAAAGCAGAGGTACCCCTCTTTACCTGGTTTTATATTTATTGTTGTTATCAACAAGAAAATGCAATTTAGCTTCAGTCACATTGTTTTTGTATTTGGTTGTTATTTGCGAAGGAATCTAATGCTACAAGGGTTACCAGCACTGATATTGATTGGCATCGTCATAATAGTCCTAATGCACTACCTCGATACATTGAAGAACCATAGGATCATTTCACACAATGAAATTGCATCCATGTTGCCAATGCTTGAAGCAGTTGCTAATCCTTCTCTTTGTATCTACAGGTAGTTTCTGTTACAGATGCTTTTGTAAAATTTCTTGATTTGCTTTTGCTTTTTTTTAAATGTTTTAATTATTTGTTCATACAAAGATTTTCTAAGGAAATTTGGAAGGACTCCTAAAACTGCTGATCATACTGTTGCTCTCGTTAAGGAAGCCATTCAACTCAGACTTTGCAGCACCCAGTTTGCCACTTCGATCTGCAAAATCAAATGCTTAGCCGGCATTAGTGTCTGCAACATTCTGTATCAGTTTAATGTTCTGTGATCTGTAATCTTTTGTCTTTTGATTGTTCCTTTGTTCTGCTGCTTATCTTCTAGCAGCCTGTTTTATTGTGTATTAGGAATCCTGCTTTCTTTAGATGAACAGATAGCATTTATCCAAAAAAAAAGAAACAAAAGATTTTCTAAGGAAACTTCTGTTCAGTTGAAACAATGAGGAGGCAGTTTATTAGAATGTCTCTTCATTTGGAAGAACATTGAGGATTTTCTAAGGAAACCTGCATAAAAGCCACCATTGATGCCCATCTCAAGCAGCTATCTCAAATACACCCACTATTCCCTGTCCATATGTGACTTCATATGTCATCTGGTCTCTGACATTTAGTTAACAAAGGAACCAGCTCCATCCACTTGATTAATGGAAGTATCGATATATATAACGGCTTTGAAAAGTATTCCATCTCGAGTCACATTGATGTTTGCTTTCATATATTATATATATTGTTCAGGGTTTCGGCTTTTGACATGTAAGGCCAGGTTAGCTGTAAAAGGGACCAAGGTGCCATATTTAACACATGCACACATAAATCTTTATCCGCATATTTCCTTGAAATTTCGGTTTTTATTTGCAAAATGGTACTTGTCCATTCAAGGATACAACTTTCTTCAGGAAAATAATGGTGAATATTACATTTATGGTTGAAAGAGTGAAGAATAATTAGGATCACCTACTTTCCTATCTGCATAAATATCCACTTCATTTACAAATATTTCACCTCAGACTGGCATCTCATCTTCCATGTTCCCCCTTGGCATTACTTCAGCCCTAAAATCAACTCTGGAAGGTGGTAAAGGTGCAAATAACACCTTCTTAATGTTACTTATTATTCCTTTGTCATATGGATTTGGAGATCCCTGGTAGCGGCACCGAAAATTCTCATAAGCTGTCTGTGTCAATGAAACAAAGATTGAAGAAAAGAAAAGAATCAGTGAACTTCACTAAGGACAACACCTGCAAGCAAGTAATCTGAAGTAAAGTGGAGATATGCACATCCCCTAAAATAATAAGTTTCAGTAGATTAGGCCTACCTGATTTATTGCAATTAAATAGGAGTGGAAGATGGCAAGGCCACCTACAAACGAAAAGGCCGCAAAGCTAAACAACGTCAATGCTAAGGTTTCAGGGCAGTTCTTGAGCATTCCAAACAATCCAGTACCACTTTCCAACATTCTTTGGTGGATCCTCCAGCAACAGAAAGCAAATATATAGATAAAGAAGACTAGTGCTGTTATCAAAAATGTCAAATAGAATCGATAGTTTCTCTGCATAAATAACCATAAAAACTTAGTTTCATATAAACACTTGTTCATATGTAATTGAAGCAATTGGTTGTGTCGACCGTACCAGTGCAATACACTGACCAATCCATGGACAGTGGTGATCAAATTTTTCAACACAATTGTCACATATGGCGCAATGGCAACTCCTTGGTGGCCTAAAAATCCTACAAATCCGACAATATTTTAGTTTTACTTGCACCCCATTAACAGTTACCTTCTTCCTCCTAGTCCCATTACTGGTACCAAAATCTGTAACAGATGATTGTTCAGTACTTCTAGGAATGATTCCAGGGTCAATTGCAGTAACCAGAATCAAGTTGACAATAACCTGCAGTCAAATGCAATGGAGGAAACGATCAGGGGAAAAAAATTTTACTCTAGTTCATCATTTTGTGACAGTTGTACTAAGTTTGAACCATGTAGTACTGAGACTGACCATTATAGTTAGAATCAAACATATAGTGACAACAAGAGTGGAATTAGTATTTGGTAAATCATATCCAATGTAAATGGTAAAAATCCAACTTGAAACAAGTATAGAAACTGATGTGAGGAGCAACCCCCTTGGATCTGGACCGCATACCAGTCGACCATGGAAGAAAAATACCTGCATTAATTGCCAAACGAGTAAGTTTTGATAACAATTTTTTTAAATGGTTGTTTTGGTATGATAAAAAGGTAAGGTACATTGTTCCCTGGCCAAACTTGGTAAGTTCGAGTTCCCTTCTCATTGTTTCCATGGGAAACATGTTGGAGCCATTGTTCTTCAATAACTCCTCTGATTTTATAGAAATTGTCTTTCAGACAAACCCCCAGATTCCCAAACATTCCTCCAAATTTCTTTTCAACTTTGTTTGATCTTTTTTTTCTTTACCAAATTGTTTGATCTTTTTTTTCTTTACCAAATTGTTTGATCTTTTTCTGAACAGCTAATGCAAAATTGAAGGAAAAAAATGGACACTGCAAGAGCGGTTTTACTTCTGACTAATTGGGCTAGCTTTCCAGCCCAAATATTTTGGGCCTAAAAATGAGCGCAGGTTGTTTTAAAACGACCGTTTAAAAGTGCCACGTAAGCAAAAGGCTTCCACGCGTACGTTAGCAGGAGCCGCCGCCTGGCCGCAACATTAAACCTCTTTCTGTCTGAGCAGGGTGTTCCCTCTCTTTCTCTAAAATGGAGTACAAGAAAGAGAAGACGAAAGTTTTACTGACAATCATATCGGTTGCCGCAATCTCAATCTTCTTCGCCGATCAAGTATACAATCGACGCCGGAGACAGAAAAGACCTCAAAGTCGCTGTTATTTACACTCCGAACTAAAGCCGCAACACCGTTTCAAGCGCTTGCTAGCCGATAACTGCTATTCTCCTTTCAGCCATTTCAACCGCCAAACGGATTCCGTTTATGGTAATCAACCTTCCACTTCTTTTTCATTTATTAAAAAATGATGATTAATTTATATGTTGCAGAGAAAGCTTCGAGTTTGACTCATCCGTATGAAGCGGTGATAACGGCATTGATGGAGAAACCGCAGCGTCAATTTTCTAAGAGTGGGATTGATGATTTTGGTGTGAAATTGGACATGGAAATTGATGATTCTTATGTTTGGGTTGAAACCGAGTCGCAACTGAGTCAAATCGCTCAAGTTTTGAGTGAAGAGTGGGCTTTCGCTGTTGATACTGAGCAGCATAGCCTACGGTCATTTTAACGTTTCACTGCTCTAATACAGGTCAAACACCATTAACAAAAAATTAAACTTTTTACCTTTGATTTTTTAATTAAACTTTTAATTATTTTTTATGGTATAAACAGCAGATTTCTACTAAGAAGGAAGATTATTTGGTGGATACAATTGCTTTACATGATGCAATGGGCATTCTTCGTCCCGTTTTCGCTGATCCTAATATTTGCAAGGTATAAACTTTTAGTATGAATTAGTGCATTGGTGGATTGTGGTAAAGCAGTAGTAAAGATTAAGTATTAGTATCCAGATAACATCATGGACCGCTTGGGATTGTGATGCAGGTGTTCCATGGGGCTGATGGTGATGTTGTCTGGTTACAAAGAGACTTCCACATATATGTTGTCAATCTATTTGACACTGCAAAGGTGAGCTTCAATTATTTGTTTCTAACGAACGTGGAAGAATTCGCCAAGGTTAAATGCTTGTTATCAGTAATGCATGCATGCAGAGATGGTGCTTTTTAACTACTGACCATCTTCTATTTTCTTCTCAATTCGCATTTCTCTTACTTTGACATAGGCATGTGATGTTTTGTCAAAGCCCTAGAGATCATTGGCCTACTTACTTGAAACTTATTGTGGTGTGGCCAAAAATAAATTATTACAGGTATGTGGTTGACACTTGCTTAGGGCTTCTCATTAAGCTTATTGTGCATCTTTTAAACTTCTCTAAGTAGAACATTGATCTTAAAGTTATTTATCCCGATGCTGCATTGCATTACAGCGTGAAGACTGGAGACAATGTCCACTGTCAGAGGAAATGGTGCAGTATGCTCGTACCGATGCACATTATCTACTGTATATTGCAAATTGTTTAATTGCTGAGCTCAAACAACAGGACCATGGTATGTTTGCCATCCAAAGCGAATTTATCTTGTTTGTCTCAAAGTAGATCGGAACAGGAAATATAAAGTATTATAATAGAAAATTTCTACATAAATTGTTAATGATAGAGGTTAAATGATTATGCCCAATATCCAAAGCATTATAACTTTTTATTATGAATGAGTGCTGGTGGCTTTTTTTTTTTTTGGGGGGGGGGGGGGGGTGGATCTTAGTTGAAGGCCTTGGTTAGAAACAAATTTGTTCCACCCCACTGTTTTTGGGCATAAAAGAATAAGGTTAACCTTGAAGGGTGCATATAATACACCACATGGAATCTTAAATTCTTAACCTTAACTTTTAATTCACAACTACTAAAAAGACCTATATCTACTACTTCTTGTAGCATCCACATGCTAAATATATCAATGTATCAGAATATTCATTTTGCCCTGATGATAAGTTCCATTTTGTTCTCGAGGCTAGTTGACGATCAAACATGATATGTTTACAACTCTATGCTAAAGAGATTGAAGATTTTCCTGGGGAGTCTGCTGCATTATCAATACTTTCTCGCCAATTGAATGGCCAGGGAGGTGCCTCTATATCAGATGAAACCAAGGTTTGGTTCTCTTCACATCACTGACTATAACACTGAAAATCATTAAAAGAGGGGGCATTCTTCATTATTTTGTACTTAATTTTACATCATATTCTAATGCTTTGTTCTTAATTTCAGTTTCAGGATCTTGTTAGGAGACTGTGTGCATGGAGGGATTTAATGGTAAGTGTTAACTTCAATGTAAACTACCAGTTTAAAATTTCTTCATTACTCAATGAGACTGTAGGTAATATTCTCCTTATTGATAAGGGAAACTCCCACGGCAAAATTTTTGTGGTTTCCTGTCAAACTTTGTTGATAATATAGAGTGATACTAAATTTGGTGATAATTATCCACTGGAGCAACTTTTAGTTATTGGTGTATGCAAGCAAAAAATTGTTTCTCTAATTTTTTATGGCTTTTGTCTGTTATGAATATCTCATTTGTTATATGGTATGATCAGGAAGAATTTTTTTCTTCTCAGATCATAACATGCTGGAAATCACAAGGGATTATCTCTTGAGCTTTGATACCAAACTGTGACCCTGTGCTTCTGCTCATGGCAGCAGGGTATATAGTTGAATCGACACAATTCATGTCTATGCAAGTTTGAGACTATTCTGATGTAATTTGCATTGACCTGGGTGCTCAATTCAACGAAACCAGTCATTGCATTTACTTATGATGTTCTTCTGTTCTTTTTTGTTAGTTGGTTTCTCTTGAAAACAGTGGTTATTGATGCTTTACATGTGCTGCTACCTCTTTTCAGGCTTGTGTGCATGATGAGAGCACAAGATACATATTATCTGAGCCTGCTATTCTTGCTCTCTCTGAAAAAGTCCCAACAACACAAGCAGATATTTATGGCACCATAATTCAAGCTGATTTGAATGTTGATTCTTCATATTTCAGCTCTTCACTGCCATCCCCTTTCCCTCTTGTTTGCAGCCATTGGATCGATGTCAATCAACTAATCCAGGACAAGTTAGGCAATGTTGATAAATTTTTTCCAGTGGTTCTTCAAAATTGCCTGGGTCCAAATGGGAGTTGTCCATTGTCTGCATTTAACCATGCATTATTGATGAACTATAGCCTGAAACTAGAAATTAGGTTAGTTTCCAAACAAAGTGGGTTCAAAAACCCAAAACAAGCTGCTATGAAAGCTTCTCGTGAGCTATTCATTCAAAAATTTTCCAGCAAATCTCCGGCTTATCATAATTGTAGGATCTATGCAAATGATGGGCGGCTTTTATGTTACTGTGATCGCAGGAAGCTGGAATGGTTTGTGCATCTTTTTCTGTATCTTATTTCCATTTAACCCCAAAATTTATGTTCCATTTGACAGGATAATGTTATTATCTTATAGGTATCTTCGTAGAGATCTGGCAAAACTTGTTGATGATGACCCTCCAGCAATAATGCTTCTTTTCGAACTGAAAGGCCACCGAGAGGATGAAGATAATGATTTTTATATCCAAAGTAAGAAAAAAATGTGTCAGCTGTGGTGAAGGCAATCACTACTTACGCTACCGAATAATTCCCTCATACTACAGATTTCACTTTCCCGGGCACTTAAAAAGCCATCGCTCTCATGATACAGTCCTGCTCTCTATTGACTGTCATGAAGTTGCTCATGCTTCTGCTGATAAGTACGAGAAACATATTGCTGGAGAATTTGGAATTCCACTTTATGTCCGTAAGGTAGTTGATTCAAACCAAGCACCTATTATATCTGGGTCATCTGATTCAATGAACTTCGAAGATTCAGGTGTCTTACCACTACAATTACGAACAGCTGCTAAGGCTCTTTTGCGTCATGGACCTGAAATGCCACCCGGTCGCCGTGAAGAACTGACTCGGGTCTGAAAGCTTATCTTCACGTAGTTTTTTTCCACGTAAAAATCTAGAGAGCTTTAATATGTTTCAATGAATCACATGAGGCCATTTAGGTTTGAAAGAATACGCTGTTCTGCTTCAGGCCACTCAGGGGGCCTGAGAAACCCAAAAGCAAAAGGGTTAAATGCTATGTACTAGTATTAAACTATGCTTGATGTGAGCATCGTGATAAGCTTGGAAGTAGAACATACTATTTGGATCTTGGAAGCTGACTAGACATTAAATATAACTGTTAAATTCAGCCATTTTTTATAAAAGTTTAACATTGGGGTTTTTGAACTAGATATTCAGTTGCGCTTCATGTTTGATCCAAAATTTATACTTAATGTACAACATATTAACTTAGAACCAAACTCCCTGTTCAATTTGCATTGCTTGCTTCAACTTCTATTAGATAAAAAGAAAATTTAAAACTTATATATAGTTATTCAGCCACACATGTAATACTTGCCACTTTTATTCTCTTTTTTACAAACTTGCTTCCTTTTTTTTTTCTCTCTCCATCACCATATTTTTTTGTCAATCATTACAAGTGTATGGCTTTGCTGTAGCATCTTGGTGGTACATTTCATAGGACTCTTGGAAGAAATAGGTTCATTTTCCTTCATGTTGCTTTTGCAGATTGTTATGAAATATTATGGGGGCCGGGATATATTCAAGGAAGATTTAGAAAGAGCCTTGGCAGTGGGCATGAGTCCTCATGAGCGAAGAAGACTGGAGAAGAAGAAAGGCTCGTCTTTAAAACCTTCTATGACGATCCTTCCAGTTAAAGAACAAGAAAGTAATAATGGGACAAAGATCATTATTAACACCTCAGATCCATCGAAAGTTGATAATCCTGACGGTTCGGATTTTACTGCAGATGTTTCTCATTCAACAAAAGTTGACAAAATGAAAGAAGCACTGAAGACAAAGGAAGACATGGATTTTTGTATGGTGACAGATACCGATACAAGAAATCCTCCAACAAGTTCTGATATAGGGGTGGTGACAGTTTCAACTACATCTTACAATGATATGAATTCACGTAGCACTGGAATTTCCGAGACTAAAAGTGCATGTGCAGTCAATGCTGATGATAGTTGTGAGAGAAGTACACCAAATGAAATAGTTGACTCATCTTGTACGAGATATGATGAAAACATCCCACTTAAACATAATTCAAAATTATCTCTACTAGGGCGTGGACCCCATGGGAAACAGGTTGTGGATCATATATTAAATGAATATGGAGAGGAAGGCATTCGTCAATTTTGTCAGTGGTGGAGACGAGTTTTTGTTGAAGCTGTTCATCCTCGTTTTTTACCTGCTGGCTGGGATGTTATGCGCAGGTATGCCTCTGTCCTGTTATGTTTGTGCATAATTGTTTTAGCTTCCTTTCTTATAGAAAGTTCCTATGGAAAGGAGTAATGTATAACATTGGAGAATGTAGGAAGACAAGGTAAGGGAGAAACCAAATTCAATGAGGATTTGGTTGATGTAGAGGGAATTTGAGAGGGTGGAAATTGCTTCGAAGTAAGAATGATGACCGCATGTGAGGACAGACAGGAATATTCATAGGCTACAGCTTTTACTCTTTGATAAATGTAAGATTGACAAGAGAGAGACTTAACAGGAAGCCCGCTAGACCTTGGAATTTCAGAATCACAATAGAGCTTCTTATCCATAAAAGCTTTGCCTTGATAACTCTTAACCACCTCCCACCTCCCCAACCCCAAAAATAAACAAAAAAAAAAAAAAAAACCGAGTGACTTGATTATACATGTTAAGTACTAATTAATGACTCATTTCATTTATTCATGTATTTATTTCTTTTCCTTTTCCTTTCTTTGTCCAAGGATTTAATTTGGACACTGTTTTTGCCAGTGGCAGAAGAGAATTTGTTGAGTTCAGCGTGTACAATCCTGCCAAGAAAGGTGCGGATGGTGATTAATATTTGTAGCAAAATGATGGGGAATGTAAACCAGAAGACAGTCACTTTCAACTTGGTACATTGCATGGCAGTTACACTGCAACTCAAGCCCTTTTGCCATTGTTTTGTATTCGATTCAACTGCTCAAGAACTTTAATCCAGATCCCTTGTTATGCATCCTGTTTCTTTTCTGTACCAATTTTTGAGGATGGATCTCTTAACAGCTTTTCTTCCCTAAACTATAGATAACTATATGCATGATCAATTAGGCTCATGACTTGGAAATCCAATAGAAAATAATAGAGGTGTGGATAAGAGAAATTAAATGATGACATCCATGGTACTCTTCAATTCAGTTATCATCCTTCCCTTGCTTTTCACTACCTGTTTGATTTGAATCAAGTTACACGAACTTTAGCATCATTAAATCTGTTCATCAAACCATGTAGCTATGCCTCGCAAAGATGCAAATAGTGTCCCGATCCCAAAAACCCTTTATAAATGGAGCAGGACAGCTATACTTGAAAATAATTGCCACTCAATCTGCCAAGAAATCCAGAAATTAAAATGTCTTACACTTGAAATAGACATGACACAACGCAGTCGCACCAGATGAGATGAAAACATACCATCTAATACAGTGTCAACAACTGAGACTTATGATCAATGCCATTGAATACATAAGTGCCAGACATGGGAACAAACTGCTTTGTTAGAAGCTGCAGCAAACACAACATTTGCAATTTCGGGCAGTAATGAGCAATTACCAAGACATATAAACAATGTAAAATCATTTTTCAATACCCGCCCTCATTTAGTCCATGAAAACATGAATTTGAAACACTTAGAGCTGAGAAAGAATAAAATGCTATACCTTGATAACCTCTTGAGATGCAATTCCTCCGACAAATGCAGCGACAGCATGCAGCTCTGCCGCGCCAAATCGGCACATTTCATTAATAAGGTCCTCTGTCAATGTTAAGCCGTTGCAACCCAAATCATTAAGTAGGCTAATAGCTGTAGATTTTAACCGAGATATATCCTCGTCCATTCCACTGCAAAACAATAACCAAAGAGTTAGCATGCAAAGCTCAGGTTACCACACCAAAGGAAAAGAAAAATTCAGATGGGTTGGACTTACCCATCAAACTGCCCGGGAAAACTGTTGAAATTTGCAGCATAGCGGTCGGCAGCTCTTAGAAGAATATAGAATCCCACAGCAAAACTGCCGAATATAAACACAAGAACATAAGACTGTGATCAAGATTTGATTTGTGAATCAAAATCATAATTTTTCAAATTGAACAATCAAAAATCAAATCATAGAATACAAAAAGAGAAAAATCTTAATATACTATTTATCTCAGGCAATAAGCATTCATGTAAAATGCGAAAAAAAAGAATATGCTAAAAGTAAAATATGTAGGAGTATAACAAAGCTAAAGGATTTCTTTTATTCTAATTTTATAGGCCTTTAGGAAGCCTCTGGCTTAAAAAAGAGGGTGAATTTTTAAATAGCTGGTGCAACTGGGTTTTTGGGGATGTTCAGATTTGTGACAAACTAGACTGTTTTGTTAATTGAAAGAGTCATAAGTTACAAGTTGGAAGCCATACAATTCAGGTGAGAAACCACATCAATCATGGACCCACCAATTCTCTACTTATTTCAATCATCCTATTATATTCAAATGATACGCTAGTGAATTGAATCAAATCATACCATTTAAATCAAAATTGTACAATATTGATAACTATTGATAAGGTTACTTTGTTGTATGAAATTGACACATTAAAATTAAATTTCTGAACTTGGTATAGTTCCGGAAGATTCAATTTTACATAGTCGTAGCCCTAACTGGAACCAATCAAAGCAAATATGTCCCAGGCTCAAAAATTGGAAAGCCCAATACAAGACCCAACTAGATGTTTCTTCTAGACAACAACGCTAATTGACTTCTAGCATTAGTAAGGAAAAAAAAAGAAGACATAATTGTTAAAGTAAGGACCCAGTTTGTTACTATAAAATTACAGAGAAGATCAGGCAAGTTCACTTGGTAAAGCAACTCTATATGATAGATAGAATCTTCACATGTAGTTTTAACCTGTCACAAATGTCACACATATCACACGTATAAAAGAAAGTTTTCCACATATATAAGACAATGCATTTGGTTCAAAACTGATCAAAGAGCACCATAATGTTATGAATGGAGATTTGACGTTTGGAAGCATAAAATTTAAGTCACTGGCACCTGTAATCTTCATCAGTCAAATATTTCTGCAGCTCAGCAAGGGGTGGATTATTATACTCATCCTCAATGAGGCGATACCTGCAAACCTACAAAGTAATGATTAGAATGCCTCATTGAGGGGTACCAAGTCAAAGAGCAATAAATGAATGAGAACTTTTTCTACATCATCTGTCAAAAACAGAATGTCAACCCTTGGTTTGTGGCTTTGTGCTTTTGAGCTTTTTTGCATGTGTGCTCAGTTAGCTGAGGGGTTATTCCACAAAAGGTGTGCCTCACTGTGATCTCTTTGGAATCGTCATCAACAGGGTGATACATCAGTAACATATTGGACAACATTCTATTTATCATAACATAAACATTCATCAATGTGGGATCCTGATAATAAAAATTGAGGGCAGGAAGATCCAAATTAACAGAAAAATAAATGATGAAATAGACCAGAACGGCTGGTGATGTAATGCAGTAGTAGGAATTAAACAAGGTTATTTAACAAAAAGCAGTTAACAAAGCACAATAGAGATCCACCAAGGTCTTCCAAAGAGTGGTACTTTGAGGCACATTATACACTCCAAACAATTTACAGATCTTAGTCAGAATTGGGATGAATGATGACATTATACCACCAAAGTGCTTCTCATATCAATGGGGATAGATGCAGTAGATTGAACCATAAATAAGCAAACAGATGAAATTTAACACACTTACTTTGAGTTTTCTTGCATTTTTACAGAAGCTTTTTATCATTGCCTTTGGGATACTATGTGGATCTCTGCCAATTTTCTTAAGAATATTCCGAACTCGTTGTTCAATGACAAGAAAATCAGCCTCAGACTTAGCCTGGTAGATCTTCTGCAAGTTTACATAATGCCTGAACAAGAGAATTGAGAGAGCAGTTATCCTCAATTTTAGAGAAAACAAATAGCAAGAAATTTTGTCCAGATCAATCACTAACTCAGTTGAAGATGTCATATCTGGTATTGACCCCTCAAGTGGTGCCTCCCCACCACCTTCATTTGCAATGAACTCCTGGATAAAGTGCACAATTGCAAAGAGTAAATTCAATCAAGAGAAACTTGCAGGGGCTTGAATAAGTTTAAGTTGGAGGGAAATCATAAGAATTTATAGTGGGATAGACATTGATTAAATATTCAATCATCTTTAAGCAATTATAAATAGTCAAAGTAATACCTACAAGGATGTTGCATGGAAAATGATGGTTTGACCTAAAGAAAAGCCTAGAAACACCTATAATCTTATTTTGTTGCATGACATAAATATATATAAAAAATCATACCATCAAAACACAACCCAAAATCCTACAACTCTTTTACTCTCCTCTAACAGTCATGCACAAAAACAAGACACTTCCCATGGATGATGGCACTTAAATCCAGAAATCAACCAATAAAAAATTGACAACTAATTTAAATTATTGAGATGACATTGGAAACTGACATTTTATCTAAAATTTTCCCAGGAATATTTGAGGAAAGAGTGAAATGGTTATGAGAAACAATCAGCTACACAATTAATCTTCACTGCTTATAAAATTAGAAAAGCTCCCATTGGACACCATCCAGGGTTGGCAGCCTCATTTAGGTTTATCAGAGAACCTCTAGGGCTTACAACTAAACCAATAAATGATCCTATACAAGTATCAACAGATAAGAGTCCATTATAAGAACAACGACGATATGAGTGCCATTGTGAACAATGTCATTTCAGCCACAGTTAAGTGACAGGATTGAGCTTATTGCAAGTGCAAGTTAACTTTTAATCACCAACCTTCAAAGCTGCTGCCATCACCCAAAAGTCAGAGGAATTAGAATCAACTTCAGCACAGTTATCATTAACAATCCGCATCAAATCTGAATCTGAGATAAAAAAACAGAAGGAAAGGGAGGGGGGTTAACCACCAACCAAAGTAGAGTTTGATTTTCGCAGCTGATACCAACTCGACTCAGAAAACCAAATAATAATGCATGTAAAGTATACTGCATGACAACTACGCATAGAAGCTTCATCAAGAAAAGTAAAGAGTCTGACAAACCATAAAAGGTACTTTCTCCACTCAATTTATTCCAAATCAATAAGTTCTTTGCCAAAAATATAGTTGCAAGTAATTTATTAATATGAACAAAGAGCAAGGTGCCTCAAATCAGTTGCCCTCATAACCTCATTTATGAGGCCAAAACCAACTCCAATCCCAGCCAAAAAGTGTTGCAATGGTCATTAGCTGGATTATATGGTTCAAGTCAGTACAAATATCGGATTCTATAAACCAATTAAGTTTTTCATTCTATTTCCAATGACACAAAGAAGTTTCTATGAAAATTTTTTAACCGTCAAAAAATTTTAACCCATGCTTATGCTAAGACAACTTACAACTTACTGATTCCTCGAGGAGCAAACACTTTAAAGGAGGCATCAATAGCTTCTTTATAGTTGTCTTCGTCCATTGAAACCATCCTGGCTTTGAGAAGTTCCTAAAATGTCCAAGAACTAAAATTAAATCTCACTGACATAAATCAGAAGAAATATAAAAATTGCAGAAATTTGTAAACCTTGAACTCTCTTTTCTCTTCCCTGGTTGATGGAAGAGCACCACCATGGCTTTTTGTCCACTCGTCAGCCATCTTCACAAGGATGACAACATATGGTATGTGTTTATGGGCAACAGGGTCTTGCACATTTAGGTCAATACCTTCTGCAAACCTGTTATATGTAAATGCCATCAGAACTCTAATCGAGGAAAGCAAAGGATATGAGCTTAGAGTTCACTAAATACTCAAATATTTTCTAAGAGCACATCAGAGGAAAAAACATTGAGGAAAAACATCATTGGAGAAATTACAAAAATTCCTTATCAGAGGTACAGTTTCATCCTAACATTATGGAAAATATATACTTACCTCCCTCATTAGTAAGTACAATAAAATTGACCACTGACCATAAAGGGATGGCTTTATGGAGGAGAGTTTTGGTATCTAAAAATAAAAAAACATAATGGATCCTCTATCTAACCTAAAGGATGTTTTAACAGTTAAATTGACATCACAATTCCATTATAGTGCAACCCAATAGCAAACAGAAATGTAAAACCAGGCACCGAGAAAGAAACCAACATAGAACTTTAATTGAAAACTAAAAAATAGTACCCCCTCAACTCAGGCCATGGGTTATTCAACCGAAGGTCATCTAGAAAATGATCAGGCTTTGACTCAATGACAGTGTGTTCCTGCCACAAGAAAAACTAGAACATTATTTTAAGACCTTTTCCTTGTTTGTTGTCTAAATACTAAATACTAGAACAATATTGAACAACCATACATTTCCTCTAGGCCTACATAAAATTCAATTGAAATTCCAGATTTTTCCTGCTGATATCAAACTATATCAGTGAGATTTTCATGCCTTGATGTAGAGATGACTACCTATAGATGGGATGAAAGTGCAAACAAAGTAAACTAAAACAAGTTACCTTCACACTGATTCGAACTAAACCTGTTAGGCCATAGGAGCGAGCAAAAACCAACATCACATTTGCCTGTCTACAGATTCTATCAAGCTTCACCATAAATTCTTCCACCAGCTGAAACAACATCATAGTTAAAAGGAATGATTCATGAGATAAAGAACCATAGAACCACACAATTCTTTTAAGAAACAAAGAAAGGCAAAAATTACGAATCAATCCATGTTAATTCGAAATGGTTTTTGCACGCATAGACATCAATAAAACCAGACTTACCAAGAAAATAAGAAAGTAACTTTTAGCAGCATAAAAATGAAACCTAACAGTTAAGTTCATTGCTTAAAGAAAGTAGTTTAGGAATGGGAAGATTGGATACCTGAGTAGCTACAACCAAGGTAAATTGAGAAAAGAAAGATGGGTTGGTGTCGATTAAAGCCTGGGGATACTCTTCAATAAACTTAGCTTTAACAGCATCATTTAGCTCTTGGAGGAATGAACAAACACACTTGGCCTTTGACTGACCAAGACTTGATTCATCCACTAACCCAGAACATTACCCAAAAAGAAGACAATATTAATAAAAAAAATTGAAGATTAAAAATGTGAAAAATAAAAAGGGAAACATATTAAAACTTACCCATAAAATTGTTTCCAAGGTCACCCAATTCAACCTTAGATCCATCGACTACAGTTATGCTTCCAACACCACCAAGAACAAGATTCTTCAAAGTCTCAGAACCTGTTGGCCCACAATTTAGTAAACATATGCTCGCTGTCTCTAGAGCTGCTTGCCCTTGTTCACCCCATATCCTGCCATTTTTTTAAAGAAAAAATTGTTAATATTGCAAATAGGCAAAGCAATAATTGAATTCTGTTACACCTTTTTCTTTATTTCTTTTGCATGGATGGAAAATTTTATAAAGAAAAAAGTAAAAGGACTATAATCTAATTATATTTGAGAGATTACCTGAGCTGGCGATCGTATTTGGTTTTAGGCTCCGCCATTGATTACTTCAATTACTTCTTCGCTTGCTTACTACGCAGTACGCACACTGTCTGAGGTTTTTAGGACAACGGCAAGGCTATTGCCTATTCATTAGTGCAACGGCGCCGTTTGGTTAGGCAGACCAAAGTATTGGATATTGAGATTTTGTTGATTGTGTTAAACGGCATCGCTTGCTGCAACGGTGCTGCTTTAGACCGTTGAGCTTTAAAACTGGGAAGGGGCCCGTTGGGCTTGGGCTAATGTGCTGGTTACATAATGAGAACAAACCATGGAAATTGAGAAAGCCAACCGCATAGGATTCCAGGCTTATTCAAAAATGTTAGATTGAACAATTTTAGTCGTATAGCTTTCTCCTCCTAGAATATGAACTCTCAGTAGTGTTGTTGTTTCCTTTATAGAAATAATCAAGGTTAGAATCAAACTTTGCTTGGTTTCTAACCCATGCTTCGTTTGAATGCCCTATGAGAAGGGATTTCCACCTGCCGTCACATTATTTTCGGATGAAATGGTGAGTGAACGATGACTTCCTCTTAGAAATTACCAATCCATTTTGATGCTATAGACGATAAGTTATTTATTAAGCATTAATGGCGCTTAGAAAGTATCTGCAAGGAGGCTGGACCTTCATTTAAGTCCTACGCCAAAAGGACATTTTAACCTTCAAATCTGATAGTATAGATGGCTAGTACATGCATGTTGACTAGACAGAAAGCAAAACATCTTACTATCAAATTAAGGCTCATAACAAAGGGGTTAGCAATTCCATTCTTTGACTGGGATGAAGGGTTTAGGGGAGGGGGAGGGGGAGGGCCACTGATGCTGTCACCTACCTGTTTTATGGCACAGCCACTGGATTTAAACCCTAAAATAAATGATCATATGGAAACCATTGCCTAGCTTAGAGAGTGAACTAGGAGAAACTCGAAAGGAACTTGAAGAATCATTTCAAAATCCCACTAACATGAACATATGCAAGACCCTTCAGCTTCCCTTCGTCTTGCCCAGGAGGTTAAGTTTCATGATGCTAACTTGGAGCAAACTTGTTAAAAATAAACAAAAACACTCTGACAGAGAGCTATAAATATCAAATTTTAGTAGCCAGCCAAACATGAATTATTATACGCCAAGAATCTACAATTTCAGCAGCAAGCAAAACTGTCAAGCCAAGCACAGTGCTACAGCTTCTGAATAAAAATGGTTTAAAAAATAACTGAGCTAACAAGCCTCGATGAATTCAATAGCAATAGCATGTCCATGTGAAATTGATAAACTACACGTACTGCAACCAGCTTTTTATATGCAGTTTTAGAGATGCAGTTATAAGTTATGTTATGATGTACTAACCAGTAACCAGCTTTACAAATCATGATGAACAACCTGCTATTTAAAAGAAACAATCAAATGAATCCAAAGTCTAGTTCAATTGATTCATAGTACCACTCTTAAGAGATGATCCCCCACAGATCTGAAGTTCAAATCTAACACATATAACTCCCATTTTTAGAATGCAATCTCCTTTGCAAAAAAAACAATTGAACTGCAGTTTTGATAGATAATAATGTAGCTAATGTCAGCAGCAATGAAGAGCTTATAACAAGCAGGAATGCGGTTAAAGAATTATGGATTTAGATGATTGGACTTGGAACCCTAATTGACATAAACATGATTAAAGAGACTAGTAATAAATTTACTTAACCAATTTATCAAACATTTACCAGACAGTTTTTCACTTTTCACTAATTAATTAAAGCTTCGATTCAGATTTAATTTCCTAAAACAAATCAGAAAACTACCTAAAATTGAAAAAAAAAAAAAGATTGAAAAGGGAAAACTGAAAACTGATTACAACCATTATTAATTTTATTTTTGTTCAATTAAACAACAAAATAGTAACCAAATCTACAACCTAGGGCTAAAAAAGAGGGAAAAAGAGTTTAAATGCACAGATTAAATTAGGTTCATTCACTTGTTAACAAGTCCATAATCGGATCGGGCAAATCCAGAGCAGACTGTGTTGAATTCAGAAACAGCATTCCTTTGACCGCGATTAGCTTCTTCCTCTGGAGACACCTGGGCCCATAAACTCTCGATGTCTCCGCAAAGCAAGGGAAGCCGTCGATAGCTGTAGAGAAGGGTTGACCGCCGTTAGACTGCGGAGAGGACGGAGAGATCTGAAAGACGGAGCTGGTTCGGTGCGATCTGGCGCTGATTCGTGAGTCCCTGAGGCGAGCTAGGGCGCCGGGTTTGAGGTACTTTAGGAAGGGTTCGGATCGGATCAGGGAATGCCTAGCAAATGATCGGGTTCTCCGATTCATGGCAGGAAACGGAGGGTTAAGCGACAGAAAAAAATGAAGGGATTTTTTTTTTCTTTTTTTGGAGTTGATAGAGAGATAGGGTTTGGCCGTTTGGGAGATTAGGGCGGATTTTTAAGTAGAGAGATAAAGCGGGAAATTTAGGGAGGGAATACGGGTTTGAAAGAGAGGGTCAGAAGGCGCGGAATAGAGAGTAGGGTTCTAGCCTCTTTAGGGCTTAGCTAAGGCTAATGTATTGGTGAGGCCCGATTGGGCTCCTGGCCGTGCTTGTGGTCCTCTCTAGGTGCACCCGGACTAGAGCCGGCGTCTATTTATAGAAAAAATTCAGATAATAATTCTTGGTCTTTACATTGTTTGCCATGGTATTACCTAGAATTCTACACTAATCTCACATCGTAAGAACTATATTAATTAATAAAATTATTTTAAATAATTATAAATAACATTATTGAAATTTAATAGATGTAATATCACAATCTCATATCAAAATATTGTAATAATTAATTATATATATGTAAATATTTAATTCATATTTATGAAGTATTTTTTGTAAAATAAAATTTGTAAATTTGTAAATTAAAAATAATAATATCTCCTATATTAAATGGGAATATCACAATAAAAACATTAATATTACCTTAAAAAATAAGTATTTAACACATCCTAAAGATAATGCTTTTATCTTGATTTGCTTATTTAAAGTATTTTCCCGTAAAAGTATCGTGCTTTTGAGAAACAATGAAAAACAATTTTTCTTTTTGCATTATTAATATTTGCAAGTAAGATAACGGGATGGATAAGAGATTTCAGTTTACCATGAACATTTATTCTCACAAACAGATGGATTAGGCTCCAATAGTTGTTTTTTTTTAAGAGTAATGGAGTCATGGACAACCTTGGCTTTTTGTAATATCAAGCAGAAAATAAGCTTTGTAGAATTCAATCAAACAACGTTAGTTCATGGTAAGAGAAGAGAAAGCCAAATTCAATTTGTCTAACCGTAGTAGACTTTCGAAAAATAATATTAGGTCCCGTTGAATCATATGACGTGGTTTACTAGGGCTCGTTGTTACCGCATTTGGAGACACATTATCAAACAAAACCTTAATAATATAAAAAAAATAAAATATGATGATTAAGTTAAAAGATTGTTATATTTACGTAACTCATTTAAAAATAAAAATAATATAATAATTTTGTTATTATATATTGACCGTTACATTAATAACAATTATGATCATTACCTCAACTGATTAACATTTAATAAATTAATCAATCACGTTATCACTTATAAAATGTAAAATAAAATTGAGCATGTGATACATTCACAATTCTATGCTTTTCGTTTTGCTTAACTATGCCTATCTCTCACTTCATTGTTTGTCCTGAGCGGAACATGTTTTGGAGTATTATCTCCAATGCTTCATCATTTTTTTTATGACAAATCACGTTCAGTGTTCTACTCCACTTCTAACAAGTTCATCAACGATTTTAATTTGTTGACAAGGCAAGTCAAGTAGTTATTTTTCCAAAGTTTACTGCGGTTGGACAATTTGAATTTGGCTTTCTCTTCCCTGTACGCAAGGAATTCAATAGAAAATTTATTGGTAAATGGACGCAATGGAGTAATTAGCAAATATAATAGCAGTGTAGTAGGAGAATTTAGAAAATCTCATATTTAAATAGAATAATTTTGTGGCGTCCCGGCCACGTTAACTTCTGGCTATTGCTGGGAAATTCAGTTCCTAGTGCAACTTGGGGAAAGAGAAAGGAAAATTTAAAGTTCAAGCATCCAACGTCTGACCCGCACCAGGAAAAAAAAAAAAAAAAAGCAAAGAATCGTCGAATGGCCGCGGTACCGATTAAAAGTATAAATAATACATTAATATTCGTAAATTATTTGGATTCGAATCGAAAAAAATTTGAATTCGATTCGATTATTATCGAGTGTGAATGCGAGTTCGAATAATTCGACTCATCGATCGAGTCGAATTCGAGTATTTTTATATTCGATTCGAGTAGCTCACAAACCTAATCGAGTTTTTATATTTAAATATATTTTTATTATTTTAATTAATAAAATATTTCGAATTCAAATTCGAACATAAATAATTAAACTCTTGTCGAATATATGAATCAATTTTTTTTTTACATATTAATCGAACGAATTTAAATAATTAAAATTTGATCACAAATTAAATTCAAATTTAAAAAATAAAATTCGATCGAATTTAAATCAAATATCAAACAATAAATTATGATTCAAATTTAATCTTAATTTTTTCACTATACCAACTCAATTCGATTAAATTATAACTCTAATCCGACAAAAAAAAATCCAATTACAAAAGCCTGATGATTTTTCCATAAAGAACCCGATCTCCGCAATGGCGAAATCTTGACGTCGATTTGACACTGCCATTTGAAAGTTCGAAAGTTTCCAAACATTGGCTACTCTTACATAGGCCTCCAGCCCACAGTAACTCCGTTCGTAACCATTCCATCCCTGCATCATACAGCTTTGTTATATAATGGGTACAATCATGGGTTGATGCTGTCAATGTTCCTAAATATGTAGCGCGTCCGATTATTTCTTGACCATTAACAAAACTCACTCCACCACCCCAAACAGATAAAAAGGCAAAATTCCTATTGGCTCCCTTCTTTAACGTGGACCCACATTGCACGGATCCAAGGAAAAACAAACCACAAATTTCCATGTGGCATAACCCAATTGGTGAATAAAATTTAAAAGCGTTAGTCCAGAGAACACATCACTTAATCCCAGGAATTCCGGAGGCATCTCTCTGAACTGGCCAGAGCCGTTCTAGAAAGAGGGCACGCGGCCCTAGGGTTTTTCTCATTGTGCTGCGCTCAGTCTCCACACGCCTTTCTCTTTCTCAAGACAAACATAAAAAAAATAATAATAACAATAAAAGCCAGAAACTGCCATGAATTTCTGTTAGGTTCTTCTCTTCATTAATATTTCCCCCTTAATCTTGTGCTTTCTGCTCACTGCCATTTTTATGTGAATGCGTGTTTGTTAAATCGTGTGATCTTGATCGTCTGACGTCATGTATATAACGACCTCATCTTCGGCTTCTTCCTCTCTCTTAAGAGCAGCTGCCTCCTATTCTCGTGCTCGCTTTTTTCCTTCTTCGTTTCGGAATCTCAATTCGACTCAGGCCTCTCCCTCTCTTATCAATCATCACCGATCTCTTACCTCCGCCGCCTTTCGTTCCTTCCACTGCTCTGTTCCACGGTGGAGCCAACGTCTCGATTGGCGATCTCCTCTTAGCCTCCGTGCTCAGATCAGAGCTGTTAATCCAGTCATCGAACAGTTAGAGAGGAAGTTTACTACTATGGGTACTGCTCTCCAATACTTTCGGAGTTTGTTTCTGTTGCTTTATTTTGAATCTTTATTTGCTGATTTAATTTGGCTTAGATTAGTTTAAGGTCTTACATTCTCAGTCAAAGTCTTCAGTTGCTTGATCGGGTTCAATCAATGAGAATCCTTAGATTTAAAATTTTAATTCGTTTTTGCCGAATAATAATGAATATATCATTATTAATTGCAGGATCAAAGGATAATTTTTTTTAAAGAAATCAGTGTAAAGATTTTAAAAAGGATTAAAGAGCTTTTTTTTTTTTTTCAAATTTTAATCAAGTGAAGTATTTTAAATTTGATAATTGAATTGAAAAAAAATTTGGCTGAGAGTTTTTATTTATTTAACTTGTTTATGATTTGCAGCTGCTGAACATCCTTTTAAGACGGTGTTGACAAGTCTTCCCAAGCCAGGTGGCGGCGAGTTTGGAAAGTTCTATAGCTTGCCTGCCCTCAATGATCCAAGGATTGGTAAATTTTCTCGTACAACTTATACATATATGCATTCACTTGATAGACGACTTCATGCTTGTCTCCAGTTTAGTTGTTTCTGTTCCTTGTGCGACTGATCATATCTGTTCCTTGTTTCTGTTGTATATGTATTAGATAAGCTGCCGTACTCTATCAGAATCTTGCTTGAATCTGCAATTCGTAATTGTGACAACTTCCAAGTGAAGAAGGAAGATGTTGAGAAAATTATTGATTGGCAAAATACATCACCAAAACAAGTTGAAATCCCCTTCAAGCCTGCTCGTGTTCTTTTGCAGGTTTTTTAACCTAGTTTATATATATATATATATGTGTGTGTGTGTGTGTGTGTGTGTATACGTGCATATACTTCTCTACTAAAAGAAATAAATGATGCTTTGTTTTATCTTTAATCCATTCTGCTTTGTTGCCAGGATTTTACTGGAGTGCCAGCAGTGGTTGACCTTGCTTGTATGCGTGATGCTATGAACAAGCTTGGCAGTGACACAAGCAAGATTAATCCTTTGGTGCGATTGTTTATGTCATTTTTTGCTTAAATGTTGTCAACTATTTTCCATTTTGTGAGGGATGGTCAGTTTTTAGATGCTATAGATTAAGATTGCAATCTTGTCTTTTTGGCTTAATAAGGTTGTGGATCTTGAGAGAACTTTTACATATAATATTAAGTTGCTAGTCAGTATGAAAGCATCTTCAACTGCTTTTTGGTTTAGTTCTTAATGCAAGACATCTTTTTTTTCCATCTTTAATCCTGATTACTATGTTTATGATTTATGGGAAGTTATCCTGAAATTTCTAATTGATATCAGTTCAATAGTATGCTTTTTTGAATGCCAAATGTCTTACTGGAATATGCCTGGCTATTCTGCAATAATTTTCTTGTTTACTCCATCCTTATATTGTATTGCTGAAAATATCTTGTATTCAGGTTCCAGTAGATCTTGTCATTGATCATTCAGTTCAAGTTGATGTAACAAGATCAGAAAATGCAGTGCAAGCAAATATGGAGCTTGAGTTTCAAAGGAACAAGGAAAGATTTTCTTTCCTTAAATGGGGATCTTCTGCCTTCCGTAATATGCTTGTTGTTCCTCCAGGTTCTGGTATTGTGCATCAGGTATAATTTGGGAACAGAGCGCAATATGCAGTAAACACTTTTTGACATAATGGTGGACAAATCCTTATTGATCTTATGTTTAACAAATCTTTTTCAAAGTGATCAATGAATTGGATTATGTTTATTATTTCATTGAATTTTTTGTGGACAATTAATCTACGTGAATATGGTGGCCAAGTGAGTTGACACTGTAACATTTCAGGTTAATCTTGAATATCTTGGACGGGTTGTGTTCAACACCGATGGCATGCTCTACCCTGATAGTGTGGTTGGAACTGATTCTCATACAACTATGATAGATGGGCTAGGAGTAGCTGGCTGGGGAGTTGGAGGTATTGAAGCTGAGGCAGCCATGCTTGGTCAGGTAGGTAATGCCATAGACCAATAATATATTTTTCCCCTAGGAAAAAAGATTTTGATTAATGTTGGTTCATGATGATTTGAATTTTGCTAGTAAAAGTCTGTCCTTCAATGATGAGTAGAACACTGTTCTTTTCTGTTGGATAACTGCAAATTCATGTTTCTATATGGTATGCTAAAATTAATAGTTAAAAGTGAACCAGAAATTTCACTGCAGGGTTGTGAAGTCTTTTAACTTAAGTTGCGACATTAATTTGATGTGTATGCATGTGATCTTTATCCTGCATTAATTGCTGTAGCCTTTATTGAGCGGCTAGGTTTAGCTTCTTTCATTTTGCTTTTCATGAACGTTCTAACCAAATAAGATGAGGGATATAATTTTGATCTTGTGCACTATGGTGGGTATAATTTTGATCATGTGCACTATCCAACTGTTCGTATTTTACTTTCTTTCAAAGCCTTTATCAAGTGGCTAGTTTTGAGCTTCTTTCAGTTTGCTTTTTGTGAATGTTCTAACAAAATAAGATGATGGGCATAATGTTGAGCCTGTGCACTATCCAACTGTTCTTATTTTACTTTCTTTCAACGAGACTTTTCTCATTCTTCTCATTCTTCTCATTCATTTGCTTGAATATACATCTCTATCGTTTTTATTGTTTCCTAATTAGTCTGTTTTGAAATTGAAAGCCTATGAGCATGGTTTTGCCTGGTGTTGTTGGATTCAAGTTATCTGGAAAATTAAGAAATGGTGTGACAGCTACGGACTTGGTTCTAACTGTGACACAAATGTTGAGGAAGCATGGTGTTGTTGGCAAATTTGTTGAGTTTTATGGTAAATACTATTCATTGGGCTGATCTAAAGTTCCTCTTAGTTCCTTAATTGTTTGGCTCTCAAATTCCTTACATAAGTTTTCAATTTTGCACAAATTTGTAGGGGACGGAATGGGTGAACTATCATTGGCTGATAGGGCTACTATTGCTAATATGTCTCCTGAGTATGGTGCAACCATGGGATTTTTCCCTGTAGATCATGTTACTTTGCAGTATCTCAAATTAACTGGAAGAAGTGATGAAACTGTGGGTATTCTACATTATCGTATAACTTCATCTGTAATAATTTAAGCACTAGGTGACATCCTTTTCCTTAATTTCAGGTGGCAACGATAGAATCATATCTCCGTGCAAATAAAATGTTTGTTGACTATAATGAGGCAAGAACTTTCTTCCTCTTTCGTTTTTACATTTTGTCCTTTACACCTAGCAGCTTCCAGTTGTTCTACTTGTATTTAGATATAACTATTCTAATGCCTTCCTTTTCTTCTTGTGTTTTGCTCCCAACCCTAATCTTGATGTGTTCAGCCCCAACAAGAAAGAGTGTACTCATCATATCTGGAATTAAACCTTGCTGAAGTTGAATCCTGTATTTCAGGACCGAAGAGGTTTGTCTTTTCTGCCACTGTTTGTTTTGTCAGATTCAGATCATCAGCTGCTTTGTTTTCCTTTGGCGTTTGTTTATATATTAAATATGATGTGTTGTACTAATTCTATATAACTGCTGCTATTCTTTCCAGACCTCATGATCGGGTTCCTTTGAAAGAAATGAAGGCTGATTGGAATTCTTGTCTTAATAATAAAGTTGGCTTCAAGGTGAGTCTTGTACTTGGTGCATATCTAAGTGCTTGTCATCTATGTCTTCACTAGTGCACGTTCTCTTGTTTTAATTAAAAACTTATTTACAGTAAATTGCTTGATAGTTTGTTTCTTTAGCTTCCCTTGGTTAGTTGAACAAATCAAATAAGATTTTGATTTAAAGTATGATGATCGACAAAAGTAAAATTAACCTTGCTAAAAGCTGAAAGTCAAATATCTTTGATTACATATGATATGCATGTGGTATAACTTTTCAAATAACATCATGGTCATATTTTGTTACTGACTTAGTAATGGATGTTAAATATTCTATCGTGAATCTAACACATAGGACAAGAATGCCACCATGACTCTTCATGTGGACAAAATCTCTCTTTTTTTTCCCGTTTCTAGAATTCTTACCTCTCTTATCTTCTAGAGCTTCATGCTCTGCTTTTCCAAAAATCTGGTGACTTGAGCACCAGAACCTCCCTGTGGACAAATAAAGGATAAAATAATAGCATCTGGTAGGAAGGAACTTGAAATAGACCACGTTTGATTAGAACTTCTCTGCTTCATTGTGTAAATTTAACCTAATGATTGACTAAACTTTTGAACATTCTGCTGAATGTCTTACGATGTTGTAGGGCTTTGCTGTGCCAAAAGAGAAACAGGACAAAGTGGCAAAATTTTCATTCCACGGGCAGCCAGCAGAGCTTAAGCATGGCAGTGTGGTGATTGCTGCAATTACGAGCTGCACCAATACATCAAACCCCAGTGTCATGCTTGGGGCAGGTCTTGTTGCCAAGAAGGCTTGTGAACTTGGTTTACAGGTACTCTCTCTTTTTTCTCCCTTCCAATCCCCTCTCCTTTTTTCTTAAAAAAGAAAAATCTCTTAAGTATATTCAGTATTTCTTGCCTTTCCATGAACTATATGAACGCTAATATTAATGTCATAAAATAATTTACTTAAATAATTGTTCTACAGGTCAAGCCTTGGATAAAGACAAGTCTTGCACCAGGTTCAGGAGTTGTTACAAAATATTTACAGCAGAGGTATTCCTTCATTTCACTTGTATCTGAAGTTTACTTGGAGTGATAATTTTTATAGAATATTTCTATATAATTATGAGAGAATTGTTTACTAATTCTGGTTTATGTGATGCAGTGGGCTGCAAGAATATTTGAATAAGCAGGGTTTCCATATTGTTGGATATGGCTGTACAACATGTATTGGAAATTCAGGGGAATTGGATGAATCAGTTGCCTCTGCTATTTCAGAAAATGGTACCATTGAAATTTTTAACTGTAAAACTTTTGTTGGATCCATAGTTCGCATGATGTAAGCTTGCAACTACTCAAATATTGTGTTAAGTTTTAACGTGTTAATCATATTCCTTTGCCAAGTTTAATGTTCAGTTTTTGACTTACTAATCTAAAATAAGTCTAATATGCTACACAGACATTATAGCAGCAGCTGTGCTTTCTGGGAACCGGAATTTTGAGGGTCGTGTTCACGCCTTAACAAGAGCCAACTACCTTGCTTCACCACCTTTAGTGGTTGCATATGCCCTTGCTGGCACGGTACACTATCTAATTATTTGTTGGTGATGCCTATTTCTGTTAAATATTTACTAAGATTTATGTTCTTTTAATATAATCCGAATGATCTGACATCAACTCAATTTTGGGGAGCTTAATGATGGTAATGTTGTAAATCAGTTAATTCTTGTGTATCTAGATTTAATTTTCCTTGCTAAAAATGTATCAGTTGTTTTTCAATTTTTTTATTTAATGATTTACAAGTCTTATCCTGTTATAAAGCTTTCTTAACTGCATCTCCTCGTGGGAGAGTGGAGGGTGGGTTCAGGGGCTGGAATACTGGGATTGAGTCTGATAGATCTGTGCATTTCGTTTCATTCGCATGCTTGGATGGTAAAAGACTAGCATCACATGCAACCGATAACTGTACTTCAAGTCAAATCTTGTGGCCTTTTAATGGTGTGTGGAATTGTAAAATTAGTATTAGAGCTGTGGGAATTATGTGCATGGAAGTAATAACTAATTCTACTTTATGCCATAGGTATTAGCCACAATATGAGTCAAATCTTGCCTCATCTGTTGTTTTGTTTGTTTGTGTTTGCATTAAGATGACTGCATTAGTGTCAAAATTACATAGGGACAATCTTTTGGCAGAGATCTTTTAAGATTTCCTAGTTTTGCTTCTTTCTTTTTTTTTTTTTGATAAAAGACTAATAGCTTTTGCTGTATCATTTTGATGATCGATAAGTAACTGTCACCACTTTCCAGGTTGATATTGACTTTGATAAGGAGCCAATTGGAACTGGTAAGGATGGTAAGAGTGTGTATTTCAAGGATATCTGGCCATCTACTGAAGAAATTGCAGAGGTAAGACACTGTAAAATTTGCATAAAATGTCAATTTTCTTTTGTTTAAGCATGAAATTAATTAGCTTGGGCTTCTCTGCTGTTTAGGCTGTTCAATCCAGTGTCCTGCCCGATATGTTCAAAAGTACTTACGAGGCTATTACAAAGGGCAATCCCATGTGGAATCAGCTATTAGTGCCTTCTTCCACCATGTACTCATGGGACCCCACCTCAACCTACATTCATGAGCCTCCATACTTCATGAACATGACCATGGAGCCTCCGGGAGCCCATGGCGTGAAGGATGCATACTGCTTACTGAACTTTGGTGACAGTATAACAACAGATCACATTTCTCCGGCAGGAAGCATCCATAAGGACAGTCCTGCTGCAAAATATCTACTTGACCGTGGGGTGGAGCTCAAGGACTTCAATTCTTATGGAAGTCGCCGTGGTAATGATGAAGTGATGGCTCGGGGAACTTTTGCTAACATTCGCCTTGTGAACAAGTTGTTGAATTGGGAGGTCGGCCCGAAGACAATACACGTCCCCACAGGAGAGAAACTCTATGTATTTGATGCAGCTATGGTGAGTTCTTCGGTATTAAAGTCTACCACAATTTCTTATAAAACCAATTTTTTATTTTAATAGAAACAAATATTGATTTCTTAGCACTGCTTGTCATTTTCCATTTTAATTACAGAGAATTTAAGTAAAAATGATAACCAATCAATTCTTGTCAAATTTACAATCAAATTTTTGGTTTTAATTGGTATGTGATACGATTTACTCAGCAATAGATATTTATGTTGCGTGAGATAATAACAATCTTTAGCTGTAGTCAAATTATTCAATGCTAAGTTTTATAATCAATCTGGAATTTCAGAGGTATAAGGATGCAGGACATGACACCATTGTTTTGGCTGGAGCTGAGTATGGGAGTGGTAGCTCCCGAGATTGGGCTGCGAAAGGTCCAATGCTATTGGTAAGTCTTGATTTGGTTGCGATAAAGAAATTCTTATTGGTCTTTTATGTTCTTGCTCCTTTTTATCCACCTGCGTAACTTTGTTGTATAACAGGGAGTAAAAGCAGTAATTGCCAAAAGTTTTGAGAGAATCCATCGCAGTAATTTGGTAGGAATGGGCATCATTCCACTTTGCTTCAACTCTGGTGAGGACGCAGACACACTAGGTTTAACCGGTCATGAGCGTTATACCATAGATCTCCCAAGCAAAATAACTAATATAAGACCTGGTCAAGATGTGACTGTCACGACCGACAATGGGAAGTCTTTCACCTGCACTGTCCGCTTTGACACTGAGGTAATAAATGGTTCCAATTATTTGTTATGAGCGAAATAGTGCAGCGTACATGTGTTTAATCTGCTATTGTGTGATTATCACTGCCTGGACATTTCTATTTATGGACAAATATACTCCCTTGTCTGAAACAGATAACTCCTTTGTCCTTACATGACATGGTTATTTACTAAAATTGAAGTTGACTTATTTTCAATGTGTCAATCTTTATGCCTTGTAACTTTCTGATGGAAACTTCACATATTATCTTGTACTCTGAGCAAACTAATGCTTGGGATGTTAATTGCTTGGTACTAGTCTACTCCATGCATCAAATATCACTATCGGTAAAGTGTGGTAAGAACAATTTTAATCATGCTAAGTTATACCTTAAATTTATAGCGCTGGAGGTAAGATAAAAGCTTACACTCAGATTTAACTTACGCATTTTACTGGTTTTTGAGCCTGAACTTTGTAATTCGAGAGCTGACTGTGATTGCAATTGCAGGTTGAATTAGCCTACTTCAATAATGGCGGTATACTTCCGTACGTCATAAGAAACTTGATTAAGCAGTAAATGCATTGGATGGGAGCCTCATGCCAGTCCAAGATTTCTGTCTATTGTAAAATGTCAGATGCAAATAAAGCTATCAATAACTGAAATTTTCCCATTAATGGGACTTGTAGTTTTTCCTGCAATTTACTTTTGCCGACAGGCCTTGTCTGTTGGTGAACCAAAATTATTTCGAGAAATGAAGTAATTTTTTCATCGGCCTATTAGGTGTTATTACTTTTGGTGGTTTCCCAATCGTGAATTAGAGAAATGCCTTTTTCTTCCACCCTACTTGATGGAAAAAAATGTTTCGTGGTTCAACATATAAACTGACCTATCACTTCTTCTTGATCAATTAACTTACTTGAATCCCAGGTCCGGCAAATAAAGAAGTGCAAGGAACATTACTCTAAATTTCCTTTGGCATGTCTTTGGTGATTTCTTGTTCCGAGGTTTCATATATATATATATATATATTCATTCTTGTTATGGATTTTGTCTAGTTCTTTTTTTTCTGCAATCGGAGCTGGAGGGTACAAAAATATTGCAGGTTGAATCTGATTAACTGGTATCGGTTGGGCAGAAAAATAGTACAGCTTATGTCATTTCCTTTTTTTTTTTTTATCAGATCATTTTTCTGATCACCAATTACTATACATAAAACACTTGATATATCCAATTAAAAATAAATGATTGAATATTGAAGTAATATTGTAATCATGTGTACTTATTTAAACATAAAACACTTTGACATATTTTAATAATAAAAAGTTGATCTAAGGAAATCCTGGTGGTGCATCACTATCTGTAGGGTTTGCCTTGGTTTTTGGGGGATCTGGATAAAGATCTATGGCCATGGACATGGAAGTAATTACGGCTTCAAACAGTACTTCAAACAGCATATCATCATTATCAGAAATGCCCATCGTCAGTCTTTTATCAGCGAACTTTATGCCGTCCGCCTGTTTTGGATCAGCCAACTTTGTGTTCGTCGGTTTTGGATCGGCCAACCTTGTGAAGCACGGAAAGCCCCAAGCAGGGGCAAAGGATCTAAACCATGCACCACCTGCATAACAACTACTAGTAAACAGAGCTAAAAATCTTTATAAAATTCAAACAAAAGCATGCAAAATCACCTGTTTTCTCGACTTGGTGATTCATTCGAAGCTTGAATTCCACATACATTTTGTTTCCGATTGGAATTTTTTCGTTGTCAACTAGGTGAATAAAAATAGACAGAAATTCTCCGTTCACCTTTGGAACACCTTTGGGATAAAGGTGTAACTTCCTGCAGCATATGCACCCAGCAGATTTAGCAACAATTACAACATTCAAACATCAAAATTTTGAACTGAACAAGATGTAGAGTAGAGATATAATATGCAAATTACAAACCATTTGTAATCCCCAATAGTAAATTCTTTCGAATATCGGCCTCCTTTATGTAACTCGTAAAACTTTTCAACATACACATTTTTACTGAGGTTGTCCATGGTGAAAAAACGTTCCCCTTTGCCTTCACTTTTTATAACAAAAACCTCCACTCCAAACTTGCATCTGTCTCCATGGCTCAGGTAGCCGTTTGAAGTATCATAGAATTCAGCGAGAGTAAGAAGTCGAGAAAATCCCCTTTCTTTGTTTACCGCATTAAATCGCTTCACTCTCCCATCTACACTATTTTAAAAGAAAGGGATTACTACTAATTGCATAATATTTACTCAAAAGACGAAAATGTTAATCAATGTCTAGTGGTCCTGGGCCGGGTGAAATTTACAGACATCCGTTGAAATAAACCAATGAAATAAACAAGAAATAATAATGGAATTGGACCTTGAAAGCTTTTGTACTGTGCCCAACTTGCATCAAACACAAAAAAATTTAAAAGAGCATCAATCTCCCATGGACGGCCTAGATTTTGGATGCCCACAATTTCCAAGTAAAGAGATATATGACCTTCTCCACCTCTTTGCTTGTCTCCCTCAGGGTAAAGTATCAACCTCCTGCATGTAACCATACATAAGCCATAAAAGGATCAGCTTTTTTTTTTTTTTTCTATTTTTCTGATTGTAAAATCAAACATTCTTCACAGGATCAGATTTTATTTTAAAAAAAAAAAAAGACAGAGAACAACTCACCATTTGTAGCCACTAGCTTGAAATTCAGGTGATTCATAGCTGTGAAGTCCAGTTTTTGAAAGGATTTCTTTCAGAAACGGAAGTGATTCGATCTCTAATGTGTAATGTGCGGGAGCAACATTTCTCATCGTCACTGTTAATTTTTCCACTGCCATATATACGTACAAAATTTATGCAGATTATCCATATATTTTTGGGATTTCCAAATTAATATTCCAGATTTAATTCAACATTTATATTTTTGTTTCAAATTCTATGTCAAAGCATAACAAAATGAAATTAATTTTATGTACTACTATAATCAAAGGAATTTAGTTTTTCCATGTCATTAAATTTTAAAAACAATGGGAGTTGGTGAAATATTATTTCACATGGAAAGCATTTGACTTTATAATCATAAAATGTCTCTAATTTTAACTTTGAAAGATAATTAGAGACGAGATTATGAAATTGAAGATTATTACCTCTCCTATTATAATCCAAGTTAAAATCAAAGATTTTCTTTTCTTTTATAAAGAAAATTGTAACATAAAAATATAAAAAGGGATAGTAAGTATTAAAATTTAAATATAAAATTTATTGAATATTACATAAATCAATTGAATTAAATTCTCAATTCTAATTCAATAAAATTTTATGTACATTACAGAAGCAAATAATATTAATTTATGCAAACGATTACCTCCCATTATTTCATTGCAAGGAGCGTTAGTAGAAGTCTTTGGTTCCTCATGATCATCCTTAGTCATGACTTCCGACATTAGAATTCGGTTTTCTGGGCAAACTTTTCAGGGCAACCATAAAATATATATATATATATATATTTGAGCTTGCTTTTAATCCTATCCTAACTATGCTGCGATCTTAACAACTTTCCAACCCTTTTAATAAAAAAAAATGAATAAATAAATAAATGAAAATATTCTCAAACCTTGGCAGGAAAAAGCATATGTCTCGGGCCAAGGTAGCTACCCCCACAATTTCTTGTTCCTGGAGATATCCCATTTCTCCTTTTAAAGACAAGGCATTGCTTCAACTTATTGTTTATCTGTTAACGGATTGATTGATGAAAATTCGCATATAATTTACCCTATAATTTTTTTATATTTGTTTTACCCTTTAATAGTTTGCTTGAAATGATAAGAATAATCTTGTTTATAAATAAATAAAAGCTTTGTTTGGTTAGTACTTTTATTTCGTTAAGAGTTTCAGATAAATTGCTTTAATCTTACATTAATTAAGGAAAGAGTGCAAGAAAATTATAATGGCCACATAATATTTTAACAAATGCCGGATCTATAATTTTTTTTTTTTTTGAAATGTCTACTTACAATATATATAAAAAAATATTGACAAATATTTTAATTTTAAGAAGAGAAAGGTGTTAAAAAATTTTTTGAGGTGACTAAATAAAAATTTTCTTTCGAATTTTTTTATTTTATAATTTTTTGAGCATCCATTTTACATTTGGATCGGCCAGTGATTTTAACCAAATTGAGTCTAATTTTCATGAATTTTAATTCCAATCTTGTGTATAAATAATTTTACTTGATATATATTGAATATAAGACAAGAACACATGTAATTTGTCTTATATTTATTGGCCGAGTAAGATATAGGGACATATGGTTTCTAAATAAATGAAATGTCAATGTAAATTATATTTTGTATTTTTGGACGACACAATGTCGGATAATAAATGTCACCCACTTTTGCATTTTCCATAAGACAATTTCGTGTGAATTAAGGTTATAAATTGGAAAAATCAAACTTGGCTAGTTAAGTAGAGTAAAAAAAAAAATTAACACAGACAACGTTTTTATAATATTTAGTATTAAACTATTAATCATATTAATAATCATATGATTTGTTAATAAAATATTGATTCTTAATTTAAAAGATCTTGTTTTAATCCCAAATAATTGCAAGTAAAAAGAACAATATTAAACATGTCAAAGCAAACTATAGCATCCGGACGGTTTTTTTTTTTTTTTTTCATAATATGTAGAGATTACTTGTTTAATTATTCTTCCTTTCCATTTTTCCAATAGATTATTCCTTTCAGAACATGCAAGGGGATTGGCATATGGTAAAAGGGTAATGCCATTTTGTTCGACATTTGAAAAGTTCAACCCTACTCACAAATAATATGGAGATCCTAGAAATAAATAACAACTTTATGAATATTTATTTTTTTTATAAATAAATAGACAATCGAAGTCTCAAATATTTTATTTTTTTTTTTAAATATTGAAATAGTTGTCTTTACTATTTTTAATGAAATGTTCATGTTGGAAGATCGAAGTCTCCAGTGAAATCATCCATATTTTCAGGAAAATGTGAAGACTTATCTATAACTATAACTATATATGCATAAAGGAGTCTCTCAATGTCCACTGTTCATTAGACATCTAATTTGATTATATTTGTCACCCATTTCTTGGTCTTCAATAATTTTTTTTTATTTTTTATTAATTGAGAATACAGATAAATGAAAAAAGGTATTGAAAGAAAAGAAAAGAAAAAAAAAAAACAAAGTAAGAGGCTATTTGTGGAGAAGCTTATGGGGAAAAAAGGTAATTGACTCAACCACCCTTTCACTGCATCTTAAAAAAAATGAAAAATCAAAAGCTTTTCCTTTTTTATCTACTTGTAATTAGAAGTATTTATAGGTTTGATTGGGTTAGATTTGATTCGAGCTTATATTTGATATTAATAATTTATATGTTTATTCAAATTCGATTCAAATTGAAATTTCAATCTTCAAATTTTTTCTAAGCTTAACCCAAATTAAAAAAATAAAATTTAAATCTATTTATCAAACTTAATTTATATAATAAAATTTAAAAAAATATTATTAAATTAAATTTAATGGGATTATATTTAATTCATATATATATAAATAAAAATAAAATTTTAATTTAATAAAATATAAATTTTATTTTAAATTTTTGTTTGTATTTAAATTAATTTATATATAATTCACATATAAATAAAAAAATTAGATATATATGAATTTGGACTTGATTAGGCCAAACATGAGTTTTAAATTTTTTGTTCAAAATTCTGTCCAAAATTTGAATAGACATAAAAGCCTAAACTCATTTAACAAGTTTTAATTTTTTGTCAATATCTTTTCAAAACTTAGACAAACCTTTAGACTTGGGCGGATAATTCGATCTATTGCTAATCATCAGCAATGGATTTTCATCAAAAAATTAACTTTGCTTCCCTTGATTCCCTGTAAGTTCTCTCTTTATCTCTAATTTTCCACTTCAAAGACTAGGAGAAATTCGCTTTTTTTCTTATTTTTTTATGCATGATTCAATGGATATGATCTTATCGGCTTCAATGTTGGTGGGTTTTATTTGTTTATTTATAAAATAGAAATTTGGGTTTTTTTGTCTGCATGTTAGAATAACTTGCAAGAACTTTGAGTTTTATATTGATGGATAACTTTTTTTTTTGAATATTTAAGCACCGTTAAGATTTATTAAAGTTTGTTTTTATAAATTCTTCCTCTTTTATTAAAAAAATCATCAATGAAAACTTGAAAATTGAAAAAAATTATTCTTTTTTTTCTTTTTATTATTTTTATTGCATAATGGATGCGAAACATGGTCTCAACTCTCCATTAGAGCTTCAAAAGAGGGATGAAATATTCGAGGATTTAATTAATATGCTTCAAACACAGCAACAATAGCCTGAAACTTTGGCTACAGAAAGAAAGATTTTTAAAGATCAGATCAATATGCAATATGAAAGTTCGTCTATGATGTTTGCCTTTATGAAGATCATATCTCTCAGGTACAGTTTCGAATTCAGGAATATTTTTTGTTGTTTCTGTTCCCCTTAATCAATTGGAAGTATAATATGAGTTTTTTAATTCTCTTTTGTTGTTTCGATCAAGAGTGATTTGGATTCGAAAGAAATGGCGCATGTGTTTGAGGCTACAAAAGCCGATTCAATGATAGGATTGAAGCATAAAAAGGTTTATTTTTATAAATTGAAATTAGGTTTGTATTTTTTCCCTTGATATTTGATTCTTAATTTTGTTTGAACCAGTTGTTTGTTTGGTTTAATTTACTACATGAAAACAAATTTGAGATAAGTGACTACCGTGATGTATAGTGGTAATGGCAATAAGGTCAGTCCATGATTGGCCTTTTAATACTTCTATCTTTAAATGAGGCTAACATGGATTATACTGTCATACGATTATTGTCAAGGTTTTAGTCTTCCACTCATTTGCTAAACCTTTCTCTTATTGATTTGCTATTTATTTGGTGCAAACCTATAAAAGATGTGATTTTAAGTTTTGAGTAATCTGTTGTCTCCTTTTGTTGTTCTCTTTGAGGATAATGTAGATGTATTTTGATACTTTAATATGTTTAATAGGAGAATGGTTTTTTAAATTTGGTGAATATGTTGATGTTGGTTGTTGATCATTTATGTCTTTCCCATTTACATATGCATTTTTCACATGCGGTGACGACATGAGCAGTGGCCGCGGCGGCTGCGACTATGGCGATAGCGGTGGCGATGACGATTGCTGCGGCAGTGACGATGGAGACGGCAGCTGAGGCAGGGTCAACGACGGTGGTGGTGGCAGCTGCGGCCACGGAAGTGATGGCGATGGTGGCAGCTGCGACCACGGAAGTAATGGCAATGGTGGCAGCTCCGACGACGGAAGTGATGGCGGTCGCAGAAACCCGACCAAGATCTCGTAAAACCAAGTGGCCGGATATAATGGCGATGGCTGATAGTCGAGCAAAGACTTGTAAAACCAGGTGAAGAAGGTTAAACTCGTGGACATGGAAATAATTTGCAGTTCAATTTCCATTGCATCCCTAAAAATATTGCTCGTCGATCTTCGTAGATCAGCCAGCTTAATAAAGCATGGAAAGCCCCAAGCAGTGTCTAAGGCACTAAACCAAGCATTACCTGCAAATGAAGATGAAAATTTTCAAAATTTCATCAAATAGAACGATAACACTCATTGATCAAAGAGTCAAAATTATGTTGGGCAAAATCGGTTTGATTTGGTCATAAATAATATAATATTTCAAGAGGTACAAAGATAAACTTAAAACTATATTGAGCTTTAAAATTTTTTTATCAAGTACATTTTTATTGAATCTTTCTATAATTATCTCAAATGGGATTTATATTTCATTTAGACGCTCGATCAAAAAAATTCACTGCAGCATACATCACGTTAAAAATTCATTGTGTCATCATATTAAAAGTCTAAGTGATAAAACAACACGATTGCACAGCAAGAATCTCTTCCTACCGCCATTAATTTAAATGATACATTAGCAATCAATCTTTGGATTCATTGGTGCATTTATCAAATTGTATATATGCGAATGAATTCATAAGGTAATTATTGATTTGACTCACCTATTTTTGTTATTCTGTCAGAGTTGTTCTCATGGACTTGATCATTTATAGAAAGCTTGAATTCAACGTGCATTTTCCATCCCGGAGGAAATTTGTCTTGGTCTTGTAGGCATAGGTATATAGACAGACATTTTCCCTTTGCTTTGGGAGCACCTTTGGGATAAAGGTGGAATTTCCTGCATGCACAAGACGACCCACCAGCACGTTAATGGTTAGATCTAGCTCGAGATTATCAATTGCAAGTCTTGAACTTGAAAACGAAAAATTGGATTAATAGGATCGATGGGAAACGAGTAATATATATATATATATATATATATATAATATATATTTTTGTGTAATTCAAGTTCAATGGACTTTCGTACGTGTACATAAAAAAAAATTCATGCTGGAAATAAGATGATGATGATGGATTGCAAAACATACAAATTACCAGTTGTAACCCCCAACAGAGAACTGTTCGGAAAAATGGCCTGTTTCCTTTAACTCAGAAAGCTTTTCCACGGTCCAAATTTTTACTATTTCACTTTGTTGGCGTAGCGTGCGAAGATATGCCCCTTGAACTTCAAATGCATCGCATTTTATATCAAAAACCTCCACTCCAAACACACAACTATCGTTAACCAGGAATCCATTCGAAGTATTTCGGAAACAATCAAGCGAGACTAGTTGGGAAAGTCCCCACACCCTGTTCGTCTTATTAAATTGCCTTACTTCCACATCTAGGTTGTTATTATGAAATTAGTAATATATGAAGAATTTAAAAAACCAATAAAAATGGCTGGCTAGAATTGCTATACCTTGAATGCTCAAGTACTTATCCTTTAGTTGGTCATATATAAAAAATATTAGAAGAGCATTCATCTCCGGTGGAGGGTACATGATTTTCAAGTAGAGAGATATATGGTTACTTCCATTTCTTTCCTGGTCTCCACTAGGGTACAGTAACAATCTCCTGCAAGAAATTAAAGACCCATATTAAAGATTATTGTACGACATATTGTCAATACGAGTTTTTAAATTTCACTAACAGAAATTGATAATTAAATAAAAATATACATGATAACATTTTAATTATGTTTGTTAAATTTAAAAACTTGGCCTATAGAATAATAATTATATTATTTAGGAGCAGTCTTTTTAATTTTTCATAGTTTACAACATCAACGTACGTTGTTCTTATAGACAGGAAATGATCAAAAAGTAATACATACCATGTGTAGCCACTAGCTTTGAACTCATTTGATTCATGGTTGTCGACTTTAGTTTTATCAAGGATTCGCAGAAGCGACGAGAATGACTCGATTTTTAATATGTAGTGTGACGGTGGCACTTCTCGCCATGTTTTCAAGGTACTAACGCTTTTGAATCCATCATCTGAAAATGACATATTACACACGTAATTAATTAGACATGGAAATTATGGCCGTTTCCAAAAATGATTAAAAAAAAGGGTAAGGATTATTCAAGTTTACAACATGTGGGGATTAGAAATTTGAAATATTTTTCCAATGATCAAGCTTAGTCTCTGAAATTTTTAGATTTCATATTCAACTCCTACCATCTATGTATTTCGTCCAATTTATGTTGGAAAAAGGGATTCGAACCTTGGTTTTTTGAATAAGAATACTTGCAACAGTCATTGAACCAAAGCTCTGGGGCAATTAGTTTCTTTTATTAATTTAATTTGTTGAAAATTTTTTGATTGTGGTTGTGATTTGCATTTGTACATAGAATCTCATAATCATAGAATCTCAGAATTGAAAATTTTCAATAAATTATTTATTTCATGTTTGATCCTGATACAATTGGCTAATATAAAGACTTTAAACGCAAAGTTTTCAAGAAATTAAAGAGAATCCGCATTATAGCCTGTTGTCATTTCAGTTCTGTTTCAGTTGCAATGTCAATTATCTCTTTCTCATCTGTTGTGTTTAACTGTTCATGTACAGCAGCAAGGGAAGTGAATTGCAGATAAAAAGTAAAGCTAATTAACCCATCTAATAATATTCGAAAGAAATGTTCCCATTTTTCAGTTTCATGTTCTTATAAAAGACAAAAGAGGGGATAGAAAAATCAATAATTTTGCAATAATTCATCCTGGCTAGTTAAATCAATTTTTTAAAAAATATATTATACCATGTTAGATGGATTAAGAGTAGATTGCATACTTTACCTGCTATATTTTCATTGCCATGTGTGATGTCAGACCGATCCATAAGGAACGATTTCCTTTCTGTAGTTTCTTAATGGAACGAGGTGTTCAGGCTTTTGGGTAATTTTTTCAGGACAAATACTTAATCATAAGTAAACTTTGAGCTTCCTTCCATTTAAATACCAAATAGTAGGAATAATACTATTGTGCTTGATCTTAACATTCTTAAACCAGAGGCTGGGAAACGAATTAATTCCAGCTATATAATACCATGCAGGAAGCCCACCTGATCATTCTTGCATTGCTTGTTCCTACAACTACGAATATCCCATTTCTCTCTTTAGAAACAAAATATCAGATGCCTCCCAAGCCCACCTGATCATTCTTGCATTGCTTGTTCCTACAACTACGAATATCCCATTTCTCTCTTTAGAAACAAAATATCAGATGCCTCCCTAAAATGTTAGAAATTACCTGATTATTGGTGAGATTTTTATTCTTACCATGCAAGTAACAATAAAAATTTAATGTTGCCTCCTTAAAATGAGAGTAAAAAATGTTTGTCGCCAACGAAGAACAGTACTGCTCTCTATTTTTTGTTGCTCTAAGTGAACTTTTTCTTCCTACAAGAGATCGAGCATCATGACTCTAATTTAAGATTAGTCTTTTTTTTCTTTTGTACTAAAAAAGAATTAAGGCTAACGCTGAGAAGATAATATTATATAAGAAATCTCATTAAAAAAATTCATGATTCATGACAGACGATGGGATCCGCTTTTTGTTTTATCTCTTAAATGAAAGAAACAGAAAAAAAAAATGAGTTTGTTTGTGTGTTTTGTGAGACTCACGTTTAATTAGATATTATTTATTTTGATCTAACGATCTTATATTTTTTAAGAAAATTCGTATCCGACAGTCTCATTTTTTTGTTTTAAAAAAAATATCAATTATATATCACTTAGTTCTTTTGAGATTCAGGTGCTAGTGAGATGTCAGGTGACTCTTAACATGTAAGACTCAACACTCTCAAAATTTTAAAAGTGACTTGTACGGTACAATACTTAATTTTATCTTATCGATTTGTAACCACTCATATATCATATATGAAGAGACTCACATTCAATTTAAGTGATATTGTCCATTTTAATCTCAAAATTTTATGATTTTATCATATTAAAAACACCTTACAAGTTTTAAGTTTAAATCTTAATTTATATATTATAACAATTTTTTAAAATATTTCGATATAAAATTGAATTGTCTCAATTTTTATATAAAATAAAAAATAAAAAAACAGGGTGATAATAATGACATAATTTCATGAATGGTATCAAGTTGGATGTCTGATGCAAGCAAGACAGAAATATTTTCATTGAATTCAACTAGGGATCCACATAAACCCGGTCCGAACCTGATCGTTGACTAAAACAAAGAAGCAAATTACAATCAAAGTTTTCTTTTTACAACAAAAGAGATCAGTTAATCTGGAAAAAACTACTGAGTTATAGTTTAATCTGTTAATGTTCCTCTGGAATACTCTCCAATGCCGGTCTCCAAGCTCCATGAAAGCCATCATCGTCACTTTTTCTTCCAGCTTCAGAAACCCTGACACCTCTCAACTTCATAACTCTTATCAATTGCCCCATTGAAGAGTGCTTTAAATCTTTCCTGGAGCTTAAAATTTGCTTCAACTCTTTCTGTGTCACCACAACTCTTATCCTCACAACCCCATTTTTGGACTCACCTTGTTTTCCTCTATCAACATTGTTTTCTTCGTCTAATTCAAATCTCACTACCTTCTTTTGCTTCTTAATCTTAACCCATTCAGCAACCTCTGCAGCTCCTTCCAAGTTGGAAGCTGTAACTACTTGTCCTGTCTCTTTCATCACTTCAGCTTGGCTGCTGCTGCCTTGTGGCTCGTCCTGGTCGTTTTGTGCTAGAATTTTGTTGCTTGTCAAGCAATTCCCCATTTTCAGAATGCAAAACAAGAAAATTCAGATTGGCAGAATCAAACTGAGAGAGAAAGGGAGAGAAGAACTAAGGCAACAGAGGGAACATAAATATAGAGAAACAGGGAAGGTAGAGCACATGACCAATGCGGTTTTCACGCTGGGGTATTTGAGAGGAGGAGAGATTCTTTTGCAAAAATTCTAAAACCTTCTCATCATATGATTATTCAGAAAAATGTTTGATTTATTAATTAAACATAAAACCAAAGTTTTATAATAGATAAGTACAGCCGTCTATTATCTTAAACCCAAAGAATTTGTCAAGTACATGTACAAAAGGAAAAAGGAGAGAACTTGTAAAAGCACTTCAAAAGTAAATTCTTGAATGCATCGAATAATTGACGCAACCGTCGCTTACAAAAATAAAATAACGACAATACCCTTTACCGTGTGATAAAAAAAAAAATGAAAGTATTTGTTAACGCCTAAGTGCGCCAATAGCATAGATTATGATTTAAGGCAGCCGCACATGATCAAAGCTTGGACAAATTCTTTTGAAATTTACTGCTTAATTGATTAAATCAAGATTCTTCATCACAGTTGAAAGTAGTTTGCCATTGCTCAATGACAAAAATAACTATTCTTTTGATACTTTGATAGCGTAATCAATTGCCCTACTTTGACTGGTAACCCAATTTTGGATTATAAATTAGGCCAGTGGCAGGTTAGAATTGGAGCCTTTCAAGCTCCTCTCAAATTAATTATAAGATTATAGTCGGTTTAATGGCCTCTAATTGCGCCCATTTTACTATAGCTGCTCCACAAATTAGCTTGAGCTTGACCCTACTTTTTAAGAGAAACTTTTCTTGCATTGTTTCCACATTGTTGTTGGTTTCTATAAATCATATATGCAATTGATTTGAAAACTCCTGATTACATAATATCTACTTTTAATATTCATTTTATACCAATCTACTGGCAATAAATGTTCAACAATAAACTGTATCATACGTAATGTTTTAGGATCTTATAATATCATGAAGATAGGGCTTTATTTTTCAAAAGGAAAATAATTAGGACCAAAGGGGTTTGATTTTCCAATCAACCAAACCAACTGCCAAGCAAATCATATCAACTAAATCCACATTGATATCAATGTAGCAAACTTGCAACCAATTGTTTCTTATTAATCTATCAAGGTTTGAACAAGTACTGATAACCAAAATGTTTACTTTGCATTGGAGTTTTGATTAATAAATTTGAGATGCAATTAGTTAAGATTTAGTCAAGCTTTGCTTAGAACATGCAATAGCAAAAGGATGGTGGCGGTGGGTTCATGGAATGTGAGATGTCCTTCAAATTTAGGGCACCAATTTATATATATATATATATATATATATATTAACTTTATTTTGGCCTATATAAAACTCAGAAGGGACCGTTGAAAATTAGTAAATGAAAAAGGCCAACGCGTGAATACAGATATATTAGGGTTATCTTTCACATGGGTTAGGTAACCCCTGTTAGTTTCTCTGGAAACGTTGGAGCCTTGTTATTCTCTTGTTATGCATGTGGAGGTGGCCCTTATGTAACTTTTTCTTTTCTTTTCTGCATTATTGTAATGGGAGACACCGCCCAAAGCTAGCTCCGAACATGTATGGTTTCATTTAATTATGGTGACATCCATGTGACATATGTGGCAGGGGTCGATTTGATTCCGGTTTTGAAACGATAAATTAATTAATGTGTAATACTATGGTGATTTTACATTTGGCCATATATATATATATATATATATATTCAATAGGATCTATTAAATTGATATAATTTCACATCTATTAAATTTTAATTTTTTTTATGATTTTATATCCAAGTTAGACTTTTTTATTTATTGTTTGGTTTTAAATTAGATATTTAATATAATATTAAAGTCCAAATTTGTTATATTCTTTTTTTATTATTTATTTTAAATTTATCACGTAATAATCTTATTATCCACACGTCCAAAGTTCTATTAAAGTGATAATATTATTTTACATTTATTAAAATTTTAATTTTCAATAATTTTATATTAAATTAATTTTTTTCAATTATTGTCAATTAATTTTATATTGAGTACTTAAAGAAGTACTTGAACTGTATGGTGGTGTCATGTTGCAAAAGTATAAAGAAATAAAGATTGCAGAAAGTTAAGATGGAAGTGTCAAATGGGCCACATTGCGTTGGGGATGGACAATGGAGCATTACGAGAGCCGATCAGCACGAACCAACAATTGACAGGACAAGGACATTGGTAGTTCAGCCCAAACAGTAAGTTGGGCCATAGCCCACGGCCTATGAACCAACTTGGATCGAGCTCGTTATTTTTGTCAGATGGAAGACCCATTTTATAATTAACTAATAATAAAAAATTAGTTTAAGGGTCAAAAATATTCTTAAATTATAATTCAATAATTATTTAAATTTTTAATATTTTATCAAAATTAAGTAAATTTTTAATATTTTGTTTTAATTTAATTAAATTCTTAAATAGACGAAATCTACTTATATGATCAAATTTAATCAATTAATCCCTAAATTACAATAAATTGAATCATTATAAGGATCTTAAAAAGAAAGTGACAGAGAAAATAAAAATAATTTTATTTAATTATATATATTAATTATATCATGTGACAAACTTTCATTTATTTTATTAATATCATATGAAATTTTATTTTAGTTGATAAAAAAATTAATGGTGCTAATTTTTTCATCAAAATAAAATTTTAATTTGATATCAATAAATATTGATAGAGTTAATTGATTAAAAAAAAAAAGATTTGAATTATTTTTAAATTATGATTCAAGCACTTTTATATCCTTTAACCTAAAAAATTTTATATAATGTAGGTCGTTAAATTTGATGTTACATAATACAATAATGATATAAAAAAATCAATTAATAACAATTTATTTAGTGAAATTATTTAAAAAATCAATTAATAACAATTTATTTTTCTCTCTTTTATTTCAAAACACTAATTTTTTTTTTTAATTTCCAATGACTGTATCATGTTCGAATATACTTCCAAACCAAATTTATAACTTTCGATTAATTTTACGAGAAAAAATAGTATGTTTTTTAAGAAAAATTCAAAAAATGGTAAAAAAAATCCAACTATATATGATATATATATATCGAAAATATTTTGGAAAAGAATCAAATTTTTTACGATGTTTTTATTAAAGTTTGATGGTAAAACATGTCAAATCATCACTGAAGTTAACGTACTAAACTGAACAAAAAAAGAACAAGGACTGTTTTGGATTTTAAAAAGAAAAAATTAATAATACATTCGATCCAAAATCATGAGTCGTAATCGTTCCCATCAAATTTCATTCAATTTTTTAAATGATATATAATATTATAAAATTTTAAAATTTGATTCAAATTATATTAAATTTTTATTTAATTTAAATTTAATTAAATTTAATTAATTTAATTAATTTGATTAGATTTTATTTATCGATTTTTTATTTTTATATATTATTTTAATATAAAATTATTATTTTTATTTTATAAAAATTTAAAATATATATAATTTGATTCGATTAAATTTTTTTTAATTTTTTAACTCTTAATATTAAATTTGATCTAAATCTAATATATATATTTAATACCTAAATTTAATTTAAATTAAATAAAAAATTTGATATGAAGAAATCAAATATTGTAATTTTAAATTAATTTTTCAATTTTTCAATTTTTTTTATCCTAACTAAAACGAATCATGACGAAGGGTTTTAATTCAAAAATGCTAGAATAAAACAAGAAATGTGATTATGAATTTTAATTTGTTGAATTAAAAAAATATATTCTATTTTTCTTACCTAACTAACAAAAAAATTTTAAAATATTTCATCCACCGGTCTTTCAACATAGATTCTTTTAGCACTGGATGAAACTATGGCCTCAATTAAAATAAAAGAATAAAATATGACATTACTTGGACCACGTAGACGAATTGATCGTTATCAAGTTAGCAAATAATTCGAGGGTTTACATGGACCATTGGCAAAGAAATTTAAAGGAAAAAGAGATTCAAAATTTTTATGATTACGTATTTCAATTTTCAACCTCAGAATAATAGATTGATGGAAACTCCACCCTCTAAATTACACAGATTTCACATGGATTTAAGACGATTGAAATTAAATTCAAATAAAATTTGAGAATAATATTAAAAATATAATTGAGCCCATAAAATTATACATAGATTTATGAATTTTTACTCATTCACTACTGAAAATGCAATTTAATCTTATAGTGGGTTGATAAAACTAAATCATACATTAATTTAATTTTGAATATTTAAATATATATTTTTATGTAAAATTATTAAAAATTAAAGTCTAATAATTAAATTTTATTAGGATAACAGTGGATTGACTTTAGTAATATTAAAAATAATAATTATTGTTATTATTATTATTATTTAAAAATTTAATAAAAATTTTATATTAAATAAATTTTATTAAAAATAATATTTAAATTTAATTAATAATACGATAAATTTTATTACACTGTAGCAAAAAGTGCTACAAAATCTAAGCCTACCCTCAATCTAACGAACGTTCAACGCATCACAGTGCGATTGACAAATACAATCAATCTTATATCCACTTATAGGACCTTTGTCGAAGTAGATCAAATGATGACTTGATATTTGATTTGATTCTAAAGATGATTATTGTGTCTAGCACTTAGCCTAATTTCTCTCTCCTGCATGATAGGTTTCTTTCTGAAACACTACAAGACAGAATGTATCTATGTAAAAAATAATAATAAAAAAAAAGGCTGCGTCCAGCCAACGAGTACAAAACCAAGACAGAAGATATGTGATTTTATATTTTTTTTTGGCCACTCAATTTTGAAATAAAAATTCGTCTTTAAGAATTAAAAACCGAACTGCTAATAAAAACACCCGATGTAGTGTCCTATCAATTAATTAATAATACAGCAACGAAACAGGAATCTCCAATTTGTTCTGTTCTTCGTATTAACAACAAGATGTCAAAATAAAGTATTTAGACTTTGATTTTTTAAGGTTAAAACGTGGGATTTAAAATTCGAGATCTAAATCGATTAATTTAATAATTATTTTTATAAATTTCTTTTCGGATAATTTTTTGAAATGTAAGGATTTAAATTGGCTGATGCTGCTGCTTTTGATTACGCAGCCTCTTACGCAATGATGCAGTTACTAACTAGCCACCAGCGGCGAAGCCCATCGACGGCCCTATCATCAATTGATTTTTTTGTTTTTAGTACTAATCATATCTCTGACTGATCACATCGACAATGCATGACCCAGCCAGCCATTTGCACAAAAGGTCAATTACATTCATGCTGATGTATTTTTATTCACAGATTGTAAATCTCAAATTCTCTTTTTCCTTACAAGGTAAACTAATATTTTAGAACACTTTTAATACATAATAATATTTTCCTTTAATGTATTGAAATTTATATGTAAAATTATTAAATATTGTATTTAATATAAAGTTATTATTATAAATAGTATTACTTAACCTTAAAAAATGTCATAAAGACAATAGTTAACAAAATTCATAAAATAAATATATATTAGACCTATGATCATGAAGTTATCCTAAGAATACATCTTTAAATCTTCAAGGAATTATCTTTAGGCAATATATCCCTCATCATATTAAAAAGATAGTGATTTTTTTTTCTAATTAATCGAATGTTTATAAAATTTATATTTAACGTATTATCAATAAATTAAATGATATTAACTATTGAATTATCAAATAAAATTTTTATTAACTTTTAAAATAAAAACATTAAACTTAGTTTAAAAAAAAAATCATTAACGAATTAGTGTCATTCATAATTACAAAATATAAATTTTTACTAACTTTTAAAATTAAATATAAAAAACTTAATTAAAAAAAATTCATTAATCAATTAATATTATCTTATTTATTGTCAATATATACAATTTATAACTAATTAATATATCAAATATTAACTTAGAAACATCCAAATTGACATCTTATTTTCATTTAAGCAGCCGGCGAACATACACCATATATAGCTCTTGGTAAGGCCCCTTCTCCTACAAATACAACCCCAAGGAAACAGAAGAACAATCATCCACTTTGAAATTACAAATATATTCCTCAGTCCACGCCCACAAACCAAACCCCTGCAATGGGATCTCCCCAAGACACCATACAACAACCTCTGCTTCAACCACAACTATCACACACAAAATCCGAAACAAGCCCAGAACTCGAGAATACGTTATCGGACTTTAACCTTTCCTTCTTTGATCGAATAAGGAAAGCAACATGGATCGAGACCAAGCTCCTGTTCCACCTTGCTGCACCTGCTGTTATTGTTTATATGATCAACTATCTCATGTCTATGTCCACCCAAATCTTCTCCGGTCACCTTGGTAATCTTGAACTCGCCGCAGCCTCCCTTGGAAACACTGGCATCCAAGTCTTTGCATATGGTCTCATGGTATATAAAGAGATTAATTACATAAATTTCAGATATGTATATCTGTAGCTGTATATGTTTTGAAAATGACATTGATTTACTATGATTTTCATGAATATTTATGTAGTTGGGAATGGGAAGTGCTGTGGAAACGCTATGCGGACAAGCCTTTGGTGCACAAAAGTACGACATGCTAGGCATATATCTTCAAAGATCAGCGGTTCTGCTCACCTTAACGGGGATTCTTCTCACGGTCATCTATATCCTCTCCAAACCAATCTTACTATTACTTGGTGAATCGAGTGAGATTGCCTCAGCAGCTGCAATTTTCGTCTACGGCCTAATCCCGCAAATATTTGCATACGCCATAAATTTCCCAATACAGAAATTTTTGCAGGCTCAGAGCATAGTGGCCCCAAGTGCTTACATATCAACAGCCACATTGATCATACATTTGCTGCTAAGTTGGCTGGTGGTGTACAAAGTTGGGCTTGGTTTGTTGGGTGCATCATTGGTGTTGAGCTTGTCATGGTGGATTGTGGTGATTGCTCAATTTGTGTACATAGTTAAAAGTGACAAGTGCAAATACACATGGAATGGATTCAGTGTTCAAGCCTTCACTGGCCTGCCGGGCTTCTTCAAGTTGTCGGCTGCATCGGCGGTGATGTTGTGCTTGGAAACTTGGTATTTTCAGATTCTGGTTTTGTTAGCAGGATTGCTTGAGAACCCACAGTTGGCTTTAGATTCACTCTCCATTTGGTAAGTAAAGATAATTTCTGATCAACATTCTTGTTTTATTTGGTTGCAAGATCTTATTGAAGGTTTTGAACAATTCCCAGTCTAAGTTGTTGGCAAGATACATAGCCCTCAGCAGAAAAGGTCAATCATTTTTGGAATAACTCAAAATGGCTTTTTCCTCCCTTCCCCATGTAGTGGAAACTAAAAACTACGAAAACTATAAACTAATTGTTTGCTTCTTCCATTTAATATACATAAAGCATAACTGATACATTTATAAGGTATAAATATTATATATTATCAGTTAATTATAACATTAATATTTTATAAAATATTAATTTTAAAAATTTTAAAAATATATTATAAATTAATATTTTATTAAATGTTATTATAAAATTTTTTATAATAGTTATTATATAATGAAAATATATTATATATAATGTACGCTCGGTTTGTACAAAATAATATTCTTATACATTGGACAATGTCAAAGTGAGGTAAATTGTGGGAAGATGACTGATATTGTCTGTAATAGAAAATCATTTTCAAAATATCCATCCAATCCAATTTGGCTTTTTCTGCTTAATAATGCTTCTCTTCGATGACACAAGAGAGTACGTCAATCAAACAACAGTTTTTTTTCCTGAAAATTCAGTATTTATAGTACACGTGGCTCGTGCAGTGTGCGTAAGTACTTTTTTGTTATTGCTAGCAAGCGGTCTTTACGAAGCATGTCAGAGGTTTCTAAATTTTACATATGGATTAAAAAATTAATATATGTATTTTTATTATATTAATTTTTAATATATTTTTAAAATATGTGTCGTTTTATTTATTCCTCAAATAAGTTTTATAAGCTGATAAGAATTTTTATTATATTAATTTTTTATTTTTAATACATTTTAAAGAATACATATCATTCTATTAATTTAGTTAATAAAATCTAAAACTTTTAAAAATCATTAATTGTGTTTATGGATTTTCTTTGAAATATTGTCTATTCGTAGAATGATTAATCATGATCTTTTTATTTAAAAAAGATTCTTTAACATTATGTTTAGATTTAGGGGAAGGGATGGAAAAGAAAGAAAAATAAAAAAAGTATTAGAAATAAAAAACTTTTTTTTTGTTTTGATAAGTTTTTAATTTTAAAAAAATAAAAGAGATGAAAATTTAATAATTTTTTGGTTTCTTTAATTCATATTTTTTTTTAATATCTCAATTTTAAAAAAAAGTTAAAGAAAGAAAAATTTTAAAAATTTTATTTTTACAAAAAAATTATTATATCTATATTTTTATTATAACATGAAATTCGATTATATAATTAATATTTTTTATAAAAAAATTTTTATAAATATTTTATATAACATTACAGTTATAAATATTTTATAACTTTTTAAGTTTTAACAATAAAAAATTTTAAATTATTATCGAAATAAATAAAAAAATTAAATTAAATATAAAATTAAGAGTAAATTAATAATTAATTAATATATTTTATCATATTAAATATGTTTAATTTTGTTTAAAAAAATTATTTATACAAATTAAGTAATATAAAGATATATTTATATATTATATATTATTTTATTAAAAAAACTATAATTGAAAAAATATTATAATAAATTATATTTTTACTATTTACTTGAATAATAATTATTAAAATTATTTTTTATTAATTATTTAAATAAAATATACATATATTATTTTTTAAAAAAATTTATTTTATTTATTTATTATTAATATCTCTCTAAATATAACGTAACGATGATTATACAAATATTTCATCAGCAATTATCGATCAAATAAGATGCCAACATATGAATAATTTCTGATCGATGAATGCGTACTTTTTATAGAAAATGAAAAGACAAGTGATTTCTACTTTTCCATTCGCATATGTCTCGTGTACTGTTATTTTCAATCACATTTTTATCTTTTTAATTAAATTTAAATACTACTAACAAAAAGAATAATATTTTCAATCACGTTTCCTGGAGTATTTATATCCTAGAAGAATGTAATTAGCACCTCAGTAAAAGCTATAGATTTTTAATGGGTGAATTAATTGTTTCAGCATGACGATTTCTGGATGGGTGTTTATGATTTCAGTTGGGTTCAATGCGGCGGCAAGGTTTGTTATCAAATTTTACACTACAATTTATTTTATTATATATTGATTCTTTTTTTTTTATTTGATTTAACTTTTAATTGGTCATTGAAATTCTCTTACAAATTGCTGCTTCAATTGATTAAAAAAAAAATGAATGGAAATGAGCAGTGTAAGAGTAGGGAACGAGCTAGGAGCAGGACATCCAAAATCAGCAGCGTTTTCAGTAGTAATAGTGACGGTATTTTCATTCATTATCTCGGTGGCGGCGGCTATAATAATTATGCTTCTGCGTCACGTTATTAGCTATGCCTTCACTGAGGGTGAAGTGGTGGCTGAGGCTGTTTCCGATCTCTGTCCGCTTCTAGCACTAACCCTTATCCTCAACGGAATTCAGCCTGTTTTGTCTGGTAATATTCATTTCTTTGACATTATTAAAATGCAACTGTTCAATTCGATTCAATAAAACATTTTCATCCCATAATGTTTTTGGATGTATATATGGATTTGCATGAAGGTGTGGCTGTTGGGTGTGGATGGCAAGCTTTTGTTGCATATGTCAATGTTGGCTGTTATTACGTGGTCGGGATTCCCTTGGGTTCTCTTCTTGGCTTTTACTTTAATCTGGGTGCCAAGGTAATTGCATTATTTTTCATTTTTTGCCTTTCAACTTGAAAGTTTTGTGGATTATGATCCACGATGTGCATGGCTTCAGGGCATATGGTCAGGTATGATTGGTGGCACGGTAATGCAAACCCTCATCTTGATTTGGGTCACATTTCGGACAGACTGGAAAAAGGAGGTAACCCCTTAATTTCAATATTTTCCGTTAAAACTAAACAACGCATATACTTTTATTGCTTGTCAATTTCGATATCTATATGAATTTAACATTCTGGGAGAATGGCAGGTGGAAGAAGCTAGAACAAGATTGGATAAATGGGAGGATAAGCAGCCCATTTTGAAGTAGACAGTCGATCGAACATGGTCAGCCATTTGTTATGGTGCAGCTCCAACACCTCACCAAAGAATTTCCGATCTCCATCAAGGAAACTATGATCCCTGGAAGCGAATTGGCCTTTCCTCCGTTAGAGTTTTTTCACAATGCTCAAACTTATATAATTCAATTATCTCGACTAGATTATATTAAAAACTAACAGTACTGTATGCATGAGCTATACAGTTTGACTGGAAGCCTGCTATTTTCTAATTTACTTCTTAGTACCTAGGTTTTCTTTTCTAATAGATAAGAGCAAATGCCTCATAAATCCTATATCTATATGAAGAAGAAATCCTGCACAAAACACATTGTTATTTGTACAAATGGTACAAAGTCGTATACAACAAGGAAAAAGAATCAACTCTTTCATTAATTGTGAGAAATTGCATTAGTAGCAACATGAGTATGTTTCATTCCAGATATCTAGGCAAGCACAAAATGAGAGGAACAAATGAGAAACGAGATACACCACCATTACTTCTTCTTCCCTGCTTTGCCCTCTTTTCTTCTAACAATCTCATCAGCGTACCTCACACCCTTTCCTTTATATGGCTCCGGAGGTCTCCATTTTCTAACATTAGCGGCAAATTGACCAATGGCGCTTTTGTCATATCCACTCACGACGATACCGATGTTTTCTTCCACCTTCACTTGAATGCCTTGGGGGATTGCCATCCTGACTGGATGGGAAAAGCCAAGATATAACACCAAGTCCTTTCCCTCTAAATTTGCACGATATCCAACACCAACTAGTTGAAGTCTCTTTTCAAAACCCTTTGATACTCCCACCACCAGGTTGTCAGTAAGAGTCCTAGCAATTTCATTTAGGTAGAGTCGCAATTTAAGTGTCATTACATCATGCTTACAAGACTTTCCAAGCCTAACTTCCTTCATATAGCTAGCTCATGTGAAATTTGAAGATGGAGAGAGAAACATGAGTCAAAGAAGAAAATGCATGAATAATAATAAAAAAATAAAAACCACATGAAGTCTGCTTTGGTAATTGGAATTGGGGGTTGGAGGATATTATAGTAGGCTCAAGCCTCTTTCCTCTAATACACAAAACCGAAAGAAAGCCCCGTAAAAGTAGGCAATTTTTTTGCATCACAACCTCTTTCCTCTAATACACAAAACCGAAAGAAAGCCCCGTAAAAGTAGGCAATTTTTTTGCATCACAACTTCTATTTCTTTAACTTTTAATGCACTAAATTTCTAGCACATCAAGAATCATTTACAAAGAGCGCCATGGATATCAGATGGGGCCCTCCTATGCATCCATGTATATGATCCACATCATTTTACACACTTAGTGCTGATAAATTTGCTGCAGCTATTGCTACTAAATCTTCCTCCTTATATCCTAATGCCAAATCATGTACCTATTTGAAAGGAAAAAAAAAGGATCCAACAAAGTAACTTTGTCCATTTCAAATTCGATACTAAATTTTGCATGTCACTCTTGTAGGATACAGCCATTGGATATGTTTCCCTAGCTGGTAATGATCAACACACACCATGTGCCCCTTACCAATGTCATTAAGGAACCACCTTATACATTGAAGAATCCATATTTCACAAAAAGCAAAGGAAATTATGCAGACAAAGGAGCATTCTAGCAAGCCCAAAATTAATTTTTTAAAAAATTTAATAAAATACAATTGAAAAGAAAAGAGAGAGGGGGTTTCTTTAGAATTTCAAATTTGAGGTTAAATAATATGCTGACATCTATAATAAGTTGATCATCAAAATGGAATTTTTTATAAAGAATGAATGAACTGACAGCAGAAAATGCATCTGAATCTCCGGCAGGAATGATTGAGGACCCAAAAATAGAGTAAATTTTTTTAAACAAATTAGTGATCTTAGCTATCCAAGCAGTCAATCAAAATATATTGACCCAAAACCCAACTGAAATTCAGAATAGCACCAATGGTGCTTGATGAAATGTATCAAATTAATTCTTTTCAAGGAATGGATCTGCTTATATATGGAATTCAAAAAAAAAAAAAAAAAAAACAGGAGTTAATCATTTGAATAAGAGGTAGATGCCTAACGAGCAAGAATAGAGGACAAAAAAGGATTAAGGAACATGGTCAGTGGACTTAGGTGAATCATTGGTTGCTTCTTTTTTTAGTATGTGATACTAAATGATGATTTTCAGATCATATGATCAAAAATCAGAAGGCATTCTGGACACTTGTTCATAACCTTTGACAGTAAAGATAAGACAATCCATGAGCAATTATCATTTCCATAAGAAGATAACATCGAATTTTTTATCATAGATTGCTAATTCTTGGTGTGGTAAATGTGCATACATAATCTTGATTCCCAATATCATTTACAGTCCTTCAGTAAAGTCCATACAAGGGTATTTAGAGAACTATGAAGAACTAAACAATGCATAGGTAATTACCAAGATAGACTTTAGACAAATAACATATCAAGAACGAACTAAAATAAAAACTTTTAGAGAAAGAGAGGAAAAACAAAAAGGGAGGAACAATTTACCTGAAAAGCCCATGCATTTGGTTGGCTCTCCTAGTCTCCACTGCCTTTCTGACCCTCAGTAATCCGGATTCCTCCTTATCAAGCTTTACTTCTGGTGGATAAGTCAATGCAAGTTCTCCCAAAGGACCCTTTACCTTCAAGTCCTGACCCTCCAATGTAATTGTCACACTGGATGGCACTCGTATAGGCTGCTTCCCTATTCTTGACTCCTTACACTCTACAGTCTTCCTCACTAAACCAACACGAGTTACAGAAATGCTAGAAACACAGATCCCATTTTTTTCTCCCAAAAATGCAGACCTCAAATTGCTGAAACACCAGAAGGAAATAATCACATCAAATAAGAAAAATAACAAACATCAAAGCCACATATCCGGTTTTATGACTAAAGTGAAACTAACAAACCTTATATTATTTTTTAAAAAAAAATTACAGCGCCATATTTTCGTATTGTAATTTAAATAAGACTGGTCATTATAAGTCTATAACTTAATGGACGCCAAGAAGCTGAGATCAGGAAAACCACTTCCCAAACAAATTAAAAGCTAAGAACAAATGAAGAGTGATTGGCAATTAGGGATATTCAGGAGACAAGTTATGCACAATTTCGATACTTGACTAGTTTCAAGTTTAAATACACAATAGAATTTTCCCCTTTGCATTGCGAAAAAGGGGAAAAAAGTCCCACCATTGGCCTAAACAAATCCTAGAGCACCATAGCTGCACAACATAGTAACATTCCTCTCCATAAATGGAGTGAAAATAGACAAACCCATTTTAAGGCACAGTTTCATTAACAATTTGAAAGTGATGATATACTCTTAAATTCAAGACCAAACAACATTAAAACAAGGGCAATGAGCTAAATTTGTAAAAAGCAAGGAAAACCCATCTTCCAACACCTAACAATATTTGAGCCTAAATACCTAAAAATGACCATCCAGAAGCAGAACATATCAGATAACTTGAAGGCTCGATGCATAAAACATAAAAGAAAAACATGCTTGGGAAGTGGGAACAAACCTGGGTTGGAAAGATATAATTGAAGAAGCCATTTCTTAGACAATGTCTTTAGCATCGGCTTTGGTGAACCGAAGAAAATAGAGGGGCCTATCCGAAACGATTGTTGGTTGCTACTCTCTGTTTTTTCAACTGTTATTGTCTCGATTGTGTCGGTCAGCTGCTCATGGTATAATGACCCTATTACCCTTCTTGAAAGAATGAATTTGGGCTTGGGCATGACCCAGTTACAACTTAGATAATGGGCCCTTTGTAATGGATTCTTATTTAACAAAATTTTTAAATTCAATATAAAGTGTTAAATAATTGCCAAATTTTTATTTAATAATTAATTTATTTATAATACCAAATTACTTACTGTTTCTGGATAATTATTATCTAATATATATATATATATTATATTACAATATATATAGTTACTAGATAAGATTCGTTGATGTGAATGTTTACATAAATAATTTTTTTTATACATAAAAAAATTGTTAAAATTTCTCTTTATAATGATATATATGAATTTTTTTAATTTTATATTTTTTATCAAAAAATATATTTTAAAATTTATTTGATTATCCAAAACTTTTAAAATTTAAATGAAAAACTAATTTAGATTTAAAATAATTAAAATAATAAAACTATTATTTTTTATTTTTGTAATATTTTATTTAAATAAGTAAAATTAATTCTTATTTTTTATTTATGGATTAAATAAATGTATTTAAAAATTTATTGGTTATCCAAATCTTTTTAAGATATATTTATTTGAAAATTTTTAATTTTCCAAAGTTTTTCTCTTTACTAAAAAAAATCATCTTTATTTGTCAAACACACCTTTAAATATATCTTTTTATTTTTAAAAATTAAATTTTTAATAATTAATTATACATATAGGTTTGGACATGGGATTAGTCATAAATGGCCGAATAGTAAGTGAAAAGGTACTTGATCTGTAATTAGTGCTATATTTTGAAATGCTTATATTTTTGTTACCCTTACAATTAAATTTATAGTATTAATAATTGTAAAGTTTGCTTTTGAAATATAAAAAACTTCACATATCATTTTCAATTAGGATAATGATATATATTTTTATTTTTTAAAATTAATTTTTTACATATATCTCAAATTTTATAAATATTAAATATAATTTTATATTAATAAATTTCATGAATATATTTTATTATTTAAAATTATCAAATTTAATCTTTTAGTAATTTATAAATGATTGTTTAATATCATTCATTAACATCAATTTGATTTTTTTTTCATTGTTCTCTACTTTTGTGTTACATCATTTCATTTTTATATTCAAAAGTGTAAGTTACAAAAGATTTTTTTTTTTCGTTTTTATATATTTATTGTAAGCCCGCTGTTTTTAGCTTTGACTTTTTTTATAAATATATTATAATATATAAACTTACATAAACATATATATTTTTATATTTTATAGATAATGTCTACATATCTTTTTTTCTCTACTATTGACTTTTCATTCAATTAGTTAATATTTTCTTCTTTCAATTAACTTTCTTTTTTCATATATTACATGATGCAAAGTTACAAATTTTTTTTTTCTATTTTATAAGTATTGTATATAAGTTTTTTTTTTTCTCTTTATATTTGACTATTTACCCAATCAGATAATATTTTTTTCTTTTAATTCAACTTTCTTACGATGCAAAAACACTTTCACTAATAATCTACATAATTACATTGATTTGAATCTACTATTTATAAATATTGTTACAAATAACAATAACTAATTAGACTTTGAAATCATGTTTTACATATATAATATAATTAGCCCATTAATTATGATTTTGTATAAAAATTTATAATCAGTTATACTTTTTCTTCTTCTTCAAAGTCATAACATTCTTTTTATTTATAAAAAAAAAATTAGGATAAATTGAAATCCAACTTGATTTCATTCTTTTTTATTTTTCAAATCAAATCTCATTAGTAAGTATTTGATATTTTCTTAAACATAATTTAAGAAAAAAAATTTTAAAAATTAAGAAATGTTCATGAATTTGGTGGCATAAAGCTGTAAACATTTATAAATTTTATCTTATGATTCAAATCACCTATTCAATTTATATTTATTATTAAAATGTTAAAATTTTATAATATTAAATATATTTTAAATTTAAAATTAAATAATTTTTTAATATAATAATATTTTAAATTCATACTTAAAAAGTTATGAATAAAATCATAAATCGAACTCATAATTCAACTAATGAATAGGTCTACTTTTTAATAAAATTAAAAAATTATATTCAATTTCGATGCATTTGCCTTTTTTTTTAATTTCCTTTGATCGAATTTTGAAAAACATTCACTAATCAAGCATAAATATAAAATTGAAAATATGTATTTTGTTAATTTATTTTGATTAATTTAATTGAATTAAATTTATTCAACTAACTCTCTAATAAGATTTAATTGATACAAAATTATATATTTTTCATATGATAAATAATATTATCATACTTAAAGTGTATGAGATATTTGGCAAAAGAAAAATAATTGAAATTAAAAAAATAATTTGTGATTTTCGAAGTAACATTATAATTAACAATGATTTATAAAATGTTTTTCATTGTATTTTAACTATAAATTAATTTCAAGCATAAACAATTAGATATAAATGATTTTGCCTTTCTTTTAAATATTAAAAAATTGAATAACTAATAATTTTTTAAATATATTTTTTGATAAATAACATAAAATAAAAAATTAATGAAGATAAATTTGTTTACACACATAAATTATTTATGTTTACTTTATTAAATAAATAACAAATAACTAAATTAAATGATAAATAATTTTTAACTTGCTACATTACAAACTAAATCTTAAAAAAAAAAATCAATTACAATTAAATTCTGCTCTGCTGCTGAATTTTTAATTTAAAATTAATTTTAATAATATTATTGAATTAATATATTATTGAAAATCAATCATGACTTTTAATTAGAAGTCTTTAGAGAAAGATAAATAAAAACACTGCAATTTCCCTCAAGAAAAATATTTAGCTTTTCGATCTGATTGGATTCAAGAAAAACAAAACGAATCAAACTTCACTTTAAATAAGCATCAACAGCTTTTTCTTTTTTGTTTTTTTCATCGTCTTTTTATACTGAAAAGGAGTGTTAGCCAATTAAAACCATACCACACCTGACACGTCGTAGACCTGTCGAACTAAAGTTGGCCATTAGCTTTGCCTAGCTGAAAAAGGGTTATTTTATTCTTCATTGCTCTAATTAATGATAATATATAAAATTGATAGTTTAAAATATAATATAATAATATGGTATAAAAATAAATAAATAATAAAAAATGATATAATTTTAAATTTTAATAAAAATAATATATCTGAGTTTAATAAAATTAAAAAATTATATATTTATATTCATATTAATTATGATATGATTTTTTTTATAAAAATAATATAAATAAATTATCAAATCTAATAAAAAATATACTTTAATAATTAAATTATACACATCCAATTTATAGAAGTATTCTCACATTAATTAGTACAGAGGAGCACAAACTTTATTTTTTCTATATTGATTAAAAATATTTGTTAGCAAATTAAATTGATAAATTAATTTATTGGTTTTGATATAAGTGATTTTTTATTCGATTTGTATCGATGATTTTTTTGTTAGAATAATTTTGAATGCACAATTTTATCAGTGTAAGATGTATTTTGTCTTGAGTGGGAAGCAAATAATTTATTTATCCAAATTTTATAAATAAAAAAGTATAAAGATATTACTTTTAATAATAATCTTGATAATTTTTAAGAATTTATTAGTAAAATTATTTTTCAAAAACTCATCTTTCAAATTTTTGCTATTTTAATTTATAGATTGGATTAGGAAAAATTATTAAGTTATCCTAATTGGGAGAAATTATTACATAACTTTTCTTATTAATAGTTTTTAAAATAGGAAATTAATCTCAACAATAAAATTTTTACGTTTCACAAATAATATTAAATAAAATAACACATATTTTAAAAATATATTAAAAAATTAATTAAAAATAAAATATATGATAATTGCATAAAAAATAAACTCTTTCAACAAAAAATTTTTATTAGAATCCAAGAGTGTGTATCACACAACCTTTTGCACGTGGAAACGAACCTTTTGTCGGTAAAAAATAATGCTTTGACAAATCTAAGATCGTTCATTATTATCAGTCCATGCAAGTCGTGCCAATATAATCACGAGCCACCTACCCCTTACAAAGAAATACGTCGCTTCTCTCTTCATTTTTTTTTTTGCACCCTAAAAACATGGGCATTTTTTTTTTGGTAAACCATGACCAAATTTCTTTCAAATTTATCCTTGAATTAGTATTTTTTACAGTAAAAAAAAAAAAGTTGCAATCAAATTTTCTCCATTGAAAAGATCAAAAGCCTGAAAAACTTTATTTCTGGGTCCCTTGACTGACTGACTTTTCACTCTCTGGTCTTCCCCACAAATCCACTGTTAGTGTTTTGGACATGGTGTCCACAAATTCCACGTCCAATCACTGTTTTTTTTCTTTTCGTTTGAATTTATCCCAAATTCCACATTACTGTTTCTTGGCTTCTTGCAGCCATTGAGTTTTAGTACTACTATCGTTTTTTCCATATGGTAGTTGGCATAGTCTTAAGTCAGCTTTAATACATTTCCTGAGTTCCTGTCCTAACTCCTAAGTTTTTCTTACTAGGTCTCGAATTTGATTTGTAGGTTGTGTTTCTGGTTATTTTACAATCTGGGTATTTAGAAAAATGCATGCTTGATATACTTTTAGCAAGTTTCTTCAACCCCAGAAGGTCTTGACTTCAGACAAAGGCTAACTCTTTAAATTAAAAAAAAAAAAATTCCTTTTTTATTCTGGATTTGTTGGTTTTGATAGCGTTCCAAATGAGACGTCTTGGGTTTGTTTCATTTTTCGTTTTGATAATATGGGTGTCCCAGAGTTGTTTTGTGGGTTGTCAGAAGCCTGCCGTTGTAAACATTGCTGCAATTTTCACTTTTGATTCTGTTATTGGTAGAGCTGCAAAGCCAGCCATGGAAGCTGCAATCTCTGATATCAATGCTACTCCCAGAATTCTTAATGGAACTCATCTTAATTTGTCCATGTCGGATGCTTATTGTAATGTCTTCTTGGGTTCTACAGAAGGTAACTACAACTCTGTTATTTTGCTTTTTCCCTGCTACTTAGTCTGTTAAAATACATGGTTGGAATTAGCAGTTCTTATGGCTTTTGACAATTTTAATGAATATGTATTTAGTGATGGGCATAGTTATGAACTTAATTCAATTTATTGTGGATCTTTCTCCTTCTGCCTTCTGTTCTCGGTTCACTTGAATTTATATAGGGTCAATCAATAACTTAAAGCTCTTTTCAACTCTAATCATTTATTTGATGATTAATAACTATTCTTACTGTGATCTCTACTTGTTTTGTTTCTAGATTTCCTTTAATTAATCTTCTAACTTGACCGGCATAATAATGATTTTATATGATAATGAAGTTTCTGTGCATTTTAATCCATCAATGATTTCACAAAGATGCCAAATCTCCTCATGTCTTCTTTGTTTACGGTTGATCTTATATTTTCACTGTGGTATGATTGCCATATCAGGCCAAAGTCCTTTCAGGCATGATATTCCTTGAAAATTTATTGCAAAGAATCTTAAACCAAGATAGAAGTTCTTCTAAAACAGATTGAACCTTTTCTTTTATGTCAGCTTTTCAAGTAATTGAAAAAGAGGCGGTGGCTATTATTGGTCCACAGTCATCTTCGATTGCTCATATGATTTCTGGAATAGCCAATGCTCTTCGAGTTCCACTTGTTTCGTATGCTGCCACTGATCCAACTCTTTCTGCTCTCCAATTCCCATTCTTTCTACGAACTGTGCAAAGCGATTTCAACCAAATGGTTGCTATGGCTGACTTAGTTGATTTTTATGGGTGGAAAGAGGTTATTGCCATCTATGTAGATGATGATTATGGGAGGAATGGGATATCTGCCCTAAATGATGAACTTAATAGGAGACAGACAAAAGCTTTCTATAAATTCCCTTTGCCTGTACATTTTACTCAAAGTCACATCATATCCTTGCTCAATCATTCTAAATTGCTAGGTCCTCGTGTGTATGTTGTTCATGTTAATCCTGACCCCCAATTAAGAATTTTTGCCACTGCTGAAAAGCTTCAGATGATGACCAGTAACTATGTGTGGCTTGCAACGGATTGGCTTTCTGCTACCATAGATTCATTCTCTCCCATGAATCAAACTGCTCTCCAAGTGCTTCAAGGGGTAGTTGGACTCCGGCAACACATTCCAGAGTCCAACAAGAAGAAAGACTTTGTGTCTCGATGGAGAAAAATGCAGCAGAAAGGGTTGGCAAAATCAGAGTTGAATACCTATGGGCTTTGTGCTTATGACACAGTTTGGACAGTTGCACATGCAATTGACAAGTTCATAAATGATGGCAACAATCTTACATTTTCATCCAGTAATAAGTTAAATGATACAAGAACAGCCAAAATGCATTTGGAGGAGCTTAAAGTTTTTGATGGTGGTGATTCACTGCTCAAGGATTTATTACACACAAACTTCTCTGGTTTAACCGGTCAAGTTCATTTTAGTTCAGATCGGAACATTGTGACCTCAGGTTATGATGTCATTAATATTCACAAGATGGCTGTTCAAATAGTTGGTTACTGGTCTAGTATTTTTCATCTCTCAGTTTCTCCTCCGGAAACCCTCCAAGGGACACAAAAGAGCTATTCTGAGATAGACCAGAAGCTTCACAGTATTACTTGGCCTGGTGGAAAGACAGAAAGGCCTCGTGGCTGGGTGATTGCAGATGATGAACGGCCATTGAGAATTGGAGTGCCCTATAGAGCCAGTTTCATTGATTTTGTTACAGAACAGCATGATAACCATAAAATCGCGGGATACTGTATTGATGTGTTCACTGAAGCACTGAAATTCATCGCATATAATGTTCCTTACAAATTTGAGCTTTTCGGGGATGGACAGTCCAATCCTATTTATGGTCAGCTTGTGAACATGATTGCAGATGATGTAAGTATGACAGTTTGCCTTTTATAGTTGGTAAGGATTAACATAAATTTTAAATTTGAGCAAGGATTTTGAGGAGATGATGGTTCCACCTATAGGGTTAGGAAACTTTCTTAATAATTGTTCAATATTAACTTACCTAACACCTTCGCACCAAAATATGTCATAAATTGATTGGGGCAAATATATCCTTTTTTTTTTGTACATATATTTGCCTGTGGTAGATGTTACTTTCATGGCAATAGTTGAGGCACTTCTAATGAGTTGCATGGTTAAACCTTCATCCAATAAGCAATAAATAGCATGTTGCAACTTAAATCAAAGTCTTGCATCATGGAGAGGAATGTTTATTTATAGATAGAGCTTGTACATCTTGATTGTTTTTAAAATTATTGTACCAGGTGTTTGATGCAGCTGTTGGGGACATTGCAATTGTGAAAAACCGTACAAAGATTGTGGATTTTTCTCAGCCTTATACAACTACTGGTCTCGTCATAGTAGCTCCAATCCGCAATTCAAAATCAAGTGCTTGGGTATTTCTAAAACCATTTACATTAGACATGTGGTGCATGACTGCAGCTGCTTTTTTGATAATTGCAGTTGTTATTTGGATTCTGGAGCATCGAGTCAATGATGCTTTTCGTGGTCCTCCTAGGAAGCAACTTGTAACAATGTTTATGTAAGTTATTGCTATATCTCAGAGAAGTTCTAGTTAATATTTTCTATCATTTTTTTTGTGATATTATAAATGTGGTTCTTTTCCTCCTATTTTCAAAAAGATGGCTTTTTTTTTTTTTTGCACTCGTTGAGCCCATACATTCCTACCTCTAATATCATTCATTCATTTACTATTGCAGGTTCAGCTTCTCAACACTGTTTAAGACAAACCGTAAGGAAACTTTGGCTCCCTAACTTCTTTTATTTGAGAATTTTTTCACTGAAGATAAGTATTAACCATTAGCAGATATGATGTTAGCCTTAGGCTACTTTTGATATCAACAATAACTGATTTTGTTCATCAAAGTCTGTATACGTGGCCACTTCAGTTCTTATGAAATTTTACAAATAATGCCAACCTCGCAGTTCCAATTCAAACTGAGCTGCACTATCTTTATCTAGATATTAACATAACTCAGTAACTCTACTTGCCTTTCCTATGCCATTATTGTTTTTTCTTTTTCTTTTCATGGGAGGGGGAGTGTTGGGGGTGGTCTTGACTGCCTCCAGATTTTTAAATATTAGAAAAATGGCTAAGTAGCACATTTAACTGTGAAGCTCTTCTTCTTGGGATGATAAAATTTCTTGCTTTGCCAAAAAAAAAGAAAAACCATATGAGCCTTTTGGTTCTATCATGCTTGATTGTCTACATTGTGCAGCCCAATAAGGATTAGTGATAAGGCTAATTGGTTTGATCCAGCAGTAAGAATCCTCAAATTCACATCAGCTTTCTGCTTTTTCAATAAAATATTGTCTCATTCTGTTTCTTTTAAAGCAAAATATGGCTTTACTGTTTCTACTCTTATCAGTTATCATTTTGTCGTCTCAAGTTACAGAAAGTTTTAGAATCCATACTGATCTTAAACTTGACAATATTTCATTTTAACAATACAGAGGAAGTAACTGTAAGCACACTTGGGCGAGTGGTAATGGTGGTATGGCTTTTCTTATTGATGGTGATAACATCTAGTTATACAGCAAACTTGACTTCAATCCTTACAGTTCAGCAACTCTCATCTCCCATTACTGGAATTGACAGCTTGATTTCTAACACTTGGCCTATTGGTTACCAAGTTGGTTCATTTGCATATGGTTATCTATCTGAGAATCTTAACATCCATCGGTCAAGGCTTGTTGCACTACACTCTCCAGAAGAGTATGAAAGTGCTCTACGACTAGGGCCAGCTAATGGAGGTGTGGCAGCTATTGTTGATGAGCTTCCTTATGTGGAATTATTTCTGTCAAAGCGAACTGATTTTGGGATTATTGGCCAACCATTTACAAAGAGTGGCTGGGGATTTGTAAGTACTTTCCTCTACATGAAAATGCATTCATAATTTCATACACGTCTTGTTGGAATGCTGGCATTTCATGTCTAGATTTCTGCATATTCAGTTAACTGTAAAATGTAAATAAAAATACTATCATAAACCAATTCATAATGTCTATGATATGTCACTTGTATGAAAAGTCTCTCATAGATTGTGTTCACTACATCATATCAGGCTTTTAAGAGAGGTTCTGCGCTTGCTGTTGACATGTCTACTGCAATCTTGAAACTTTCTGAAAATGGAAAGCTTCAGGATATACATGACAACTGGTTTTGTAAGATGGGTTGTCCTGGAGAGAGGAAAAGAAACTCCGAGCCTAACCAACTCCACTTAGTGAGCTTCTGGGGCCTATATCTTTTATGTGGTTCCATCACTCTTGGTGCACTTCTAGTCTTTATTCTTCGAACAGTTCGCCAATTTGTCCGGTACAGACGAAGGCAAATGAAACTTTCTTCCCCTTCATCCTCGGTTCAAACTACTACTCGTTGCTCTCAGGTCATATATAACTTTTTTGACTTCATTGATGAAAAAGAGGAAGCTATCAAGAAAATGTTTATGCAGTGTGAGATTAATCCGGTTCCAGAAACTCCAATAAGCACAGCAACATGAAATTTTTGTTTTGGTAGATTTGGAGGGATATATTAGCCTTTAGTGCTTAACGCAGAAACCTAGTCTGTACATGAATCAACTCAGACTGCCTATTTAGGATTTGTGATGCTTGTAAATATCACTGCTCGTGATATATAGAAAATTCCATAATGGCGATTATGATTTTCCTTATGTATACAAATGACATTAGTTTTGCAGTAATCCTATCTAATTATGGCTCATATGCTTGTCATTCTAGGTTCTTTAGCTGTTATTAGGTATTCAGAACCAGATATTACTAAAACAGAATCTTTTAGATATAGATGGATATACCATATGCTGCATTAAGTTTGACTGGTGCAAATCATCTGTGGGGTTGCTGGTGCTTCTAAATGAACTGCTGTTCACAAAATTTTCAGGGAATGCTCTATCCAAAGTCACAAGGTCCCAACTGCAGATAATTGATATCCATATCTTCATTGGTGCTAATAGGTGCAAATTTGATGTCTAACTTGATTGGGATTTTGAAATTCGAATGGCTGTTCACCATAATTTCCAGCATTTTGATCACATGGTAGAGATTAGATCTTTTGAAGCATTTTAATACAGTATATGCAGAGAAACCCTGTTAAAGCAGGCTGATTTGAATATCAGATATATATTTTTTCCACTGTTTCTTTGAATGACAATCGGATTTTTGAGTTGAGGAGCTTGATCCATTTTGCAAAAAGTAAAAAAGAATCATATTCCATAGAGAAACGCCGAATGGACGGCCACAAAATTTGAGAATGGCAATGCTGTTATATTGGCATTGGCACCTGGCAAAGGCCACACAATTGGGATAGGCATCCATTCCCTGCTGAATTCTGCGGATCAGTACCATAACAATGCAATGCAAACGATAACATTCAAATTCCAATGTTGCAAATATTTATATATATATATATATATAATTATATTAATCTGACCTTTATATCTAGCCCCAATAAACCAAGCTATAATATCCCTCACCAAAATATTTGGCTTTTTAAACAAAATGATGTTAGACTTTTACTTTTAATAATCGGATTTAATTTCTTATTATCTCAAGCATAAAAAAAAAAATTTATAGTTTCCCACTTAAAAAAATAAAAAAAAACTTTTGCATTTAGCCTATGACCATTATTATTATAGGCAAATTGAGTTTAATTCTCACTAAATTGATTTTTTTGATAGAATATATTAAAAGGTATTAATCAGGAGCAATTAAACTTAATGCATTCAATTTAACAATTGGCTCAGTCATCATAATTTTAAAAAGTTTTTATCCTTTATTAATAACCCTTCTATATATTAAATCCTATTGATTTCTACTAGCATTTTCACAATAAAATTCGATTAAATGATGCCTACAGGCATTGATTAAGGAAAATTAAAATATTATTTAAATAAAGTTAATTTTACATTTTTTCTTTAAATATCACCTAAACAAGTTTCACTGATTAACATTTTTTTTACACAAAATATTACTAAAAAAATCATAAGTTTTTTTTCTTATTTAATTTTAAGATATAGTAAACAATTTGCATAACAATGAGATAGTTTTTATAAAAAAAAATAAAAAAATCCCTATATTAGTAACAATTTTTACCATTGAATTTCTCAATCCACACCATAATTAATTTAATTATAAGGTTGAAATAAGCAACGCAAACAAATAAAGTTTAAACCTTAGACAAAAATCTAGCCATGAGACGAACCTATCAATCTTATCTTTCACGTCATCGATCGAACAAATAGCGACACTTTATTCACCTTTCACGTCAATCAATCAAACAAATAGCGACACTTTATTCACGTGGACGCCTGTTTTTCTTCTTATTTACAGTCATTATAATGCTGCTCTTTCCTTTCAATTTAGCTAAGGAATTTTATTCTTTACTTTATTCCACACTTTTTTTTCAACTTGTTCGTACGAAATATCTTTGGCTTAGTCATAACTTAAAATCACATTTAACGGCATTGCGGTTGAAGGACAATTCAACAAAAGTTTTTTGGGTCCATTTTTTTTATCTGTTAATAAGAAAATAATAAAACATGCATAAAATAGTGGTTATGGATGAATTATTATTATTATTATTATTTAAAACTTGAGAGTATCAAATATTAAATTATTTAAATAAGTAAATGTGTATGCATAAATTATTAAAATTAAAACTTCATATAATACATCTTATGTATTAGTGATCAATCACTTTGATTATTTTTAATTATTTAATGTCATTGTAATTAAATGATAAAATGTTTCTAAAATAAAAATAATTGAATTCATTAAGTAGTATTTAATTAATTTTTTAATATTTTTCTTTAAATATTTTATTTAAATAAATTATCAAACACATTGAAATTTTTAAATCATTAAAAATTTTCAATCATTCATCAAAATGACCCTATTTATATTTAATAAATATTTGTTATTTTTAGACTGTCAACTAGAATCCAGCCATAGTTCATAAATTTTCTAGCAAATAAGTCTCTAACAATATTAAATTTCCTGTCATAATTTAATTAATTAATACCACATACAAGAAAATAAATATAATTATTTATAAGTTTTTCTTATCGGAGTTTTTCTCTAAATTAATTAATAATAGGTTTATATTTTTTCTTTAATTAATAATTTTTTCTCTAAATTATGATAAGAAAAAAAATAGAAAACATATAAATAGTTATAGGTTTGCTAAGAATATTCTTAAAGCAATTTTATTAAAATACTATTTATAATAATATTTTACATTAAATGCATAATTGATAATTAATGTGATAAATTTAATGTATTAACAAATATTTTTTCTTAACCTAATAATTTTAAAAGAAAAAATTGAATATTAACTCAATTATTTCATGTAATCATTTTAAAATATGGTATTTAATAAGTTCAATATTCAACTCAATACTTATTTTATCTTGACCATAATTGTGATGTCTCAATCACATATCGAGATAATATGAAATTAAGCTATATGTAAATATTTCAAATTAAAATTATGAAACGTTTTTTGTGACATCAAATTATAAAATTTTTGAATCAAAGCGAATAATATTTCATAATATACATTTTTCATAAATAATAATATCATAATAAGATTTTAGTTGAATTTCAAATTATCCAATTAACATCACAAGAACTTCTTTTTTTTTTTAAATAACCTTAAAATAATATTTTTAGGAGTCTGAGTAATAAAATTCATAATTATGAAGTACCACAAAAAAGTTCAAAAAACTTCATAATTATGGGTATATGAATGTTAGATTAAAAGTCTCTCAATTTGGCCGGAATATTAGATTTGTTGATCCAAATAAGAAGGGAAAAAAAGAGGCGGCTCATACAATGAGACAGTACACCATTTTCAGATGGCAAAATGCTTGTACAAGTTGAAACACATGTTTCACACATGAATTAGACAGGGAAACGCCTAACAAAGCTAAAATAAAACGTCATTTGCACATGCATTTGTACAGATGGCATCATTAGAATTTAGAACTATTATCTTTAGTCCAACATGTGATCATAACGTTGACATAATTAATGAAAGGTTGAATATATTGAAGTGATGAGTTGAATTTATAAGTGATGTCAAAATTAAATTGAATTCATCAATTAAATCGATTACGTTACAATTAATTATCAAATTGAACACACATCAAATTAGTCAATATTTAATTAAATTGAGTTGGACCAATAAAGTTTAATGAATTTGATTAATTTATATTATTTAAATTATTAATTATTCTTTAAAATGTTTTATAAGTGATAGAATTTAAACCTTTATCATTTTAGAGTTCCATTAATGTACTTAACTATTAAGTCAAATGTATATATGTAAGAAAAAAATTACACTATGATAAATATATGAGATTATGGTATAGTAATAAAATACCAAAAAAAAAAAAGCATAAGGATCATGGAAGAGGAGGTGAGGTTTCAAGTACAAAATAAACTTAAGACTCTAGCTATACATGGACCCTCCCTGCATTGTAAATTTGTGGCTTGCCAAGGGAAAATTATAGTAATTTGATGTCTAATGTTATATAATAAAGCCATACAAATAGTACTAGTTAATTATGAATTACGTTAAAAGAGATAATTATTTAAATAAAACTTAATAAGTGTATCTAAAAAATTTTTTGTTAATTATTGTTCCAAAGATATTTTTTAAAGCTAATTAACGTATTATTTATAATAATATTTTTTGTATTGAATGAAGTGGTTGATAATTAATGTGATAATTTCATTACATTCTAAAAAGATTTTTTTAATATGATAATCTTGAAAATATCTTTTAGCAAATTCTTAAGTTTTGCTTGCATCCTTTGATATTGATATTTTGTACTGAATGTGTTTGGTGGTAATTGATGTGACAGTTTGAATGCACTGTTTGCTCCATCGATTTTTCAATGTTAGATTGTTTTAAAGAATGTTATAAAATGAAATTAAAATAGTGTTTGATAAATTTAATATAAAAGTGTAGTAAAATGTTACAAAATATATTTGACAATATTTTTTTATATTTTTAATAAATAAAAAAAATAAATCAAATTTATTAAATTAAATCATGAGTTTTTAAATATAAAATAATTTAAATAAAGAGATGTTTTTATTAATTATAATAAAAACAAATGAAATAAATACAATGAAAAAATAATATCAAATAATATAATATTATTTATCATTTTATGAATTATTGAAGACTAAAGTAAAAATACAAACAGTAAATTAAAACAGTAAAATTGAAGCAGTAGAAGAATCAAATTAAAACTTTAAAGTTTTCGGTAGCGAAAAATCTTAATTTTAAAAGAGGGTTTTTAAATTTATTTAATTTCCAAGTAGCAAATTGCAAATAATAAAAAATGGGGTGGGGGGGGGGGTATGGTCTATTTGATCACAAGAAAACAAATAAATAATTTGTTGGTTTGTATGTGTTTGAAGAGATCCCCCCAGGTGAAACCAAATTCGTTTTGTGATAATCAAACAGTGATGTTTAAATTACATTGAATAATTTGTATATTTATATCATATAAATATTAAAATTTATATATTTATATCATATTTTATATAAAAATTATATTTTATAATTAATTGTAAATAATTTTATTTTTATTAAATTTATAAATAAATGTTATTATAATTTTAAATTATATTATTTTTATATTTTATTTTTGTATCATATTTTAATATTATATTTTAAATTATTATACCTAATTTAAATTATTGTGAGCCATCAAATTTATTTATTTAGCTCTCACAAGCAAGCAAAGAATCCAATACCCAAACTTTTTGCCTTTTGCAAAAAAAAAAAATAAAAAAATCTCATTTTTTTCAGTAAAATAATTTTTAAATTTATGGTCATTCAACCCAATCACAAGAACAATTTCAAAACCATGTTTCAGACACTTAATAGTTTGGAACACCAGGTTCCATCAAAATAATCACAATCATTTTATTTTCCTTTTTTAAAAAAGATATTTTCCCTAAATATATTGTTCACTCAATTGGTTTCAAGGCCGCAGTGACAGAGTAATGCATGTATCATATATGGATAGAATAATTTTTGATTGCTTCATTAGATGTTTTTGCCTTCACAAAATTGTGCCTTTCAAAATTGGTTTTGGTCGGTGGATTAGATTTTAAAAATTATAAAATACAATGGTCCAAAGTGAATTCAATAAGTTAAAAAAAATTTTTAATTATTTTTTGATAAAAAATAATTTTTTAATCTATAATTTAATTCAATTAATTTATTCAAATATTTTAAAATTGACATCCAAATTTAAATTTAAATTCTAATTTATACCCTCCTTTTGTTTTAAAATCATCATCTCCTACGTAAAAAAATTTACTTTTAAAAACCAATTATTTCTATTTTCCATACCTGAAAACACAAAGCGACAAAAAAAAAAGCTTGTTTGTCAACAAATCTATCAAGCACATGATGATCTGATGAGGATTACAGCCACCATTACAGGATATATGCTAAAAGCTTGACGTGAGCCAGTGATGTTAACAAATATTCTGTCTCATACTCATTTACATTTGGTAAAGAAATTAACCAAAAACTCACTGTAGTTAAATAGGTAGTACAAAAAGGTTGGGCTAAATAAAGAAAAAAAAAAAAGACTTGGAATTTGTAAGAGCCAGGGAAAGAGACATTATTTAATAAAAAGAGGCAGGGAATCATTCTTTACTTGAAGCCTGCAACACTGTTTTGAAGCCGTGAACGGTCAAGTTGTTTTTGAACTCAATTATATATTTTTTTACAGCCAGCCTTTAAGAACACTTTCGTCAAGGTGATGCAACCAGCAATATCTCCTTCCCCTTTTTTATATTGTTTTTCCTTGCTCATTGGCTTTGCATGTGGCGGTTTTCCCTGACAGTTTGAACACTTGTATATTATTAAATTCTACCACTATTTTCTGTTTCATCTTTCACAATACAAACCCAATATAAAATTATGTTGAACCCAAGTTTTTTGTTGAACATACCTTGGTTTTATTAATCTTTATGGCTATCTAACTAACCAGGGCATGTGCGTTTTGGACCCTGTAAGTGTTATGAAGCATGGGTTTTTAGATCATTACTGTTGGAATTTTTTTGTTTGTCATTTTGGAGTCTAAATCTTACTGCTGTTCTTTTCATCTTTTTTTTTTTTTATTGACAATTTTAATAAAACCCCATGCTGGTTTCGTCCTCAGAATTGCTTGGATTTCTTCTTGATTCCTGCTTTTCATGTTTTTGCTTACGTTTGTTGGCAGGTGGTGCTTGGTATCTTGAATTCATGATAATTTGAGGCAGAAAATAGTTGGTCTGGTTTCAAAGGCAAGTTTTTGTTTTGGAAGACATGGCGGAGGTCCTGTTGATTTCAAGATTCATGACAAGAACTTTGATTTTGTTGAGTCTTTGGTTCATGTGGGTCCCATTGGGAGTTGTTTGCAGTACTGGAAGTACATCAGCTTCCTCAAATTCTTCTTCATCATCATCTTCTATGAAGCCAAAAGTTTTAAATATTGGAGCTCTGTTCACGTTGAATTCAGTTATCGGGAGAGCAGCAAAGCCTGCAATTCAAGCTGCTATTGACGATGTCAACTCTGATCCAAACATTCTTAATGGGATAGAATTGAAACTCATTATGCACGACACAAATTGCAGTGGATTTGTTGGAACCATGGAAGGTATTTTCTTGTACCCTGTAATTTAAATTGATCTTCAACTACTTTTTCGTTTGTTCACATTGCTGGATTGAATGCATCTTATAAGGAATTAAACTGAACTGTTTTTAGACAGAAGTCAGTAACTTCTCAGAGGGGAAGTGGTGATAATGAAATCAGTAGCTCTTTCTTTGTGTTGCTTATCTTTCCGCTAGTCCTTTTGCCATTTAATGGTATATATAACATTGGATTGCCATTTAATCGCAAGCAATGCCGTGATTAGAAGGGCAAGGCATTTGGTTGTATGTGCCTTATTTGATGTCAATTTACAGCATTAACTTCAGTGTCATTGCTATTGTTTCTCAAGTGTTATAGTTGTTATGGCGTAAACCAGACTATGCTTGCCCTAGATCTCTAATAATCTGCATTAATAGCTTACATACAAATCAGGTTGTGTGCTCCGGTGTTGACCTCAGGAGATATGTATAATGTAATTTCTTGATAGAATGAGTGCTGGGTACGAGTACCTTTTTGTCTGTTGTTTATTTTATTCAATTGATCTCCTGCTCCAGTTCTCTAATCTATGTACTTATGTTTATATAACAATGTTACATTATTTATGTTGCAATCTGCAGTTACATTTTGTGCCTCCAAAAATGTCTGATAAGTTGCAGCCATTTTAATTTAGAAATCTATTAGGTGGCACTGCAATTTTTTTAAAAAAAATTTAAATTGATAAATTAACTGATTACATCTGAAACTAGTTCCCCTGGGATAGTGCCACAACAGGAACAAAAATTATTTAACTCACAATCTAGATGAGCTAGCGACCTGCCAACTCATTTGCTTTCCTTTTTTACTTGGGAAAAGCACAATGCACTGCTGCCTAATACCTAGTATAATTTGCATTGTTTCATATGCAAGTGTCCTGCAAAATAGAGTGGCTGAAGAATACTAGAATCAGCTAGGATTAGATGTATATTACTTCCACTATCCTTCCTTTTTATCTCAGAACAGTGGAAACACAAAACTTTGATCTTTTGTCCTTGTTTGTGTAGCTTTGCAGCTGATGGAAAGTGATATTGTTGTCGCAATTGGTCCACAATCTTCTGGAGTAGCTCATGTCATCTCCCATGTTGTTAATGAGCTTCATGTCCCTCTTCTCTCATTTGGAGCTACAGATCCCACTCTTTCTTCCCTGCAGTACCCATATTTCCTCCGTACTACACACAGTGACTACTTCCAGATGTATGCGATTGCTGACATAGTAGACTATTATGGCTGGAGGGAGGTCATAGCAATATTTGTGGATGATGATTATGGAAGAAGTGGGATTTCTGTTTTGGGTGATGCCCTGGCAAAGAAACGTGCCAAGATTTCTTATAAGGCCGCATTCAGCCCTGGAGACCCCAAAAGTAAAATCAATGACTTGCTAGACGAGGTGAACCTGATGGAGTCACGAGTTTATGTAGTTCATGTTAATCCTGACACTGGTTTGAATATCTTTTCTGTTGCTAAGACTCTTAATATGATGAGTGGTGGCTATGTTTGGATTGCTACAGATTGGCTTCCTTCATACTTAGATTCAATGGAAGCAGTTGATCCTGACACAATGAATATCTTGCAAGGGGTTGTTGCTCTTCGTCATTACACCCCAGATACTAATCTCAAAAAGAGTTTTATGTCTAGGTGGAACAACCTAAAATACAAGGGGAGTACAGGTCCTGCAGGTTTCAATTCTTATGCACTTTATGCTTATGATTCTGTTTGGTTGGCTGCACATGCCCTTGACGTTTTTCTCAATGAAGGTGGAAGTTTATCTTTCTCTAGTGACCCAAATTTGCATGATGTGAAAGGCAGCATGCTGCACCTAGCATCACTTCGTGTGTTTGATGGAGGCCAACAACTCCTCCAGACTCTTCTTAGGATGAACTTCACTGGTCTGAGTGGTCAGATTCAATTTAGTCCGGAGAAAGATTTAGTTCATCCGGCATATGATATTCTTAATGTTGGTGGAACTGGGACCCATAGAATTGGTTATTGGTCAAATTATTCTCATCTCTCAATTGTTCCTCCAGAGAGCTTATATACAAAGCCTCCCAATATCTCTTCTGGAAGTCAACAGCTTTATGGTGCAATATGGCCTGGTGAAACTACTAAAATGCCGAGGGGATGGGTATTCCCTAACAATGGACAGCCACTGCGAATTGTTGTTCCCAACCGAGTAGGTTATAAAGAGTTTGTGTCGAAAGACAAGGGTCCTCAGGGTGTAAGAGGATACTGCATTGATGTCTTTGAAGCTGCAATAAACTTGCTCCCGTATGCTGTTCCTCATACATATTTTTTATTTGGAGATGGTAAAAGAAATCCTAGCTATAACGAACTTGTTAACCAGGTTGCCCAAAATGTGAGTATCATCTTTAGTTTTGTTTTTATTGTTTAACTGGTGTAACTTAACTGTTAGTGCATTATATGATTTTGTAGGGGATGGTTTGGGGATTTCGGTTCCCTGCTCAATATTGAGGTGCTAGTAGTTATACTAACTTGCTCTTTTCCTCTTCAGAAATATGATGCAGCTGTTGGAGATATTACAATTGTTACAAACAGGACAAGAATTGTAGATTTTACACAGCCTTTTATGGAATCTGGACTTGTTGTCGTTGCGCCAGTCAAAGAGGCAAAGTCAAATCCTTGGGCATTCCTCAAGCCATTTACTGGAGAAATGTGGCTTGTCACTGCTGCATTCTTTCTTTTTGTGGGAGCTGTAGTGTGGATTCTCGAGCACCGGATAAATCATGAATTTCGTGGTCCTCCTAGGCAACAGCTTATAACAATTTTGTGGTTAGTCTATTTGACTCATCGGTAGCCCTCTTTATTATAGATGGCTGCTATATCTAATTTGAAGATAATGGGTGCATTTGTCATCCCTTGACAGTTGACACATTAGATCTAACCTATAAAGTACAGTGTCATATTGCAAAAACCAAAATCCTATAGAGCATAATAAAGCTTAAATATTTATGAGTAAGCATTTTATCTTCATCATACGTAATGGTTCCATAGATGTTCGCTGAGGCTGCAGTCCTAGGCTCTGATTTGTAATGAATCTGCATGGTCCTTGTAATTAGAGATCCTTTCTATTAACTCACTTGACGAATATTATAGTAATTATATTGATAAATTTTTTTCCTAATTCCAGGTTTAGCTTTTCAACAATGTTTTTCTCTCACAGTAAGTCGATGTAGTTCCCTATGGCTTTTGTTTATGTTATTACATGTAATGCTTCAACAAATTCATGCTAGAAACTCATAAAGTCCTTCTTGCTTTGACTTTGATGCAGGAGAAAACACCGTGAGCACTTTGGGACGTTTGGTGTTGATCATATGGCTATTTGTAGTTCTGATTATCAATTCAAGCTACACTGCTAGTTTGACCTCAATACTAACTGTTCAGCAGCTGACATCAGGGATTCAAGGGATTGATACCTTGATCTCAAGTTCTGAACCTATTGGAATCCAAGACGGTTCATTTGCATTAAACTATTTGGTTGACGAGCTCAATATAGCAGAATCTAGGATAGTTAAGTTAAAAAATCCAGAAGCATATCTTAGAGCCCTTGAGCTTGGACCGAAAAAGGGTGGTGTAGCTGCCATTGTTGATGAGCTTCCTTACATTGAACTCTTCTTATCCAACACCAATTGTTTATACAGGACAGTGGGGCAAGAATTTACAAAAAGCGGATGGGGCTTTGTAAGTATCAACATTAAACTTTTTAGGGTGATAGTGGCGTTGCAACTCTATTTTCCTATATATGATCATTATTCCAATGTCTAACCAGTAATGTTTGCTCACATTTTAAGCTGTGGAAGTATGAAGTGCAATAATCCTATGTAGTTATCATTTTATTTTTCCCGGTGTCAGGCTTTCCAAAGGGACTCTCCTCTTGCAGTTGATCTGTCAACTGCTATCCTTCAACTCTCGGAAAATGGTGATCTCCAAAAAATCCATGACAAGTGGCTGACACGCAAGGAGTGCTCTATGCAAATCAATCAAGTTGATGAAAACAAACTCTCCCTAAACAGCTTTTGGGGCCTGTTCCTCATTTGTGGCAGTGCATGCGTCTTGGCTCTTACTATATTCTGCTGTAGAGTCTTTACTCAGTACCGCAGGTTTAGCCCTGAAGACGAGGAAGAGGAGGTTGAGGAGATTGAACCTTCTAGGTCATCTCGGCGCCCCGTCCGCTCAACTAGCTTGTGGCCCATAATGGACTTTGTAGATAGGAAAGAAACAGAGATTAAGGAGATGCTGAAGAGAAAGAACAGTAATGAGAATAAACAACAGACCAACCACCGCTCACGTGGACAAGAAAGTTCACCTGCATAAAGAGAAACATTTTGTTTTGGTCTATTGGATCTTCTAATCTTCCTTTCTCTCTGTTGAATATAGAATCAATACAAATCCAAATTCATATGTGCAACATATCTTCTCCATTGCTTTGAAGTGAATGCATAGGCCCAGGTTTATTGTCTATTTTCATACACTTTTGTAGCAAAAAAAAAAAAAAAAAGGAGAAATTGTTAGCGAGTCGCAAACCAATTTGTATTATACAACAGTGTCAAAAAAAAAAAATTTGTTGTTCATTTCATTCAGGAAAGGGAGCTCCCAAGATAATCAAAGTGATTTACTTTTTTATGCAAAAGAGGTTGCAGTAAAAGAAATTGTAGTTTTGTAGATGAGATTTACTTCAGATTCATTGAATGTCAATTTATAAGAGTAATTAAATAAATAAATTAAATTAAAATTTGAATTCTGAAATGCTTAAAACGATTTATTTTGTAAATGAAAGAACTTTTTTAGATTTATTGAAGTTGAGTCACTAATAAGTGATTTGATCGATCAATTAAAGTTAATGTTTTTTTATGAAAAAGCATTAAATTCGAATCTTGTTTGTGATCGATCATTTATTGAAATAATTTTGAATATATGATTTACAATCATTTATTTTAGATTATTAGATACAATATATTTTACTCTGATGAATTAAATAATTTATCTATCATCAAAATTTTTTTTTTTTTTTAAGTTGAATAAGACCATACAATATATTTATTTATTATTGTGTTCCCGATTCTTCTACCGTTTTGAGTTACTTTTTCAACTTTTTTGATGGGCCATCCACCATTATTGTTGTCCCTTAGAAAAGAAATATTCAGGGCCGTGGTGTCCTACACCAGCTCACATTAACGTTGGAGTTTTAAGAGGACACAGTAAGGAAAAAAAAAACATTGGGCCATGGTCATTACTTATTGAAGATTTTAAAGAATGAATAGGGGATAATAATGGCATCAAACTTAAAAATTTGGATTACGTCGTATATTTGAAAAATATGGATTTTTTTTGTCTTATATTAAATGATTCTACCAACTTTCTTAGCCAAAATCAGAGCCACACATCAACATGTGTGGGCCAACCGTTGTCAATTAAGTTTAGGCCCAGAAGCTGGGTCCAAAGGACAAGGACAGTTACCATTGATCCAACCCAAATTAGAGACTACTTGTATTTTTTTAAAAATTAATATTTGATATTTTATCCATATAAAATTTTAATTTATAAATAAAATTAAAGGATTATTATATATTTTATTTTTTAAATATATTTTTAAAAAACAAAAATATAAAACTTTACTAATTGAATTTCTTTTTTTTGTGATAATCAAGTGATGAGAACAATTAATCTATCATTAATTTCAATTTTTTTAAACAAAATATCTCCAACAGCTATTACCAAACATAGTTATACCAACCACCCACTTTTTAAAAGACACGTCATGTCGTTGTTGGTTTTCATTAATAAAATAAAACATGACGTGTCAGCCGTTGATACCGCTCATCGGAATCGGTGCCAACCTCAAATCTTCAAAGATATTGCTGTGAGTTGAAGGATACCAATTTATAATTCTCAATTTGCAAATTCTTTCCAGGTCAGTTCAAGTTTTTGAATATTTTAAAATTTTATTTTAGTTTAAATATTTTTGAGTAATGTTAAAAATACATTTTTAAATTAAAATTTTAAAAATTTCGAAACACTCTTCGTAAAAATTCAACTGCTAATTGACAAAGAAAATGAATTTTTTCTTTATTAACCCTTTTTTGTATTTGAATCCACGTTCTATCCAAATTATCACCGAGTGGATGATCTCCTGTTCATCACGTATATCTTCCTACCATAACAAGTTTTCGCGTGTTTTTAAGGAATATATATTGAGATATTATTAAATATATTTATAATAATTTTTTTAATTTTATAAATAAAATTAAAATGACGATATATATTTATTAAAGCATATTCAATAATATAAAAAATTAATTTTTAAAAAATGAAGCATATGTTACTATTTTAATTTAGTTCATGAAATTAAAAAAAATTTATTATAATGTATAAAATAATTATATATATATTTTAGAACTTTAATTTAAAAATTTTGAATTTGAATATGAATTATAGAATCATAAAGACAATGATAAAAGATAGTATTAAGGATTATTGTTTCTTTTGTTTAAGATATTAATGGGCAAGGTTTAATTTTTTTTTTATATTTAATAGATATTTTAAATATATATTTATTTTCAGGAATTTAATAATTACGGATAATCTTTGTGCCTATAAATTTTTTAAAAAATATAAACAATTTTTTTTTAAATTTTATCTTTTACATTTATGTATTTTTTATAAAAATATATCAGATCTAATTATTGGTGGGGTACATCAAATTTTCTCAGCAAATCTTAGATTCAAATGCAGCAACGTTTCAAGGACAAGTGTTCCTTTTATCCATTTAAAAAAAAAAAAAAAGGGTATGTTCTGTCTTTCAGACTTTAATCAAGACATGCTCTCAAGTTCAATGCCTTGACCCAACTCTAATCAATTTAGAGCTAACAAAGCACCGCTTTAGTAATGAAACGGACAAATTTTTATGACATTAAAACTTAAAAGCTAAATTTATTTATTTTTTTTATGAAAGCACATATGAGAATAAAAAAAAATCACAAGTGTTAAAATTTGAAAATTTAATTTATAAAATATTATATTTTAAAAATAACTAACTAAGTTAGGCCTTAATTTAAATTTAATTACTTTTTAGCTAAGTATGAATTTAGTATGAACTCATTGATGTTCACATTGTTTAAATCCGTGAGCAAATTTTACAAATAATTAATGAAGAAAACTTGTTCATCTTTCACAAGCAATTGTATTGCTTAATTTAAATTAGGTTCTAAATCAATATTTTAATATTATTTTATATATGTATTACTATTTTTAATGAGTTTGAGCATTGAATTTGTGACAAAATTTTAAGCCCATTTACAAAATCAAAAAATTCCATGACCAAGGTGATTTTTCTTTAATTATTGGTGATCTCAAACATATGGTATTTGGTTTGGTATTAGAAGATAAATATCAAACCTGAAAGATCCAATTTGTACTTGTCAATCTCTATCCCATTTTGTTAATGTTTGAGTCCATGTTAAGATAATGATTAAGATAATCCACTGTTAATTATTGAAAGATAGAGATAGAAATTACAGCAAATTTGTTTGAGGAAAGAACTATGAAGTTCCCAAGATAACCCTCGTGTGGATGCAACTGGAAGCAGAAGCCAGCCGGCAATTTGGACTGTATGCAAAATTATTGTACATAATTGGGGTCAACCGTCCCGTTAAAGTAGTCACTTTCGTAGCTAAAAAGTCTTTCTGTAAGTTGCAACCGAAAACTAGAGCGCACGTTCCAAAAATATCACAATGTTATGAAAATACGAGAGAAAAGTGTTAGCCGGGGTTTTCTCTTTTTGTTTTTTTTTTTTTTTCCATGGCCAGATTGTAGACACGGAAATCTGTTGAGGCCATCAAAGTGAGAGATTATGACTCAGTTTTGGCCCAGAATGGTTAAACTCAACCTTAGGCTCAGAGTTCAGCGTCGCGTTTTGATTCTGCGACGCTGCATTCGTTGCTTTTGGGACAGACTTCTCATGTGCTCCCTAGGTAAGCCTATAAGGTATCGAATGTTATCATGTGCATCCACCCCCGCCGTGTCTTCTCCGCCTTCTGCCACCGTTGACGGCAGTCTTGCAGCACCGAGGAACGTGACGACCCCCGCCTGTCATCATAGCCACCATGATTATAAAGACTCGGATTTGGTTCCCTTGAAGATCAGTCTCTTGGGTGATCCTCAAATTGGAAAGACTAGTTTTCTGGTTAGTGTCATTAGCTTTCCTTCTTTCTCAAGTGTTGTTGGTTTTATTTGATTGAATATCAAATGTACATCGCCCTGGCTTTTGAAGGTGAAATATATTGGGGATGAGAAAGATGAACAGGAAGACATTCGAGCGGAAGGACTGAATTTGATGGATAAAACTTTCTTTGTAAAAGGAGCAAGAATATATTACAGCATCTGGGAAGTTGATGGTATGCCATTTTTTTTTTTATTTCTCCTTCTCTAAAGTTTCAGGTTTTCATTTTGGTTTTGCTTATAGAACACCAACTTTTTCATTTTCAATTAAAAATGTAGGAGGTGAGAAATCTCAGGATCATATTCCTCTGGCTTGCAAAGACTCTGTAGCAATTCTTTTCATGTTTGATCTAACAAGCCGGTGTACTCTAAACAAGTATGAACTCACATTATCCAGTCCAATATCTCCATTTCAATCAACAATGAAAAATAATTCTTGTACTGCTGCTTAATGTCTGTCCTAGTGCTTCAAAATCTGGGTAGTATTCTAATTTGTAGGAGTTTTTGTTCTGTTGTTGCAGTATCATAAGCTGGTATCAAGAAGCCATAAAATGGAATCAGGTTTTCCCTTTTTTCTTTTTTTCTTTACTTTTACTGTTTTCTTAGAAATCAGAATGGTTTTCATTCCTTTGTTCAAGGTTTCTTCTGCTTCTGTCTTAAGAATCATGTATTTAGGCAACTATATATGTTATAAAAAGTCTCCTAATTATGCAAAGTGTGATTGTGCAGACAGCAATACCGATTTTGATAGGAACAAAATTTGATGATTTCATTCAACTTCCCATAGATTTGCAGTGGACAATCGCTAGTCAGGTAAATTGGTACTCCAAGATAATTTTTGTTACCATTCTTGTTAAAGCCTGAATCAATCCAACAGGTCTAAAAACAAATTCCACTTGTTTTTAAAAGAAATATTCTAAGAAATTTGGATAGGCATGGTTCCTTGTATTATTGCTTCATGATTAGATCCATAAATTTGGGGGAGTAAACATAGAAAAAGGGAAAACTTGCAGACAACCAAGTCAATGTTTGAGAATTAAACATGGCGGACAAATGAAGTAAGTCAGGTGACAAACAGGGAAACCTAACTGGAGAAAAGGACTTTTGGCCTATCCGCCTAGTTGATTACAGGGAGGCCAACTAACAACCCGGTTTAAGGAGATTGTGATCTCTCACCCTTCACCAATTCTCAGATCCTCATGTTAATCACTCAATGATCCCAACATATGAAATGAGTCTCTTTTCTTCTTGTAGTTGGCAGCTTTTTAGAAAACCTCCGATTGTTGCCTCACTGATGTTTATTGTGTATAAAAAGTTTCTCATTGATGTTTCATTTGCTTCGTATTTGTGGCAGGCAAGAGCATATGCAAAGGCCCTGAATGCGACGCTCTTCTTTTCAAGTGCTACATACAACATCAATGTAAACAAGATCTTCAAATTCATCACAGCAAAACTCTTTGATCTACCTTGGACGGTTGAACGCAATCTTACGATTGGAGAGCCCATCATTGATTTCTAAACTTCATGTTGTACATAAACTGTCTAAACTCCTCAGCCAACCGGTCACCAGGGTTGATGTTTTCATCGGTCTAGTGATGATTCGAGTTGTTTCACTGAGCAGTGGTGGAGAACCCATATCTCCACAATGAATAACATTTCAGTTGTGCCACAATTATAGAAAAAAAAAAAAAGAAGATAAAATGCTTTATGAGCTTTGCATATTTCTTCAGCTCAGCCACTTTCACCGATTGAGCAATTCTTCATGAAACCTACATGAAATATACTTACCAAAGGCATTTCAAAATAAAAATGACATTAAAAAACTAGAAGGCGCAGCTTAAAAAGAGAACGGGTTAAACATGGTAAAGAAGTTGAGATCCCAGTCAAAAGCTAGAAAAAAAAAAGTAGACATAGAGATTGGGCCACAAAGCCATCAAATACCCAAAAATGTTCATTGAATCATCCTGATAAAGTTCAATAAAAACCTGTAGCAGTTTCCATAAATAAGGAAGGCATTTTTCTCACAATTAGAGCCAAATCTCATTGGCAAGTCCAAATTGCTACAATATAGTTGAACATGGAATCTGGTGAGCAGATGTCATCAATCAATGGCACATTGATGTCTAACATAAATATATATATATATATATATTATATTACAACATACAAAATTATGTAATTAAAATTATTTATGTAGATGTTTAAGTGGATAACTTCTTTTAATGACATATTGGATAATATTTATATTATTTTATTTATCAAATAAAATTTTTTAATAAATTATTTAAATTGAATATTTTGGATAATTATTTAAATTGAAATCAAAATCTATCTAATGTTAAAATTTTAATATAAGATTTAAATTTAAATACATTAAAACATATTTTATTTTATTTTTTTAATTTAATGACTGTTCCAAATATATATAATTAATAAAATTTTATTTTTTGTCAAATAATTTTATTTAATAAATTATTTAAATTTAATATTTTAAGATAATTATTTAAATTCAAATCAAAATCTATTAAAAATTGAAAATTATTTAATAGATTATTTAAATTTAATATTCTTAGATAAATTAATGACTTATTAACTAGAAAGCATAAATTTTTTAAGTAATAAAAGCTTACATATTTATATGAAAATATGAGACGTTTGAATGTTGATAAAAAAATTAGATAAAAATATATATTTGATTTGAAAACAATTATAATGTTTTATTTATGTTCTAATTCAAATATTTTTTATATTATATATTTGGTTAATTTATTTATTCTCTTTAGTCCATAACTTTTTTTAATTTTGCTTAGATTGATTATAATTAACTTTTTGTATTATATATTTTTTTGTTTTATTTATTTCTTCAATATTTTTATTCTCTGTTAATTTATTAACATATTTGCTTTTATTATTGTATATATTTAATCTTAACAAATTAATATATAATTTTATGTTTTCTATTTTCTTTTGCTATACTTTTTATTATTGAATTTCTTTGTTTACAATGGATGATATGAGAAGAATGATGATCACTACTATATCTAACTCACAAAAAATACTATCAATTATGTTAAAAATGATTAAAAATAAAAAAAATAAAAATTTTTTTTAAGCATAACATAAAGAATTATTGTTTCCTTTTATCTAAAAAATAACCTTATTTTGTTGACATATATAGAAATAATTGTTATTCCAATATATTTGTGTAATAATTATTTGAAGTATATAAAAAATAAGAACTAATAAAAAGTAAATGATTATAACAAAATTAAGAATTGTGATTTGTTATTCAATCAAATATATATATACATATACACCACCTAATCAACATTATGATAAAAATAATTATTAATCTTAACTATTTAAATATTGATTTTTGATTTTTTATCAAACAAAAAAAAGTGGTAGCAAAATTTTTAGTATTTAACAAATAAAATGAAGAATATATTTTTTTAATGAAAAAAAGAATTTTTATAATTCTTGATAATTTATAAAAGTTTATACTTTTTTTAGATGAACAATATCATTTATAATATATTATGTATAAATAATCATCTAATAGTAACTTAACATTTATAAATATATGGTTATATATTAAATAAATAATTAAAAATAAATTTAAAATTATGAAAAATTTAATAAAAATTACGTATATTGTGCGGGTTAAAAAAACTAGTTTCAAAATAAAAATGACATTAAAAAACTAGAAGGGCAGCTTCAAAAGAGAACGGATTAAACATGGTAAAGAAGTTGAGATCCTAGTCAAAACCTAGAAAAAAAAAAAGTAGACATAGAAATTGGGCCACGAAGCCATTAAATACCAAAAAATGTTCATTGAATCATCCTGACAAAGTTCAATAAAAACCTGTAGCAGTTTCCATAAATAAGGAAGGCATTTTTCTCACGATTAGAGCCAAACCTCATTGGCATGTCCAAATTGCTACAATATAGTTGAACATGGAATCTGCTGAGCCAGATGTCATAAATCAATGACACATTGATATCTCTGTGATGAGAGAAAATAGACTTAATATGATTGGTTTGGCAAAGCAAATTTTCAGAAACACGGAATTAGCAGGCCGGCTATCACTTCTTGGAGAAGTAAAGAGAACAAATATGAAGTCTCTAGGGGCACTATTATAATCCAGCGAAAAAGCCAACTGTTACCAAATTGTATTCAATAAGATCGTATTACTTGATGAGTTTCACCTCTCCGTCAGGGGATTGGATTGCTGATAGCAATAACAAAATGTTTGATGATTCACACTGTCACTGTGCATGGTCACAGTTCACAAATTCAATAGATAAATATTGCGAAGGGAGATAAATATGTGAAACTGCTATCGACTTGGTTGAAAACTGTGTTCTAGCACAAGAGACCTGAAGAAGGATCAGTACCCCTGAACCTGTGAAACCATATATATCTCCAACTTGACATCAAAGATTGGCTGACTGTTCTTATGATGAGAAATCTCTGATGTGGAATATCCCCTGGAAAGTTGTTTTCCCATTCGGGGGTTGGGGAATCTAGCCGAGTAAAATGATGAAATTACCTTTGATAATTTTATTATGCATACTTGATCAAGAATGATCGAAAATATGTAATTTAATTCCGCTGCGTATATTTTACTCTGTTTTTGCTAGCAAAGCCAACACCCATATGATCCAATTCATTTAAGGCCTCTCTTTTTGACGACACTAAATCCTGGCTCATTGTATTTGTTTGATTGCAATAGTAAGTTTTCCTTCAAAACATTTGTATGCATAAGAATAAAATCAACAAGCGAAAATCTCACATTTAGTGATCATGAAGGAGCCCAGCAAGAGGAAAACATGAGTGAGAGGTGACAATGAGAAAAGTCACTTGAACTAGACATCAGAACTTCCTGTTTGCCACTAAGACATGTTACGGTCGGAAGAAAATGGCAGTTTGGTAAATAAGAAAAAGTGACAAGGACAAAAGAACATTAGCATCAGCATTAATTTATTATTATTTATCTAATTGCATAGAAGTTATCGGAGGTGCAGAGGCACAAATTTAAAGCAGCGTCGACCATTTCAAACCTTCTAAAAAATTCAGAAAATTAGATCCAAATCCCCCTTTTTTTCTTCCCATCTCTTCTTCTTTCTCAAAAATTCACTAAAGACAAAAAACCCAATTTGCAAAAAATGGGAATTCTATGCAAGGTGGTTGACACGCTGCTGTTGGTGGCGTTCGTGGTGATGTTATTAGCTGGACCTTTAATCGATGCGCAGTTGGTTTTGCCAGAGACCACTTTCCCGGACGTGCTCATCCGCCTAAAGCAACGCTACGCCGAGGAGTTCCAAGATTATTTGATGGTGGAGAAGCCTCATTTCTTCGTGGCCTTGGTCTGGCTGGAGCTTGTTTTCCAGTGGCCTCTCGTTTTGCTAAACATTTATGGGATTTTGGCATCCAAGCCTTGGTTCAACACCACTTGCCTCATCTATGGTGCCTCTGTTGTCACCGCCATGGTAAATAAATAATATTCTCCACCTATGAACACTGCTCTAAATTTTAATGCTTGGATGGTATTTTATCACAATGATTTACTCTTGTTAATTATAGTGCTTTGAACGCCATTGTTGCAAGTGATTGTTCTTTTTAGCAGTGAATTTCATTGGAGGATCTTAGTCTGTGAATTCTTTAGCTGAAACCATGTAGGATTTAATCTTAGTTTGTTGTTTTTTGTAGTAATAATATTCGATTAGTATTTTTATGAAATATTTTATTAGTATTTTGAATGTTTTAGTTTTGGAGAAAGAATTATATAATCCATGTCTTACATTTTGTTTCTGCAGTAAGAAAATTTTTTCCTTTCCCCTTTCAAAAAATGTTATGACATTGACACTTTTACCAAAATGCTGCTTTGAACATCTCACATTTATCACTATTTCTTTACTTAAACGATCCCAATTCCCAAAATCCAACCCAAAGGGCCTTTTTATGGCCAAATGATGTGGTTTTTCCATTTTCAAGAATAGGCTTTTCCCTACTTTGCCACACAACTCTTCTTGGCAGATAACATGAAACCAGATGTGACTTCAAGATGACTATCGTCTAACAAATTTTTGTCACTCTTTATTATGAGTTTGTGGCCTTCAAATATTTCCATCCATTTCTTAACATTGTGTCAAATGCAGACTGCTTTATTAGGGGAGCTGCTGGGATCTCAGAAAGCATCAGATAAATTGTTGAAGATGTACTCCCCTTTCATGGGACTTGGTGTTTTAGCCTTGCTGCGAGGGCTGGTTCCACAATCTGGCAAGGCTCCAACCATTGGCAAAAGACCTGCACTAGCTAGGAAGAAGAGGGCTTGATTGAGTTGAGACTTGAGAATACAAAACCATCTTCTCGAATTTTTGTAATCTTTTCTTGTCATATTTAGAATGTTTTGTTTCATTTTTGTATCATTATTTCCTGGTTATGAGTTCTAGTCCATTGCTGGATGCTGTTTGTCCAGATGGTTTCCAAACACTTGTTTTAGTTTATAATTTATAAACCATTTCTGTCTACGATCAAATGAAATGCTATCTGATTGATCTTTGATTATTATTTGCATCATGGATCTACCTTAAATGATCTAACACCCATGCACTTGATGATCTAACACCCATGCACGAATACATTTATTGATAGAAATGATCTAGTTGATAGAAGACTTCATCTCTCATTACGTATTTATTGCATCATACAGGTTTTTTTTTTTTTGTTTAGAAATTATCTCATTTAGTGGAGTCTCACAATTAGGGTTAGGTTAATTTACTATTGCTGTAGCGGGTAAAAAAAATTGGGTTGTTGTGATAAAAAAATTCTAAGTATTTGATATTATTGCTGTTTGTGAGTAATTGAAATAATTAAAAAAAAAAAAAACTATCAGTGTGTAAAATATGAACTCTTACTATATACAGGGATGAAGTCTAATCTTTTATCTCATTGTAGCACCAAGAGCAACTTATCGATTTTTAATTTTTTTAACAAAAGAAAGAAGTTATGAACAAAAATGGGAGATTTTAATCTTAGAACTCCACTTGCTTTAAGCGATATAATAACTGCTAGATCTAATTTGATAACATGTTTAAGAAGATATAACTTGCGTAAGTCTGTGTTGTTAACATTTAGAAAACTATATAGATCTCAGTTTAAGTCAACTTAAATCCCCAAAGCCCGAAAAAATATGATTGATTGTAAGCGTTAAAATTTGGATTCTGATTTGGATACTAGGTATTAACGTTGGCTACATAATGTCATTAACCGACTGTTTAGTTCAAACTGAACTATTATTTGCTATTATAGAGCTAGTTTAGCAACTGAGAGATAATTTGGGCAACGGGCAATCAGAGTACAAATTGGCTGCATTTAAAGATAAAATAATTTAGTCATACAGAAGACTACATCTTCTCCGCCAAGACCAGTAATTCAGAAATTTCACATTTTCCCATTCCCAACACTTTCTCTTGTTCTGAGTTTTGTGGTAAACTCCAACAACAAAAATGGGAGGAGCTGATCTTTGCAAGGTGGTTGACTCGATCCTGTTGCTAATGTTCGTGCTAATCTCGGTGGCGGCTCCTTTAGTTGACTCGCAGACTTGTTTACCTGAGACCATATACCCAGATTTGCTCGTTCGTATATATAAATGGTATGCAGCCGAGTTTCAACATTTTCTGCTGGTGGAGAAGCCTCATTTTTTCGTGGCCCTGGTGTGGCTGGAACTTGTTTTCCAGTGGCCTCTCGCTTTGCTTAACGTTTATGGGATGTTGGCCTCCAAGCCTTGGTTCAACACAACCTGCCTCATCTTCGGTGCCTCTTTTATTACCTCCTTGGTAAAGAAAAATAACTCACACCCAATCTATTCACTCTTTATATATGATGAGTTTGATCTTGTTTAAAATCGTGGTAATTTCTGAAATGCACTTTGATTTTCCAACACCTCTATTCTTGCACTCTATAGTTTTTAACTTTTTTTTTTTTTTTGGTGTTAAATTCAAGGCTGCTATAGTAGGCGAGATACTGGGATCCCCGAAGGCATCAGATAAACTGTTGAAATCGTACTACCCTTTTATGGGATTTGGTGTTTTAGCCTTGCTACGAGGGCTGCTGCTTCCTGAATCTCAACCTGCCAAGGATTCTCTAACCATTGGCAATGGACCAGCTCTGGCTAGGAAAAAGAGAGGGCTTGAGCTAAGATCTTCTTCAATTTTATAATTTAGGACATTTTGGTTTCATTTGTATGATTACTCCCTGATTATAAGTGCTAATTAATGCGTTGGCGGTACTGTATTGTCAGGTGTTTCCTATAAACACTAATGAAACAGAAATCACCAATACTGGGTTGGTTCAACTTGTAAATTTGTCTACTTCAGTTGTAAGTTGTCAAAAGTTTGAATTCTAATCCTCTATTAGATAGGATTCCTACCTTAAATTCGATTATTATTATTTTTATATTTAAAATTATTAAGATTCAAATTTTAATTATTTAAATTAAAAATTTAATATTTTATTAACTATCAATATCCAATGACTTAATTAAAATTCTGTTTCATAAATGACTATAATATGATGAGAATTTGTCTTCACTGCATTAGAGTCAGGATTGTTCCACAAATGTCATTAGAATCATTAATAATTTAAATGTTATTGTAATAATTAATAATTTAAATGAAGAAATTAAAATTACTAAACTTTTGCTGCTTTGAACATTTTCCAATTAGGCAATTATCATTTTATGTGTACATCCGTGTTCCGGTAAGCCCAAAAGAGGAAACTCATGGATTGACGATTAGGCGGAGTGGGCTGGGCTTAGATTGACTAAATATTTTATAGATTTAGTTCATTTCTTGTTGAAATTATTGTGGAGTCCTTTCAAATTAGAACGGGGCATTGCATGTATTTCTTTTATATTTGAAATTGTTTGAATTTAAATTTTAATATTTTGTGAATAAATTATGCAATTGTTAGCAAATATTTTATGTTTTCGAACTAATAATGCCAAATTATTGATTTTTTAAAAATTAATATATACATATTCAATTAAGTGCAGTCTTTTATGATATTAATTTGTATTTAATTAAATCGAAATTAAAATGAGAAACAAATAGAGGCACAATTTAAGTTTTGTTTGTTTCATGTTCAAGTGAATTTAAATATCAATCTTTTGAGAAGTGGAATGATTTGAGGTTGGTGATTTAGTGGGTTTTTGGATTGTTCGGATTTGAGTAATTGGCTTTGGATGAGTCATTCAAATTGGATCAACTTTTGCTGAGGGAGCCCAAAAGGGACAGTGGCTTATAGCATGAATTTGAGTGAATAACTAACAGCTTCTATCACTCTTTATTATATATATATATGATGAGTTTAATCTTGTTTAAAATCGTGGTAATTACAGATCAAATGCATTTTGATTTTCAAACACCAATACTTTATAGTATTGCACTTTCTAAAAAAATTTGTGTTAAATTCCAGGCTGATATTAGGGGAGATGCTGGTATCCGAAGGCATCGGATAAACTGTTGCTGATGTACTTCCCCTTGGGATTTGGTGATTTAGCCCTGCTGCGATGGCTGCTGGTTCCTCCATCTCAGTCTGGCAACAGGCAAGGGCTGCTCCGATCATTTGCAAAGGAACTGCTCTGGCTAGGGGAAAAAGAGGGCTCGAGTTTAAAAGATACAAATTAATTATGTATTGAATTTTTATGACTCTTTTTGTCGGAATTTAAACATTTTGGTTTCATTTGTATGATTATTGCCTAAAATGTAAAATTTTCATCCATTTTGGCTTTTTTAAAATAGTAATTAACATATGAAAAAAATCAATATTTTAACCTTTTTCACAAATAATAAAGTTCAATACTCTTTTTTTTTTTTTTCACAAAAATAATGAAACGTGGACTACTTTTTCGCACCCAAACTTCAAAAATCTTTCAAGTCATCAACAATCTACTTAGATTTTTCTGTTACTTCATCGGTAAAACTTATGTACGTGGAACAATTATGGGCATATATATAGACATAATTTCTCATAAAAGATAAGATTATAAGAATGAATTGAAATGCTATATGTTTTAAAATGATAATCGACAAGTGTTTTTCAACAAAAATAAGTTATTTTAATCAATCCAAAAGTTAAAATGTTTGAATACTTCCATTCAAAGAGAAAAAAAGAAATGATAAAACTGAAATATATCTATATATATATATATGTACGTATGTATACATTGATCAAACTTTAAAAAGATGTGAGTTAAAAAGAACTTATGTGTGCAATGTCATTTTCATACGAGTGAAGTAGATAGAAGTTAGAGATTACGAATAGATTAAAATTAAAAAAAAAAAAAAAACTTGTTGTTTGAAAATCAATGTAAAAAAATTTGTTATATGGTAACATACAACAAATTGATTCGCTGAGTCCAAGACATCGAAGTTGACTAGTTTACCACAAGCGAAACATTTTGTTGCATTTTGATGGCAAAGGCGCCGGCGAACAAGGAAAACTAGGAAATCCCGCTGAATTTTCAGTTAACTTTCACAAGGGATCTTTTTCAGCAGTCCCTTGGTCTAACTTGGCTGCAATTCCTGATATTATTTTTGTCAAATGGAAGACTTCACTCTCTCAGTCTTCACCCACCAGCAATTCAGATGTTAATAAATCAAATCCCATTTTTCCCTTCCCACATCTCTCTCTATCTTCTTCCCTTCTCTCTTTGCAGGAAAACTGATCATTAGAGCAAAAAAAAATATAAAAAATGGGAGCTCTAGGCAAGGTGGTTGACCTGATTTTGTTGCTAACATTCTTGGCCATCTCGGTTGTGGCTCCTTTCTTGGATTCCCAGACTTTTTTGCCTCAGAGCATGTTCCCGGACTTTCTCGTTCGTTTTTATAAATGGTATGCTATCGAGAACCAAGATTATTTGCTACTGGAGAAGCCTCATTTCTTCATCGCACTTATGAAATTGGAGCTTTTTTTCGTATGGCCTCTAGCTCTGCTTAACATTTATGGGTTGTTGACCTCCAAGCCTTGGTTCAACACCAGCTGCCTCATCTTCGGTGCCGCTCTTATTACCTCCACGGTAAATAAAAAATTATTTCTCTTATTAATTAAAGTCTTTTCAATAGTTTCTTTACTAGGATACAAACAATTTAGATGTAAATGTCAATTTTAATGCTTAAATATTTATAAAAAACATTGGTTTGCTGCTAATTGATGATATCTAGTTTTTACTTTTAATGCTTGAATATCTTTCTCTGTCTTAAGTTTGGGTTATTAAAATGGAATTGAATTTATCAAATACTTATATTCTTATACTTTGTTAACTCTGTGTTAAATTCAGACTGCTATGGTGGGGGATATGATCGGATCCCAGAAGCCATCATCAGATAAACTGGTTATGATGTACTCGCCTTTTATTGCATTTGGGGCTCTAGCAGTGCTGCGAGGGCTGGTTTCACAATGCAAGGCTTCTACAAGCATTAGGAACGGACCTACGTTGGTTACGAAGAAGAGGGCTTGAGTCGAGATACAAACATCATCTTTCTTCTCTCTGATACCATGTTAAAAGAATAATATGGGAGGGATTTGTTCCATTTTCTCAATTAGGAAAACAGAGTTTGTTTAAAGCTAAGTCGAGTTAAAAATCAAAGTGCAATAATAAAAACAACGATACTAGAACCTGACAGTATTTGTAATAGTTTCTAAATTTTCATATTCTGAAAGTTTTATTTCAATTTCAATGATTGCCTGATATGTGCTAATTAATGCATTGGGTTTCCATAAATAAGCTATAAATTGTAATCATAAGCCATTTCTCTATAGGTAAAACGATCCTTAATTGATTATTAATTTCCCCCCAGGATGAATCATAAGAGTGATTTGGAAATCCTTGCAAAAAAAAAAAAATACTATACCTTAAAAATCTTTTTTCTGGTTTTGGATGTAAAATATGAGATCGATGATTTTAAGAACATACTTCCTCAGATGTTTTGAAAATTCTATTCATAAAGTGCTCCTAGAAAAATTGAACGTTGAAACATCCTGAAACAATTGCTTTGGCAATCATAAAATTTTGCTGCTAAATTGAAAACTTGATTCAGTTTTTTTATCTATATAAATGTAGAGCATTGAATGGTCGACAATCTTATGGAATTTCCTTTTCTTGTCTACTAGGACAACACCATAGTAAATTCGGATCTAATTAATTATAGGAAGCCCTTTCACCAACAACTAATAAATTATGTTGTCCCCTGCCCCGGCCATCCACCGTCTTTTTTTTCTTAATTTCTCTTCAGCCACAGCCCCCATTATTTATTCCTGCTCTGCATGTGTTTTTTTTCTTCCAATTTCATCTATACATTGGTAAAATTAGAAAAAAAAAAAAGAAAGGTCATCCTGCTCTTTTAAATAGAAAATCATGTATCAATTACAGAATCAAATGTTCAGATTTCACACAATTGTTGTTAAAGATGAAATAAATCAAAGTTGCTACGTTTGTTTTTTTTTTTTTTTTTTTAAAACAGATATGTTGAACAAAAACCTTTGGATTGTATATTACCCTATATGAATATCATTTCAGGTAATTTAAGTGAATTTCTCATCAGTTTCATTTCCACTTTTCTAGTGAAAAAGAAAGTTGATTTTTAAAATATGGTAACAAGAAAATTTTCAGTTATACTCAGATTTAGTCTTTTAATTTTCCAGTTGAAGGATGTGCATTTAAGATTAAGAGTGGTCATTAAATAAAAGAAAAAGTACAATGCAAAAATAATGGTGTTTCTGGCATTCATACATAGGACAAAACAATGGGACTTATAAAGATGTATTGATTGTTGAAAATGTCTGCAGAACCTTACAACACTTTAATAACCATAAGGGGAATTAATGAACGGTGCAGAACGAAATGGAAAAACATGTAATTAATATTTGAGAGAGTTCTCTTTATGGAGAAAAGGAATAATACACCAATGGTGTTCCTTTTCTGAGAAGGCAGACAACGGCAAAATCCTAATCCATCTTTGCATTTATGTGTTGGAAGTATTGAATGGGAAAGTTATCAGGAATCTTCTTTCGTGATTTTTTTTTAATTACATGTATGTCCATAAATTTCATTCATATTTTAATGTCGCTTTAATGAATGAACAATTCAGAACAAATTTAATTGATCAACAACTATAAAACGTATAAACCCAAACAAATTGATTCATATCCATGACCCTAATATATATGCAGATGAGGTTGATGATAGCTTGAACTTGGAATTGAGTCTTTAAAAACCAAAATCCTAATAAAGCTTTTCTTTCGTATAAAATATACAATTACCTTTTATTATTCAATCAATCATATTTTTCACTTTCTATTCATAAGATGCATGTATATAATAATAACACTTGATTCTTTTTATTCAAGACAGTATATACTTGATGAAAGTTTGATGTGGCTGAGGACATCATGAAGTTTGTCTGAATTAATGAACAACAGACCATCTAAAAGGCATAAGAAAGCAATATCCATTTCAAAAAGCTCTTAAAATGGCTAAAATGAAGAAATAATAATTAAAAAGGTCAGTTTGCAACATAGGTGTGAGAGCTTTTCAATCATTAGAGAAACACAAGCAAACAAAGGGAAGAAGGAAAAAAGGGAACTAAAATCCCATTACTTGTACAAAACTCTAAAACACTAAACATAAAAGTTTAACCCCCATTTATAATAAAGGTCTATATAAAGTTCTTTCCATTCACTTTGGTAATTTTTTTTCTTGGGGAAGTCAATTCCCGAACCTCTAACTCTTGAATGAATTTGCTTAGGCAACTTCATTTTCTTTGCTCCCAAACAAAGGTCAACATATCAAAGAGGATCATGTAAGGTGCGCTCTTGACTACTCCCCATCTTCTGTAATTCCAAAATTCCTCAAACACCATTGTTCTTAAATTTAATTACCTTCCCTTTTTTCCTTCTGTTAATCACTGCATCAAACAAAATTCTAGTAATGTTAGATAATTAATATCTCGAAATCAATGAGCGAAAAAGCTAGATATATGAAGTAATCTCCAATTTATCCCCCCCCCCCCCAAAAAAAAAAAAAAGCTTAGGAATAAAAAGATTCAATGAATGAAGAAACAGCTTTCAAACTAATTGCAAATTACTCGAGCCTTTGACTCAATGATAAGTGTATTTATCTTCGACTCAGGATTCAAACCCCGTCCTCCCAACTCAAGAAAAAAGATGTAAAATCTGTAAAAGTTTGTGGCAACATACCTAGCTAGCAGCAATTTAAAGCTGTGGCAGTTCATGCATTCTCGCATGACAGAGAAGCCTTTATCCTTTCAACAGTGCACGCGATCAAATTGTTAACTGTTGCAACCGATCCAAGAGAAAGTTTTGCGGTAGGAACAGAGTCAACCAAAATCTGAAATGCAACAGTCAGAAGAGATCCACCAGACCCGGCATCAGCAATGCCACCAGTACTTGATGTAGTTCCATCGGGCAGAATAGCAAAACCTGAGGGAAGAAGGGCAACATAGTCCGGGTCCCCTCCATTTAGGACTACATTCATTGCAACAATATCAACAGGAGCATAGATTACAAAAGAGGCTGTTGGATCAAGGCAACTCTCTTGTAAAATCAACATGTTGCTCTGGCTTGAATTTGCACTCTGTAAAAATTTATTTCATATTATGAAGATTAATAAATTAAGTAATAAACCCTCAAAATCTGGTTAAATCAACAGAATCACTTTGGTATTTGCAACTTACATTTACTCGAAGTAGTGAAACACAATTGCCTGTATCCCGGCCATTCGCAATGTGTGCCATTTCTTGGACAACTCCACCATTAGAAAGAATATCCCACTGCATTTAGGAGACACAAAATTATAGGATCAAATTCAATTTCTTGCCAGTACTTTAAAAAAGTTCTAAAAGAAATTTCGATTTCTCATTATAGGCATTTACATAATCTAGATTAATAAAAATGAAAACGCCTCCAACCATCAACAAACTAGACATTTTTTGAATACAGGTTGAAATCACGCAGAATTTTTAATCCAAGGGGATAGAGGAATGGGGATGATAGATTTTGACGTGCCTCAGCTATAATTGCAAATACACATCTCTACGCTCGTTTATTGTGTGTCAAATTCATTATTACATGGAAGACATGTCCCAAGGACAAGGATATGTGGTCGTTTATTGTGTATTAAAAATTGTTTCTATAAAGTCGTGTCAAGTGATCTAATGTTTTTCCCCCTAAAGCCAAGAATAAATCTATGGTTAACCAATAAGATTGAGCTCATGGAATTGTTGCCAGCTGACAAAAACGAAGCTAATTGAAATAGTTAGTTGCCATACATAAAAGGCTGGCATCTTACACATTTTTTCATCTATGATACCAAAAATATTAATTCAACAACCATCCAACTTGATTTGACAGGCTAATAATAGAGTCCAACACATTTCCATAATTGATTTTTATACCATCTTTGGTTAGGAAAATAACCAAAGTTACCATATTCTACGTACTACCTAACATAAATGGAGAATATCAAGAAACAGAAAAAAAAATGCAATATATAATATTTAATCGAGTTAAAATTTTGCCTTTTTAATTTGTATCAATTCATCATGCTGCAACATGCAGGAAGAAGAATTTATACCTCATTTCGAGAATTCTCATCTCTGAGGAAATCAAATACCCTCTTTGGTGAAACAGGAAGCCAGAAGGAAGTTGCAGCACTTAGCACAATTCCAGGAGGTCTACCAGGATCATCTACACTCTTTCTAGTCATGACCCTTACATCATCAGCCCCAGTTCCAGATAATGTCGTCCATGTGTGAGCAGTAGAGGCACTCACTCCAGCGCAGAAACTTATAGCCATTCGCTCAGCTAGCTTCAGCATACTCTTTCTCCCATCTTGATTTGTTATGACTGAGCAAATATCAAAATAATTTAACATCAGTATAGGAGAATATTAGCAACTAGAATCTAATCTTAATTGCAGTTATACCAAAATATTGTAGTTATAAGAGGACTGTTGCAACGTTATTATTACCCCCAATATCACCGGTGGGAATGTTAGTAGCCATGACACTTGCAAGCCTCTCACACTGTCGATCTAAAGTAGCAACCCAACGTCTTGCTCCGAAAGCATGGCCGGAGCTTACCAGCTGCTTGTACAGATTGTGAACACCTCTATCATCCACTTCTACATGCTCAATCCATGTAACCTACATTGCATAAAGCCATTGATTGAGCAAGAACGATTGTAATGGAAAGTGGCGAAGTTTGGAACAAAACAAATGAGAAAGAACTGCTTTCACTATGATAATTTGAAAATATAGTTGTTTAACCTTTGAGTACCCATTGGGCATTTCTTGAATTATGCATCCGGATGGCCTTCTTCGGCATCTCACTGTTGGACAAGGGCGTAAGTCATCCAATGAAACATCAACCACAGCCCAAGTTCCCTCTGCATGCTGTTTGCAATATCTTACATAATAACTCTCACGAGTGGGAACAAGAGGCGAAGGAACTTGAAATTCAGCTGTCATCTGAGAAATTAAATAACACAGAAAATGTCACAAAAATATAAGAACTACCAACATAGAATAAAGTAGAACTTAAACAATTTATCAAATAAAATATGAAAAATATGGAATTCCACATTACCACTTGGAGGGCTCCATTATAATTCCCCGCTACCCCTGTTGACAGGACATCTAAAGTCGAAGCCTTAGAAACTATTCCCGAAAACACAGTTAACCACTGGTGCTGAATTGTAAAACACAAACCCCAAAAAATTAGTGCTTGCCGGCTTGTCCAATTAATTTCAGGGTATTGAAGATGGTTATTTTTATAAAAGCTTACCACATCCATGAGAATCTCGACAATGCTAATGTGGTTCATGATAACAACAGCAGTTTCTCTTGAAGCTTCGCATTTGAAGCCAGTCGGTTTTGGCCCAATTCCTCTAGGAAAAGTCCTAATGTACTCTTCTTCATTCAGCATTGAGGTTGTGCCATCAAGACTGGTCATCCATAAGGGTTCACAAATCTGAGCCATTCTAACTAGTTCCTCCATAGCTGCAACCGCAAGCTCAATAATCATTGGCTTATCAGCCTCAGAGGGTGCACTGATCGACCTAAGAAGATCCCCAGCGCCATACATATCTCCAGTGCCAGGTTGTGCACCGAAATCAAGTGGTCTAGGAGCCATAGGAGAAGAAAGAAGAGGATAGTTCACCAATGGCTTGCCAACATACTTTGCAGCTATTGCTGATATACGATCAATCTGCATGGGGTTTTCAAAAAAAAATTACTAATAATAGAATCCTTTAGAAAGCTACATAAACTAATAGCAATTAACGTTGTAAAAATACAATTTATACCTCTTCTCTTAGTCGAGCATTTTCAAGCCTGAGATGGTGTTCATCAAAGGACATTTGTCCTATAGCAGTTGGACCTCCACAATTTGGGCAGGAAGCAGTGCTCAGAGCTTCCCTGTACCTCATGTTATCAGCCCTTAGCTTTTCGTTCTCTGTTCGGAGCTGTGTGTTCTCCTGGCGCTCATGCTGGGTCTGTGGAACAAAAGCATTGACGTTTAAATACAAATGAGCTAAGCTAGCGCGGTTGAATATCCATTAGGGAAGACCCAGAGTTTGCAAAGGTCCATTGAGCTCTTTCAGGTCCTTAAATATTGGTAAATTCATGCCAAAAGGCTTATGTTAAGGGCAAATGAAACGTTTGTTGTATACCTTCATTTGGGTACGCTTGTTTTGGAACCAGAATTTCACTTGCAATGGTTCTAACCCTAACTCACGCCCAAGTTCCTTCCTTTGTTTGTCATCTGGATGTGGACACTCTTTGAAAAATCTATTAACAAGGTACAAATTTATCGAAGATTTAAGCTTAAAGACAAAAGGAACAAAAAAAAGGAGTTAAATGTTGAATAAATGCGTTTAATTAAAAGGGTTTTAGCTTACGCCTCCATTTCTTGGATCTGATGCTGGGTATGGCGATGGTAACGCTTCTTTTTGTTGGGACGAGGATCTTGATCATCCCCAGAGGCACCTTCATGGTTTTCGCTACCGGATTTGGTTGTACTGTCGAATTCCTCATCTCTCATTCGAGCAATTTCACTTTCAGAAGTATTTTGAGTCATCTCAAGAGGTTGGAGTTGACCTTCCATCATATTGTTAGGCTGGAACATTATCTACAGATCTTTAAGATTCCGAAGCTTATTGTTTTTCAATCTAACAACAAACAGAATGGAAAATTTTCCCACTCAAAAACAACCCCATAAAAAAACTCATCTTCCTATAAAAAAATACAAAAGAAAATGCTTTCTGGCAAAAAGCAAAGGGGAAAAAAAAAAAAAAACCCATTTGATATTTGAGTGTACGGATTTATGATAAGTAGACTAGATTTACATGCGACAAAAGCATGTTATGCCAGTAATTTGACTTCATAGGAAGAAGCAGTGTAGCTAGATTTGTAGGAGTATTTGTTTTTTCTCTGTCTCTACGCAGATGAAAAAAAGGCTTTACGCGTTTCTCAAATATCGAGAAGGATTTTGCTTCGAATAGCAAAATAAGACCCACGCTAACACCAAAATCACTTCAAAAACATATTTTCTTGAGTTCCAAACAGTGGAAAAGGAGAGAAAGATATGTTGGTTAGTTTAGAGTGTAATGGGAAGAAATGGTAATAGGAGAAAAGACCCATTAACCTATTAAGGTAATAGAATGAGAAAAAAGGAAAAAAATCTGAAGATATTAATTCACAAAATGAAAACTGAAAAGAATAAAAAAAATCACCCCCGGAACCCTTAGAAAACACAGATTTAAAACGGCAGAGAGTAGATGAAAGAGAGAAGTGTTAAGTCCTAACCTGACCAAGGGTAAGTCCAGAGGATGTTCCAAAACCACTAGCAGTTCCGTTCCCACTGATCATCGACGGCATGTTTCTTGCCGGAATCATAACTCCGGCTGGCATGTTTCAGAATCCTAAAAGCCCTATATGCAAAGTTTGTTCTTATACAGATAGCTTCTTGGACTTCTTCACGCTACTTAAAGAGTGTGCTTTTGAATCTTTGATATAAGTAGAGACAAAGCTGATTCTGGCTTTTGTTTCGGCAGCTAAAAAAGTTCTGTCTTTCTCCTTCGGTTTATATATAGTATATTTATCCTTGAAGAATATTTGATTCTTACGTGCCAATGAACAAGCGAGAATCTATAAAATAAAAAGGTTGACAAATTTGATACGGTCCTTGACAGATAAAAACCAATATTTATAAATACGTTCCAACGAAGATCACGGAGAATCCAACTATGCCTTCTCTGTCTGTCTAAAAAGCCAAATTCTTCTTCCCTTTCTCTCTTCAGCTTTGCCTGCATCATTTGAGAATAAAAACGTAAGATCCAACAGAAAGAAGAAAAAATGGAAGTTTAGGTTGAAAAGGTTGAGAAAAAGAGAGTGAAATGCTGTACCCAAAACTTTTTGGCAAAAGAAAATTTTGACCCAATAAAGAAGAACCCTAAAAAAGTCCCAGGAAGAAGAGAAGTTTGGGATCTGTTTTCGGCTAAAAGAACTCGTTGCCAGTAAACTGCTAAAGGGTGCTGTGAAAGAGGTAAAGAGGGCGGTTTGGGGTTTGAGCTTTAAACGTATAAGAAGAAGGTTTTGGGGTCAAGCAAGAAAGTTACAGATATAAAGAAGAAGTAGTAGGTGTAGATGTTGGGGTTAAGCAGAAGATGAAGAGGAAGAAGAAGATGGAGAATCAAAGAAGGGGAAAGATAAAGAGAAGAGGAGAGAAAGGGAAGGATAAAGAAGGGAACAGATGGAGAAAATTGTGGCAGCGAAGAGTTATTGCAGAGCGTATTGAGAGGGTGCAATTGCATTTAATGGAGGGGAAGCTGTAAATGCTATTGAGATAGAGAGAGAGAAAGAGAAAGAAAGTGAAGGAAAGAGAATTTGGTCTTTAAAGTTTTAATCTTTTCCTTTTCCCCTTGGCTACAAGAATTTTTTGTACGGTTCAATGCAACGAATTACGACTGTCCAACTTCATAATTTTTTCATTTCCCTTGGCTACATTCAATTTGTTTACTCTCTTCACTTTCTAAATCCTATTACGAATTCACAAAGCAGCTTTAATTTGGCATTTATCTTTTCTTTTATCTTTTCTTACTCTGAAAATGTTCCCCTTAAACCTAAACCTTAATCTTTAATTCAATTTATGTAATCACCGTTAAAAATTAAAAAATATTCAATTTATCTGAAAATCTCCTTAAATTAGAATCTCTTTTTGTTATCCTCTTTCATTAAATAAATTAAAAATCCATGATAATTTCATAATCTTGATCTTCAACCACATTAGTTGATGATTTCATGGCCAGATATATATTCTTCAAAGGAATCAAAACAAGTTGCATGCCATGAAATATCTTAATGATCAAGTTTTAGAAAATATTGCAACTTCATATCCTAATCAATTTAATTTGAAGGTTTTCGTCCCACGTTTTCTTTTGGGATTCCGATTACTTTCATCTTATAGAAATGGCAGAGAGCAAGATTGTCGTTTAAAAATGAAAATCATGTCAATTTTCTGAAATGAATTAATGTTAAAGAAAAAAATGGGCGGAAAGGATTGCTTTTTGTTTTTTTTTTTTTCTAATCATGCATTCGATTCCATAGCATGTTTTTGAGGAATCAAGACATTAAGTATGCTGAATTATTCTAAATTTCTAATTCGCCAGACAACAAATAATAAAAGTAAATGTATGAATTAAAAGGTTCTGCATGAAAATTTTATTAGTGTTTAAATAACATATCCATAGCAATCCCATAAGGAAAAAGCTATTGAATATCTCAGAAGCTGCATCTGCATCTGCATCAATGGATGTTTATTATATGCAGCAGAATTTTTACGAGAAAAACACTTCTATTTGTTTCCTTTTGACAATTGTTTTAAATAAAAAATGTATGGAAAGAGAAGAAAGTGATGGTGTTTAAATGAAGTTAGACTTTCATATAGTGATAAGAAAAAAAAAACTTAAAAGAAATTGAGAATTGAAAAAAAAAGTTGTAAATATTAAAATTTGAACCTTAAAAACCAGTTGAATGCCACTATTTAAAAATTATTATATGAATTAAATGAATTAAATTTTAAATTTAAAAAATTAATCAACTTATTGCGATACGGAAACAAAAGAGAGTGTAATATTAATAAAGTACTGCATAAAATATAGCCAGAATCTCAAATTTGATGAGGAATTAGCATGTAGGTTCCTTTATTTAATTTGTTGTTTTTTTAATGCAATTATTGAGGATCAGAATCGGATAATCATTTTAAAATTTAAACCCCTTATTAAAAGATAAAATACAAGTAAGGTTTTAAGAAGGTTGTTTTTGTTTTATGAATTAAATGAACACTAAAAAAAATCAAATAAAAAAAAAGTTGGATCTAATTTAATATGTTGATTATGATACGAATTTTGGTCTGTCAAGGACATAATAATATCAATGTCAATTAAATCCGACCAGAAGAAAATATGTCAATTGTAGAGAAGGAAACAAAAATGGAGGATAAAGCCATAAATCACAATTGTTCGTGTAATGCATTTATTATATATAACACGGGGCTGTCACGCTGTGGTAATGACAGCCCTATTAAACGACCTCGAATTTGTAGAAAATGATGTGATATAATTTATTCTATGTAATAATAATAATATTCTCAATGACTCTGCCATTGTTGAGGTATAACCAAAGCTTAATTTACATCTATCTTTGTTGAGGAATAATAACATTGAAAAGGTTTGAATATCACATGCACGAGAAAAGAATGAACTTTTGCAATCACTACTTCAATTGAAGCTTTTTTTTTTTTGTCTATTTTGAATATTACATATATAATAGTAAGGAATAACTTTTTCTCTCATTTAATTTTTGTTAAAAACGAGAAAGAAAAGGTGAAAAAGAAACAATTCAATCAAATATCGAAAAAATAATCATAACCATCAAAAGTGAGTCCAATAGTTGCTCTTCGAAATTAATATTGTAAATCACATTTTTGCAAAATTTTTGTTTCACATACTTGATTTAATTAAGATTTTAACTTGTCAATGGAGCATTAGATGGTATGCAAACTGCATATGGGATAAATTTATAGAACTTGTGGATTTGAGAAGGTTTAAGTGAGTTAAGTAGATAAAGATTGATGGATTGAGGTTAAATTAAAAAATTTTTAAAAATTAAATTGTTTTATTTGTCTAAAATAAGTTTTACCATTGACTTCTAACATGAATTGTCAACTAACTTTCATTTATACAATTGGTGTTTCCAAAACAAGCATTGGGTCTTAGAGATATACACAAAAAGTAAGGGAAATATGATGAGAATGGTTGACCAAGAGGATGGAGAAGCAAACGAGGGAAGGAATAAGGTTAGGTGGGTGAGTCGTAGGCCAAAACTTTCCATTTACTAAAAATTCTTGTTGATAATTCATGATGAGAATTTTGGTTAAACACACAAAATAATTTCCTTGGAAATCTATATGATGGGAAGGAAGTTAGGGTTTTGTATGGAAATGAAGTAATTAAGTGCTAGGGGTTTTAGGGTGGTACCACAAATTTGGTAAAATCTTAAAGCTTTTGTAGGTGGGCCCTTTGCAAATCGCAAAAAATTCCACCATTGAGCCCAAGCTAATACAAAAGTCCTCTCTCTTTTTCAATCTCTTTGCATCTTCCCATTAAATGCCACTGAGCCACCACACTGCCTCTCCATGGCCAAAGGCCATTTACTGCTTTCATGCCTCCCTTGCACACCTCTGTTATATTTCACATCTACTACTATTATTTTTTTCTCATTTATAGTTTTTTTTAATTTTTAATTTTATAAATTTGAATAATTTAGTTGGGTATTTTTAAAATGATTAATATTCACATATTCTTTTTGAATTGTCAGAAAATTATGCTTACTTTTTTTTTAAACACTAACTCTTATTTTTTACATTTTACATTAAATTTTCAATTTAAAATTAATAGTTTATCAATATTATAATTTATTTTAAAAGTAAAAAAAATCAAAAGTTTTTTCACTTGAAAGAATTAGAATGTATGAATATTAATTGTATACGATTTTACGTTTTATTAAAATTTTTATGGTTCTAACGAGTCGATTTGTTCAGCATTTCGTAAAAAATATTAATTAATTTAGTTTTTGCAAAAGTATATTATATATTTTTTGTCTTAAAATATTTGATATATATTGATTTTCACGAAATTTTTTTAAAAAATTTAACTTTAATATATTAAATATTAAAATTTATAAAATTTATAAAATTAAAATTTCATTATTTTTAATATTTAAAAGTAAAAAAATCATAAAATATAATTTTAAAATATAAAAAAAATTTAGATATTAAAAAATAATATATAAATTTAAAACATTTAAAAATTAAAAAAAAGGACAAAAAGAATATTACGATCAATTCGAGACAGAGAAAATATAATATCCTAATCATCTAATGGCAAGGCCATGCGCCTTCACTGCGGAGGTCCCGTTTGAAAGGCGCATAATTATATTCAGGTTCTTGGTGCGGATGGCGAGTGGGTAATGTGCGCGCGTGTAATTAATATGGGCCTATCGACTTAAATGCCGGTCGTTAGGGATAAGTGAAACGCTGCGTTGCATTCGTTAAAAAAATGTGAGTGGCCTAAGACACTTATAAAGGCCGGTTAGTTAATATATTATTTATAGTAATATTTTACATTAAATACAATAATTAATTATTAATTTTATGAATTTTAATGTATTGAAAACTATAATTTATATAATATGATAACCTTAAAATATTATTCCATTTATTTCATTTTCTTTGTTTATGTATTTTAAAATTATCTTTTATATTTTTTATTTTTGGATATTAAAAATTGTGAAACATTAATTAAAAAAAATTAAATTTCAATACCAAACATTAAAGTTGAATCCTTTTTTTTTTAATTTAATAAAAGTCAAAGGGGAACAAACAATTCGGGAAAGAAAAATGGAGAGATAGAAAGTAACAACCAAAAGCAAAACCCCAAATAAAAATTACTTCATATGTATTAACTTATATATGGCAATAAATTTGACTAAGGTTATTTCTTTTTCGTTCAATAACGTAAATTTCAAATATTGAAAAGATTATTCAACGACAAAGCTGGAGCCCCGAGCCATTGGTTTGGGGGTGGACCAAAGGTGATGGAGAGTCTGACATATGGTTTTGGTTTGGGACATTCCACGCTAACGCCACTCTCGTCATAAAATGGTTTAAATTAGATTCAATTTGATTTAAAATATTTTTTAGGTAATATATGATGTTAAAAATTTTTAAGTTTAATTTAAATTTCAATCAAAATTTTTAAATTGATTTGATTTAAATTTAAATTTATTAATTTGATTTGATTTATTAATTTTTAAAATTTATTTTAATAAAAATTTTAATATATTTAAATAGATTTATATACAAAATAATTATTTTATTTTATAAAAATTAATAAAAATATATAATTTGATTCAGTTTAAATTTTTTTAATTTTTTACATCTTGATTTAAAATTTGATTTCAACTTAATATATATATATTAATATCTAAATTTAATTTAAATAAAATAAAAAATATTCAAATTAAATTAAATATTATTATTTCAAATCAATTTTTATTTTTTATTTTTTTTCTCATTCCCAACAACCGGGAAAACGAACCTCTGTTATTTATTTATTTTTAGGTTTAAAAATGCAATATGAAAGAGTCAAACTCGTACCATGTGATGGCAGCTCTTCATGCAAGATGGGGCCTCGGTATCCCCTAGGCTTCCCGATGGTTCTGATATTGCCACACCAAGTCAAATACATTTGCACCCCTTCCCCCCCCCCCCCCCCCAACCCCCCAAACTATTTCTTAAAAAGGAAAGTACGATTTGA